TTGAACTGTTGCCCAAAATGTGTTGACACAACAACAAAAACAACAGACAGCAACAGCCACTAAAGGAAAATTACACGACAGGACTGCATCCACACAGGAAGCCGTGCAGTTAATTTGCATAAGGAGACAGCGGAAGCGACTGAATGGAGGTGGCTCCTGGCTCCTGACTCCTGGCCAACATTCTTTTTAGGCAAATTTTTAGTTTCGACTTTTGTTGGCTTGACAATACCAGCGATAAGTCCGGTCCGAATAAGAGAAATGTGATTAAATAATATAAACAAGACCCCTTTCTGAGGCAAGACTTTAAAGATGGAAGGATCCTTCCAATCCTAACAGGACAGTATCCCCAATGCAGTATCTTGGAAACAATAGAGACAATGGCCTTACCTCCAACAAAGGACCTCTGCGGTTCATCATTCCGCAGCTCCAAAAGCAAACAATACCGCCAAGCAGGAAGGGCTATAATTTATGGATGCCACTGGATTGGGTTATCTAAATGCTTCCCCCCTTCTATATAGTAGCACCACTTGTATGGCAAAGTTTGGTCATAATTGATTGGTATTAGAGCGCCGCTGACTGAACAAATATTTGTTGTAGCTCCAGGACTCAATCCGCCATCCAGAATCGACTGTGAGGATGAGGATAAAAATTTATGCGTGGCAGACTTTTTTCCGTTTTGACTTTCCCGCCGACACACGAAAAGTGTCGTGGAAAATTTGCCAACGAAAGTTTATTGAACTTTTCCCTAGTACGTCAGATTCCTAGGAATAGCATATATATTAAAGCTGGAAATCTGTGGGACTACCCCCACTCTGGAGAGCTGGGTCATAAAAACGAGCTCTCCTTTATGAGCTCCAAATACGTTTGAAATTATGCGAAATTTGCAGGACATTAAACAGGAGGAGGATACTGGTCAAGGGAAAGTCAGCCGAAGGATTAGGGCGTTGGGGTGACCTTCTTCAAGGAAATGTACACAGAGCGAAAAGGTCATTTCTTGAAAATTTCAATAAATTATACAAAGTTAAATAATGGAGAAAATTAAATATATACTTTGGGTAAAAAAAAGGAAAAGCCCTTTTCCTTTTGCACGAACTTTGTTTTTCTTTGCACGAAAGGGAACAACAAAGAAAATCCCAAGCACGATGGAAACTCTTGAAAGGGAAATCCGCCCCCAACCACCAACCCGAGAAAGATGCCAAAAAAAAAATATAACCACATATTGTCTGATCTCATGAGCACGTATCTGAAAGATACAGATACAAGACAAAGGCATAATAGAATCGAGAATAACAACAACAACAAGAGTGTGAGTACAGTTACAGTTTGCGTAACGGGACAGTTTTCCGTGGGTGGTGAACAAAAGCATCGAAAAAAAAAAACAACCAGAAAAGAAAAGCACGTCAATTGAGTGGCCCAGTCAGTAAATTGGGAAGCATTTCAAGTTCACTTTTTGTCAATTTACTGCTCTTTTAAATTCTTTTAAATTTTTTTTTCTAATTCTAAATTCTAAATTAAATAAGCACACACTTTTTCAACTTTTTTTTCAACACGAAACACGGAATTTTCCAAGGGAAATTGGTTTATTTGGATATTATATGTATATATTCTCGGTAGAAGGCTATATATGTATATATACTATATATTTTAATTGCACATGTTGAACGGATAATTAACAACAACAACAACAATAACAACGACGTCACGAACCGAAAAACGAAACCGTAAAGAAAACTCTAGTGTGGAAATTATAGTTTACAGTTAGTTTTGATTATTTTGGTACACAAGACGCGACAAAAGGTGCGCGATTCCGTTGTGCGCTTTTCCACATGCTGCGTCCTACTCCGTGCTCAGCTGGAAAAGCGTCTGTTTTTCACTCGCTGCTACCCTGGCCTGGCCAATGAGCATTTTCTTGCTATGCACTGCAGTGTTTTTTCTTTTTTTTTCCCAAAAACACGCGACCCACCAAAGCTTAAAAGTGTGTGGAAAGCTTTTCTGGTATTTTTTAATGGGGTTCTGGGTTCTCTCCGCAGCGAGAACTCATGAATTATTCGAGGGAATTGCATATTTAAGCAGTTAAATATTATAGGATATTTTAGAATAAATTTAAGAGATTTAATGAGAATTATAGTTTCTTATATGTGGATTCTAACACCCACAGTAGGGCCCACAAAAGAATGTCCCTAATCTCTCTTACTTTCACTCGTGATTTCGATTTTTTTTTTGTTTCACTTTCGTCGTCGATTTTTGCTCCAAAAACCTGCTTTCTCGCGTGCCACAAAATTTCCCATAACAATTACCACAGGCTGGACTTTTTGCATTGTTTGCCTTGTTGTTTGTTTGCATTCCCTTGCTGTGTTGCATGCCACATTGCATGCCCCCCATCTGCCTCTGGTGCTCGCGCACCCGGCGTTGAGTTTTCCGAGAGCCAGAGCTTTTGCGGGCATTTTCCTCTCTTTCTCTCTCTCTCTTGCCAATTCATGATACGACTTTGGCACCTGTTCGCTTCTGCGCCCTATGGCAGTATTTTATGAATGAAGGTGCTTTCCTTTCCCGATTCTGAGCCCAAAGCTTAGACAGGGGGATATTTTCGGGAGGGAAATTTTTGAAAAGTCTGAAAAACCAACAACACTGGCAACATTTTAAGGCAAATCCCCCGGGCAAGATATCCAATGTAACGACTGCCTGGTTCGGTAATTAAGGGGTTACCAAGGTCACCAAGGCAAACTCCAAACATCAATTATCGTGGTGCCAGCATATAATTAACCCCCATATCCATACCCCTCCCAGCAGCTTGCAGCGCAGGCGTCATGAGCTTCCACCGGAAATTCAAAATCTGTTGCATAAAGCCGGGGGCTTGGCGACAAACAGACTGCCACCAAATTCCACTACCCATTCCCCAACTCGCACCTGCGGCTAGTTTTCATTTGGGCCTAGCCAGAGGTCTCAAGCGCCTGCATTAAATATACATGACGGAGTTGTAATGGGTTTGGTTATGGGATTGGCCTGAGAAATGGGTTAACTTAGAGGAGGAGGAGGAGTAGGAGCCGGTGCCCAGGTGGTGGAAAATAATTGTGACTAATGTAATACATACACGCGCGGCTAGTTGGAGCTGTGATTTGCGATCATTAGTGCTGGGAAAACAAGAGCCAGTCAAATGTAAACAAACCAGCCAGCTGGCGGTTCAATGCCCCAAAAACAAGACACAAAAATAAAAAACTACTCCAGAGGCAAGTAGCAAGAAGCAGAAGACAAGAAGCGAGAACCCACTGAACAGCTTCTCCATGAAATCGAAAGTCAACCACAAGTGGGGTCACCGATGTTGGGAATTGATTACGCCATCGTACCCAGTGCCAGTGACATACTTATGGATGTGGATATGGATATGGATATGGAACTGGAGTGGAGTTTGAAGCTCTTATCAGGCACGAGCGCACGCCTTTTTATGGCATAATTGCACTTTGGTTTCGGTTCCAGTGCAGAGCTTTAAACAAATTATGGCCCCTAGGCTGGGGCCGTGATGCTATGGGGAAAACCTAGCGATAAATCGACGGATATCGGCCGATGTTAGTCACAGTTCGCACCTTTTAAGGTGGAAATTTGTTTTTCGTGGCAATAGTTTGTTTTTATTGAGACAATAAAAGGAAGAAAATTAATTATAATTGAGAATATTATGATTATTTTGTGTATTAGTCATCATAATGTTTATAAATGTACTCCAAGTTGTTTTGAATTATAACTCACAGGCTGCCAGCCAGTGCATCACACAATTGACATTAAAAAACCCCCCCTAATGTGTTAAACCAAACGATCCAAAATCGCCTCATAGTACCTGATTACGTCGAAAAACTAATGCCAAATCGCTGTTCGGAGCACACGCTGTCTGTGGCCTGCTGATTCATGGCGTTCGACAGGTCCGCCGACGATAAGGGTTATCGCCGTGAGGCGCTGAAGTGTACACTTACCGTAAAGATACTGCTCTTGTGGGCGCGATTCCGAATGACCAGACCCGCCAGGGGCTTCTTCACATAGATTTTGGGCATCTTGGCGGCGGCGATGGCGGTGGCGGTGGCAACGTTGCGGCTACGTGGCTCTAGTTCTTGCTCGCTGGATGGGTGGGTGGTGGTGTTTGTTTTGAATGTGGAATCGTTGTACGCCGGAGAGCGACGACGGCGGCGTTGATTAGCTCTCGTTATTGGGTGCCTCTAATTTTTTTTGTGTTGCTTCTCTGAGCTTCAGCACCTGGTATGCATCATCCGCGCCGTGTTTGTTGCTAAACCAATTGAGGCACACACTCGCTCACCCCACTTATTTGTTGCTATTTGCACGGAGCGCGATACTAGGACGATTATTACACGGTGGATCTGGATATAAAGATGCCTGGCGGATAACAGCAACAATAAGAGCGGGCTTGAGGCTATGGCGCGACGCATGCCTATGGTTGGATGTTAATCGGCCGCATGTGGATTGGAGTGAAGCACCTGGTCTATTGCACTGCCGGTAATTGTGGGTATTCTGGCTGGGATTCTGGATTCCACGGAAAATTTAATGCGTTCGTTGCAGAAACACGGACCGAAAGCAAAGTCTAGTTGTGGCTAAAAAACGCCGAAACGCGATAAACAGGCGCTGTCAACATGTGTTCTAGGGTTGCCAGCTACTACAGGGTTCTAGGGTTGGAAAAGGTCTAGATAATGGTTAATGAGATAGTAGTCTTTAAAAAAATATATATATACCAATTTAAAGTTTAAATAAATGATTACAACTTAAAGCTAAGATTTATGAACCAGAAAAATAAGACTTAGAATACTAATTTGATTTTTTTATTACTTGTATTTCAAAAAATAAAAAGGTCAATTTATTAAAGATCATGTTTAGCTTTTAATTTATAAATGTTTTGTTTTATTTAAAGAAATAATTAGAATACTCCGTTCTATGTTAAAAGATCAATCTTGACCAGTTCTGGGTAACTTGAATTAGGAAATGATCTAAATGGTCCACGAAGACAGTCACACTTAACCAGTCAGCTGAACAATATTTAAAAATAAAAAAAGTCCTTAAAATAATGATAAAATTCTGACCTCTTGTTAGATATAAGGGTCCTTCCCAGTTGGTAGTTTATTTTATTCTTAAATTTTTTGTTAAAAAAAAAAACTTCTACTTTGTCATGGTTCGCGTTCTGTTCCTTCATCCGGATCTGGGAATCGGCGGAGCCGAGCGCTTGGTGGTGGATGCGGCTTTGGCCCTCAAGGAGCGAGGTCATCAGGTTAGCTTCCTGACGAACCACCATGACAGTACCCATTGCTTCAAGGAGACGGCGGATGGGACATTCCCCGTAAAAGTCATCGGCGACTGGCTGCCACGCAAGCTCTTCGGAAGATTCTACGCCTTTTGTGCCTATTTCCGTATGCTGTATGCTGCCTTCTACGCCAGCTTCTTCATGCCGCAACGGGAACAAGTGGACGTGGTTATCTGTGATCTGATTTCCGTGTGCATTCCGGTTCTACGATTGGCTAAACATCGTCCGAAGGTTCTATTTTACTGTCACTTCCCCGATCAGCTACTGAGCGCCCAGGAGGGCCTATTAAAGAGGTTGTACCGTTTCCCCATCAACTGGCTGGAGGAGCACACCATCGGGTTGGCGGACAAAGTGCTGGTCAACTCCAAGTTCACCCTACGGGTGTTTCGTGACACTTTCCGTCGCCTCAAAACTGTCCCAGACGTACTGTATCCCTCGCTGCACACTCAGTACTTCGATCAGATGCAGAAGAAGCTGGACCAGAGGGCAGAGATCCTGGACGAGCCAGTGCATCCGAGGGTTCCACGCAACTCCTTCATTTATCTGGACATCAATCGCTACGAGCGAAAGAAGAACCACGCCCTGGCCTTGTACTCCCTTCGGCTTCTTGCGGACCTGCTGCCCGATATAGACTTTAAGCGTTGCCGGTTGATCATCGCCGGAGGCTATGATACCCGCTGCCTGGAGAACGTCGAGCACTTCGCGGAGCTGGAGAAACTCGTAGAGAAGCTAAAACTCCAGGACCACGTCATCCTGCTGCGCTCGCCCACAGATGAGGAGAAGTGCCGCCTGCTATTCGCTGCCCACTGTCTGCTGTACACGCCCGAGAATGAGCACTTTGGTATTGTGCCGCTGGAGGGCATGTACTGTTCCAAGCCAGTGGTGGCGCTGAATAGCGGTGGCCCCACGGAAACAGTGGTACACACTTCTACGGGATTCCTATGCGAAAAGCAGGCGAAGAGCTTCGGCGGGGCTATGTACCAGCTCTTCCGGGACGAACCGCTGCGTATGAAGATGGGCGAGCAGGCCCACAAACGCGTCCAGCAGAAGTTCTCATTCCAGGCCTTTGCTGATCGGCTCAATAGCATCGTCCAGGAGCTAACCACCATTCCAGAGCAGTCGCGCAAAAAGAAAACTGAATAAAATTCAATACAAAGCTGCAGAAATTGGATTCTTTTATGGTTCGGGGGGAAAATATTTTCAGGATGAGTCACCATGGAATTCTCAGAAAGATTACATACATACATAGATATATCATATATTTGTGTAGCAAGTGTATTTTATTCTTAATTTCCGTTTTCAGGGCGTATTATAATAATATTCAAAAGGGGCAATATAAGGAAACTTATGTTTTGGACTGAATGTGAGATCGGACTGGCTACTCGTCGCGCATGTAAAGATACAGGTAGCCGAGATCCTTCGGCGGGTTCTGCGACTTGGCCACCTTGCTGTCATTGAATATGACCCACTCGCCCTGCTTGCGAATGTGGCACACGTAGTGGCCCACCTGGGCGGAGGTGCCCATGTGCGAGATAAATGCCACCAACTTGTATTTTCCGCCCCCATCTCGGTAATTGGTCTTACTATTCCCACCCGACGAAGCTGGGGCAGCGGGGGTGGGTGCAACTTCTTCCACGCCAATGGAATCGGCATGCGAGAAAATCCAATCGGTTGCGCGTTCCACATTCCCATCGGTGGCCTTCAGAGCAGCTACCGCCTGGCGCTCATCAAAGCCCATGCTCATCAGCATGGCCAGGCTTTCCGGATTGGCCACGAACTGATCGGCGGCGCAGTCGCCAATCCTGTTGTTGGGCACTACAAACGGTTCCGAAATATCCTCATCGGCAATGTGTTCCATCAGCCAGTTGGAGGCTGCCTCCAGTCCGGTATTCTTGGTGTGGAAACAGGCCCGTTTGCAGGCTTCGGGCGGGAAGCCCATGGTCAGAAGCTCCGAGATAACTGCCTCGTCGAAGACGAACTTGACTTCTTCCGCCGCCGCTTCTGGTAGGGCTTCTTCGCCAGCCTGCAGTCCTCCAGCGGACTTCCAGTTGCTCAGATCCAGCTGGTCCGGCATGTCAACCGAAACATCGAGCTTCTTGGGCACCCAGTCATCGCCCAGGGTAAACTTTCCAAGGTGGATCATCAGGCAGTCGGGCATGGTGGCCAGTCGTGTGGTCTTCCTGGCGTTGGTTTTTCCCTCAATGGCAGTAGAATAGAACTGCTCGATCAGCTCCGGGCCAAAGAAGCGTTCCAAACAGGCCTGCAAAGGCACCTTGTGTCTAACGATGTCTCGTTCTACCAAGCGCTGGCCGCTCTCGCGGGCCGCCTTCTCCCGCTCCTGAAACTCCTTCACTTCATCCAGATTCGTGGCCTTCTCCAGCGGAATCGGCAGTCGGAAGCTATACTCCTCACGGGTCTTGTACTTGACCTTACGGCTGGCCAGGCACTCCACACGATCCTCGAGCAAGAACTTCAAGGCATCTGCCGGATTCGATTGATTCCTGGAATTCCGGTCCAGCAGGGTGAGCAAATGTAGATAGAAATCATTGGCATCCTGCTGTTGTTTGGTGCTGAAATCAGGGTGATTCTTGCCAACGATGTTCTTGAACATGGCAGGGGAGATACCCGTGGCGTGCTCCGTGTCCAGGGTGTTGGCAGCGATGCTGCTGTACTTCCCAGATTGCAGGCCCGATCCCAATTTGGCCATCTGAATATTAAAGTCGTTGGCTGGGTCGTTGGGGAACTGACTGAAGTAGCGTTCGGCGCCGGTGCCCACAAAGCGCTGCTGGAAGTCTGGGATAACGAACAAAACCTGCATCACACTGTTGATGTAGCAGGAGTTGCCCAGATTTTTCATGCCCGTGTATCCTGGTCCGGCCAGAGGCTGCAGCTCACTCTCGCTCTCGGTCAGCGCCGACCACTCTCCAATTCTCTGATTGATGTCCAGTTCTAGCTCCACCATTGACTTTTCGCTCTTCTTCATTGCCGCCATATTAATGCCAAAGTGGGACAGATGACGCTCCAAGTGCGGATCCAGCACCATGTCGTCCTCTGGATACGAAAACACATCTGACTTGCCATCGGCAGTAATGGTTCCCAACTTAACGGCCAGCGGATAGCCCGTCTCACGGAAATGTTCCACGGCGTGGTCATTGCCTCCGCTACCGTCAAAGAACTTGCGGCCACAGAGAATTGAGCCGTCGGTTAAATTGAGCCAAAGGTTGTTGGTCAAATCGCACTTCTGGCACTGCCAGCCGAAAGGAGGGATCTTCTTGCCATTATCCAACTGCTGCAGGTCCTCTGCGTACTTGGAGGGCTGTCGCACCTCACCATCCCATGTACCTAAAGAAGGAATATTCATGTAGTTAGCAAAAATATAGATTAATAATCGTGCTTACCCATCAGTGTGGCCTTCTCCAGCTTAGCAATGGCTGAATCGGCGGCCAAAATGGCCTCCACCGCCTGGGTGACGCGCATAGGCAACTCGGGATCCGGATAGGGCAGCTTTTTGTCCAACTGTGAAGCCACCACGATGCTGTAAGTGTCTTTGATCTCGTATTTCTTGGCCATATCAGATTCATTGTATCCGCCTTCAACCCCAATAGCTAGACGTGTGATCTTCCTCTCCGGACCGGCCTCAGCTTCAGATTCCAACTCTGGATTGCCATCAGCACCTTCTTTCAAAGTTTTCACCCGTTGGATGTGAAGAAACACCTGGTTTCCCGTCTTAGAGGCGTACTCCCGGACGTAGGCCTCTCCAAAGCCCAGGAAGCTATTGAGGCACACGTATAAGCCGGTGGGCGTCTCTGGGTTGTCGTATGAGTAAACGCACTCGTCCTTATAGATCGGCGGAGCTGCCGATCCTGAGCCGCAGGGCACGTTTATTTTGGACAAATGCTTGCGTAGTTCCTCCATAATGTGATTTGAAATTCTGGAGACAGCTTTTTTTTTTTTACATATACTAGGACGAGTCGGATGAATTTGAGTTTTTTTGCAGCTGCTACTGAGTGTGACCAGGTTACGATAAAGAAAGTGTCCATTTTTTCCCCAACCGCCAATTAATAGAAAAGCTTGGAAGTCTATGTTTAAATTATTTTTAAGTTTAAAGCTTCAAATAAAAACAAAGTTTCATCGAATTTCAAAATATGTTTGTATAAAATTTGGATAAATTAAATGAATACGCACAATTTTTCCTGCGTGTGAGACCATAATATGAAATAAATTTAATTCCTGGGCTTTGAAAAAAAATCATCCTAAGAATCTTAAGATTGTTCACTACTAAGTTACTATTCAAATATTATTATTTTAAAAACCCTGAGCATTGTTAAAAATTAAGTTTATCTAATATAACTGTGTTATTTGTTGAAATTAAAAAAATAGCTAGAACGACAGTTCTGTTAAGTGTGCCCAAAACACCCTGAAATGTGCAGGCGCTAATTCCAAAGAATGTAGTACTACATCACCTTTGCTACCTGGCAACACTAGCGAAATAACGAATAAAGAAGTAAAACGTAAGAATTTTCAAATACATTTTCGTTGGAAAATATAAAGAAAAATAGTGATAAACAGGTGCCAAATAATAGTGCGTAAAATGCTGCTAATGAATGCAGTGAGTTAAAATAAAATGAAGCAGATTTTAATGCTGTTTTGCACTCGCATTATTTTCGTTGGGGCTCTCGCGCCATTTTGTCTGTTGTCTCTGTCTCGCCTGTGGGAGTCTCTGTTTTTCCCTCTCCGCAAAAAGGCGAATACAAAAGCAAAAACCTACGACAAAGGCGAAAAACAAGTCGGAAAAGCGGTTGAAAAACATGTGGCAGGATATACATAGTTTGTGTATTAGTTTGATGAGCCTATACTAAAATAACGCGCGACATCACAGTCTCATAAATAAATGCTACTGAAAATATCGATACGATGAATAAACGAAGCAGCGATTAGTACGTCGGCCGCCGTTCGGATGTGTGGGTGCGAAAGAGAAAGAGATGTGTTTAAGGGGGTGGTGGAGCTGAGGGCGACCGCGATAATTACGTCATAAGAATCAAAGAAAATTCAAGGTCTACGCCGCACACAGCTATTCGGTTTCGTTACGTTTACGTTCTCGGTTTATCAAAAATAAAACTTTGGCCAGAAGCAGAAACAGAGCCGCCAGCGCCAGCGCATCGGGCCCCAGCAGGGGGAAAAAAAAGACCTCAAAGCAACAACAAGTACAAGTTCGAGTGTGCGGGTGTTTGTTGCTTCGTTTTCGCGACTGTATAATTACATACACACGCAGCAACAACACGCGGATGTTGTTGTTGTGGTTTTTGTAAGCAGCGAGAGCGCGCAGCTGTGATACAGAAGAAACGCGGAGAAAGGAGTGTGAGAGAAAGAGTGGCCTCTAGTGGGAGGGCAACAGCAGCATTCGTGATGAAAGCAGGAAGGTAGGGTGGTAGGGTTGTAGGGTTGTAGGGTGTCGGGAACAACGGCTGAAAGAGCGAGAGAGAGCGGCGAACACAAACAAAGTTCATGGAATTTGTTTTTCGGACATATTTTTTGTAATTAAAAATATATATAGCGTAGAATTTCACAAAAAATCAAAGGGAATAGAGGCACTAAAAACTTGTAAAATATTAAAAAAAAAAAAAAGATATTTTTTGAATATAAAAATATATAATAATTAAAATTAAGTCTCTTAATGATCTAATCATTCCTAATGATTCAAAATAGATCTAAAAAGAAACACCACCAGATAAGACTGACTAATGTTGACTGTATTTTTTTTTTTACCCCTTTTTCAGTGACTCGCGATGCGTGCGGCATAGAAGTCGTCACCCCCCGCAACCCCCGACCCCGAGTGCCACACACACCAAACACGAACACTCCGGCGTCACAGACAAAGTCGCCCCGAAAAAAGTAATACTACTGTTCTTTAATATTAATTAGGCAAGGGCAGAAACAAAAACAAAAACAAAAACAAAAGCAGAAGCAGAACCAGCGAAGGAAAACAACACACCTCGGCGCCACACACAAGGGAACAAAAAAATAACAAAAGAAAGAAATTAATAAAAATCAATAGAGCGGCAACGGTCGGTCGGTCGGAGGCGATAAAAAGTGTTATCAGTGTGAATTCAATTGCCGCCTGTGTTTCGAGCAGCGCCGATAACTGAAGAGAGAGAGAGAGAGGCGCGAGGGCGAAACGCGGGAGGAGGAGGTGGCGTCGGGAAGCGATCCGATCGCAGCCATCCGAATCCGCATCCGGCACAATGTCCGTGCAGCAATTCTGTCTGCGCTGGAACAACCACCAGCCCAACTTCATCTCGGTCTGTTCGTCGCTACTGCACAATGGTACTCTGGTGGACGTTACCCTGGCAGCCGAGGGACGCCAGCTGCAGGCGCACAAGATTGTACTGTCCGCCTGCAGTTCGTACTTTCAGGTATGCATTGGGAACCACTTTATGGGGCTTAAACAAAATAATCCATTGCCCTTTCTCTGTAGGCACTGTTCACCACAAATCCGTGCCAACATCCCATCGTCATACTGAAGGACGTGCAATACGATGACCTCAAGACCATGGTCGACTTTATGTACTATGGCGAGGTCAATGTGTCGCAGGAACAGCTGCCGCACATCCTCAAAACCGCCGAAATGCTCAAAATAAAGGGCCTGGCGGAGATGCCAACGGACCCGGCCAATCTCACCAAGTCCGACAGCAAGTCCTCCACCGATGGCACAGAACTGGTGGGCGGCGGGTCCGGAGTAGGTGCCGGGCCGGGTACCTCGGCGGGCAGTCTGGGCGCTGCCAGCGGTAGCAGTGTGGGCGACTCGCTGTGGAGCAGTAGCGAAGCGCAGCAGTTCCAGCAGCAACAGCAACAACAGCAGCAGGCCCAACAACAGCAGCAACAGCAACACCATCACCACCAGCAACAACAACAGCTCCAGCAGCAGCAGCAACAACAGGCGCAGCAGCAACAACAACAGCAACACCATCACCACCACCAGCAACAGGCGCAGACGGCGCAGGCCCATCACCACCAGATGAGGCGGACACCGTCGCCCCTGAGTGCTGGAACGTCGCCAGCTACGCGGCGTAAGCGATTGCGGAAATCCTCGAATAACGGTGAGTTGGAGTTGGGTAATGAATCGCCAAAGCAGCTTTCGTTCCTCAGAAATCATATTGGAACTAATATGTGCTATCGTTGTAGGCTCTGGCGAACGGAACAATGTGGCGGAGGAGCACAACAGCTCACTGGAGACCGGCGCTGGAAATGCCGGCTTGAGTCTCGCCCAGATGAGTCAAATGTCGTTTGGCGCTGGCGGAGGCCTGGCCGGGCACTCGCTGCACGCCGCCAAGCTGCTGAAGGAGTCGGCAGCCGCCGAACTGGAGCAACAACCCCAGGACTCTGATCTGGACGACGGACACGGACACATTCACATGCAAATTGTAATGAAATTGGTCACGTAGCCCTCGCTATTGGCATCCATGAACAATTTAACTAATCGTTGTCTACTTGCAGAAGCCCGAGGTGGACATTGGAGGCGTGAACCAAGCGATGCCGTTGGACATCTCTGGAGCCACAACCCCGTCGGAGCACGATGCGCCCAACTCTCAGTCCTCGCACTCGGGTAAGTCTAGAGAAGAAAAGCCGAAAGCTATCAAGTGCCCTCCAGTACACTGTCTCATCCATAACTCATCATTGTTCATCGGGTAGGGAAGTCATTTGTTGTAGAGCTATTCAAGTTGATTTAATTTTTGTTTAAGTTTTCCACACAAGACACACGACTCCTAGAGGCAGGCTTAGATTGGTTCGAAATGATATCATAACTGCACCATTGACTTGGTCTCTATTTTCCGGGGAGGGCGGGAGGGTAGACTGACTATCATCACTCTCTGACTCAATCAGCTCAGAATTTTGATTAGTGGCTCATCGATCATGCTCACTATTGTTCTCCACATGCCATTATATCTCACAAAACCACAATCGAAACAATTTCAGTACACAGCGCTTGGAGAAATGAATGCTAAAGCTAAATATGAGAACTAGCATATATACCGATTTACCGACTAAGTGCAACCGACTATATATTTGTAAAATGCCGATAAAAAAAAACAGCTGAAATTGCCGTACATTGTTTTCTCTATGTTTAACTATTATTGTGTATTGTATTCCAAAAAAGAAAAAAAAACCAAAAACCGAATCCAAATCCTGCCTGAACTTGGGAATGGGAGAGAGCTAGCACAGAGTCCAAGACAACCAAAAACTTCCAAACTATTTTTTATACTATTTCGTTTTTTTCTTAAATCTCAATTTTGTTCAATTTTTGCTAATTGCCTTTTGCATTTTGTGAATTAAGTTTTAATTTTTTTTTTTTAAAGAATATATTTTGAAATGAACAGCGGTTTCCGATGATAATGATTTAGCCTTAGCAATCTTTCTACCTCTACTACCTACCTACCTACTTGTTTGTAACTATCCAAGAGCTGCTATGAACCAGTACTGCCAGAACCAGACCAGACTAAGACTTGCCCGGCAGACCTCAACCCCCCAAAATCCTTTAGAGCTAGGAGAGCGATCGAAATAAAAAAACCAGTACCCAGTACCAGTACCAGTAACAGTACCAGCCAATATCTCATTCGCTGTCTCTCTCTCTCTCTCCCCTTCCCAGGTCTGCAATGGACGGTTGTCGATTCCAACTATCCGCGCTTTTCCTTGCCCGCCTGCCAGTCCAATCTTCTAGGCAATGGTGGTGGCGGCGGCGGCTCCGGCAGCCAGAGCAGTGGGGCAAATAGCGCGAATAGCGATCAGCGCCAGCAGCAGCACGAAGCCCAGCAACAGGCGGCGGCCAATCAACAGCAGCAGCAACAGCACCTGCAGCAGCTGCACTACCAGCAGCAGCAACAACAACAGCAGCAGCAGGAGCAGGCCTCCGCCTCGGCTACCGCTGGACAGGCGTACTCCTCGCAAATCATCACAGTGAACAGCTTGGTCAGCGGCTATGCGACGACGGCGCAGAACCTCTCGCCCACATCCCCCAACGAATCCAATATGGTGCAATCGGTCTACAGTCAGGGTCCCACGCCCACCCAATCGCCCGTACACGCGGGCACCGGCGGCAGCGGGGGAAACGGAAATGCCACCGGAAACGGAGGAACAGCCGGAGCGGCCAGCCAGGTGGTGAAGCGAAAGCGTTCGGTCAACCCCCAGGGAGATGAGAACTTTATCCGAGCCCTAGAAGCAGTGCGCACGGGAGGAATAGGCTTCTGCAAGGCAGCCCGCTTGTACGGAGTGAACAACCGCACCCTGTGGCTGGAGTACAAGAAGAGGGGATATCCCGTTTCGCGGCCGAGCATCAAAGCACGGGTGGTGAAGCAGGAGCCGAATCTGTCGCCATCGCCGACACCCTCGACGAACCCGGGAGACGATAACACAAACGAGACGCTCAGCATGCAGATTCCTCCTCAAGCGGAGACGCCGACGCCCTCACTGATGTGCACGCCACATCACACGGGCATTGGGAGTGCGGCTGGCAGTCTGCCGGGCAGTGGAAACTCCCATCCGGCCATCGGTGTGATGAGCCTGTTCGACCCGCGGTACATGGACTCACCCGGCACGGTTCACTCGATGACGCGGCAACGGTACATCGACAGCGGAGCAGGGGCTGGGGCGGGGGGTGCGGCCACCGGAGCGGGAACCGGCACCATCAATGTGAACCCGAGCACCGCCATGAATCTGCAGAGTATTAACTTCAACTCGATATAGAATACGATTTCGAGCCAGGTGGCGGGGGGGAGCACCACTCTGCTGCAGGCAGCCGCCAGGAGCCAGGAACCCCTGAGCATATCAGCCATGCCCGTCTCCGTGCCCGTACCCGTGCCCGTGCCGATGGGCATGGCCCACAGCTTCCTGATCAATAACTTCGTAACGGTGACAGCTCCACCCGTGCAATACCTGGATAAGTAGAGCCAGGAACAAACGTGAAACGTGGATACGGAACCGGAACCTCAGAATCGAACGATACAGGTATTACAGAGAAACCAACGGCAACAATCTAGTGTACATAGCGGACCGCCAGAGTGGACACAAAGTATAATCGCGTCCTGCGCTGAGCTGAGCTAAGCGTCGCAGGACCCAAACACCAATGGGGTCAAAACAATGGGTGGCAATAGAAGGAACATATGTATAATCCCGCCCTGCCCCTGCCGCACTTGTAATAACTTCAATTCCTTAAGCTTAATGTTTTGAACCCTTACATTTTTACGATTGTTAACTAAGGAAAATCGGTAGTGCAGATACGATATATATATCTATATATATATTTGATTATAAAGTATATGTAAACGTAGCTATATTTCGTGTAAAAGATTATTGTATTTGTATATAAATTATAGAATTTTATTAGGGTTATAATCCGAAACATTTAATGATTTGTACACAAACTAATGGTAAAAAAAAAACAAAACTAAAAATATGGATAAAAAATAGAAGAAAAAGAAAGAAAAAAAGATAAAAATGTGGTGCTGTGTGCCAGCAGCTGATCAAACCTTCCGGAATTGGAATATTCCATAATTTTCCCCCACTCGTTTTTCTGTAATTTGAACAAGCAATGGACGAAACCAAAAATTTTTAACTTTAATTGTAATTAGAGATGTTAAGAACGTATGAGATTTATCGGCAACTATTTGGCTTGATTTTAAAAAACATTTTCAATGGAGATTTTTTTAATTGAAATTCTAATGAAGTCCCCGAGGGTTTGCTAGGTTGTACTGGCGCATCAGAAAATAACTTATCTTCCTCGTTTCTAACGAAATTTGATTTCTGCACTTGTGTTACAATAGCAAATATGTCGGTATGTCGTTGGCTAAATCGAAATCATATAAACCCATACACATACATACATACATACATATATATATTTATATGTAGCTTAATTAAATTAAGTGTCAGTGATGCGAATACATTTTATTTAAAGCATATAAGCGTAATCGTTAGCAAACCCTTCACGACTTCACGCCGAGATATATAGCGAGAGAGAGATGCGCGGTTCACAATAGTCTATAGAAAATCGGATATGTATGATAAATATGTACCAATCAATATACGTGTATATATATTTATATATTTGTGAGTGTATTAACCAACTTTTTCATTTACTCGATCATCAGTTTTTCTATCAGGTTTTAATACCTATATATATATTCGACATATCTGTGAGGAGGGGTGTATATTTTTCGGGGAATATATATTTATTGTTCTTTTGTTTCGGAAATGATTTCTTTGTACATAGGTGTGTACATATGTTGGGGAAGCGATCGGTAGTGGAGCCACAGATCAGATCAAGATACAGAAACTTAAATAACTCGTAACCACCCAAATCCTAAATGGAGACTGCAGCTAAAGGCAAAAAAATAGAAACGAAACGGAAGCGGAAACGAAATTCAAAATGGAGTAACTCTCATAAACGACAATTTCCGGTTATGATAACGATTACGAATAGTGTTTTTAATACTAATATTGTAACTAATAGAGAACTTTTTATATTGTGTCAAGGCATACTAAGAACTAAGCGTGATTTGTTAGAAGTCATAGAGTAACGTAAACTTTGATAATGGACTTTTATTATGAGAACACACACCAACACACCCCCAAAAGGATCCCCAGATCCCAGAACAAAAACAAGATATAGATACAAATCAGAAGATACAACGCGAAAATAGCCGAAAACAATAAGCAAATATTACTAACTCTGTTTCCTAAAATTGCAAAACGTACCAATAACTACGCTAGTTATGTGTGTTAAATATATATATAAATTATTTAAATCAGCGAGAGGGCATAAAACGAACCGATTGTATTATAAGTTGCATAAACCATACCAACTAACGCGATCCCCGAATGATGAACGAGTATCGCGATGGAACAAACATTCTAGACTGTAGTCGATGTGCAAGAAACGAATAAACTTTCAAACCTAAAACATACACCATCCTGTCGTCTTCACTGCTCCTTGATTGGGGATGCAACGAACCTAACTAAATGCAGACACCTCCCATATTTTGTTCTTTCAGAGCCCAGTCCGGCGCACGCTCCTCCGCCGGCCCATCCGCCGCTGGGGGCCACCACCAGCAGCAGCAGCGGCGGCAGTGGTAGCTTCGAGCGCTCCTTCAGCATCGGCGGAATCGGAGGCGATGTGGATCCGGATGCCCCGCCCAGTTCTCCGGTGGTTATGGGAACGAAAAGGAATCGGGTACTTACCCGACAACCGCGAGTGAAGCGGGACAGCGACAGCATCTCCTCCACAAATCAGATATCACCGGACACGGCTGCCACGACGCTCGACTTTGATCCTTTTAATGCAGCTGGAGCTACCACGGTGACTGCCAGGGACTACTCCACTACTGGATCCCATCATCTCCACCATGCGCATCACCATCACCACCACCAGCACCTGCTCACTGTGCCACCGCGTATAGAGCGGCACGCTTCGGAGCCGGCGCCCAGCCTAGGGTCCTCCTCCTCGTCTCCCTCCACTCCGCACCTGCTCAGCGTGCCGTCCAGCACTCCCTATCTCATCAAGCAGCACTCGGATCCGCTGCTGCCCCGCCAGTCCGCTCTGCAATCGGTTGGCTCTACTTCCGGGCTCTCTGGCAGCAATCCGTTCGCGCCGCTGCACCGCCAATACTCGCATCCGCTGTCAGGAAGCAGTGCCGGCTATGTGCCGCCCACACCACTTCACCATGCGCATCATATCTCGCTGCCCGAGTCCATCTACGCCTCGGGGTCTCCGCCGCCGGCCGGCTCGTCCCAGTACCTGGTCCCCACACGGGTGGTGGCGGTGTCCAGCGAAACGGCTGCCACCCCGACGAACGCCAGTCCAGGCTCCTCGGCCCCTGTATCAGTGGTCACCTCACCGACGGCTGGACTCCAGAACAGCGGCAGCAGACCCTCGTTTTCGCCCACCTACGCTGGCGGATCGGAGGTGTCGATAGAGAGAAGATCCCCGCACTCGCCGACCATCACCAGGACACAGATTATAGAGCGGGGTGTCAAGAGCCAGGTGATTACAGAGTCTGCTAACGGAGGATCGCGGCTGCGAACATCTAAGTCGGCCTCGGGCTCTGTCATTGGCAGCAGTAGTCACTTGCATCCTGGCCAGGCCACCATGAGCAGTTCGTTTGAGCATTTGCCCACCCTACGCGTCAAGAACGAGGAACTGCAGCGATCGGTGTCATCTCCGCAGGTAAGACCTTTAGATGAGAACTTGAGCTTGATCTTACTTACGAGAGACTTTTTTCAGACCCAACGGGAGATTATTACCCTGGAAAATCCGCGTTCTAGTCACTGCCCCGTCATCCGGCCGGGTCCGGCGCTGGGCTGCAACTTCTGCTGGAACACCATCGACGGGCATGGCCGGATTTTGCGACGCAAAACGAAATACCATTGCCCGGAGTGCCAGACGAATTTGTGCATTGTGCCCTGCTTCCAGGAGTACCATGAGCGGCTCAACAACGAGGCTGCTGCCGCAACCAGCGGTACCGCGGCGGGTTCCGGGGAAAACCAGCTGAGCAGCAGCACCGGCTCTGGGTCGGGGTCTGGTAGCGGCAGCAGTGGCAAGGCGTCGCCGTACGTCTCATCCGGCAATCGGCATTATACCAAAACGGAATCCATATAATCCGACGGGTGCTCCCGCTAATTTGTATTTGGGAACTGATGGCCGATCAGGAGGACGACCCAAGGTCCCTCTAGGGCCGTCAGTTGAATTTGTTTTTTTGTCAGCAGGCTGCCACAGTGCACCTGCACCCGAAATTTTAATTTGTTGTCCAGCGATCGCGCTGTGCCTCCGCGGACTCGACATCCAAGGAGCACGCCGACATGGAACAAAGGCCGCCGGCGGTGGCGGTGGAGATTTGTTTTGAGTCGTGCGCACAAATGTGCCGCGCACGCAACCGTTGTAAAGTAACGAAAACGATTTGGAGCCTCCTCCCGTCACCATTCCGACGGAGGGGGGCACTTTTTAAAAAAAAATCGCTAAATGTAAAACTATGTTTATGTGTGTGTACCTATGTATATGTGTATGTTCTTGTACAAAACCAAACGAAACGGATAAAATGAAAAATACATTAACAAAATAAAAACGTTATTCGGACGTTTAAGGAGCTCGAATTACGTCTAGGTTCTCACCAACTAAATACTAACTCGCCCCTCAAGTATATGTACTAAGGTGTATCTGTTACAGGTTTAAAATGGGACACCGCTAAGCAGGAGAACGATGGGTCACAAGCTCACCCACAGTGGTTTTTGCTAAATATTTTATATGTGTGTAAGGAGGATTGAGGTGCTAGATATCAGGAAGAATATTTATCTGAGTGTGAACTACTAACGATATGGAAGTCTATAATGTTGAGCCCTATGGATTTCAAAGTGCGTTTCAAAATATTTAGACATTCTCTATTTAACATTTTCATTTTGAAATAACCTATTGAAGAGCTTCACAAATAATATTTCCAAATTGGTTAATTAGTTTCTAAAACTTCCAACAAAATCAAGTTTATTTTATTCTTCTAGAAACGCACTTCGATTCCAACTCTCTGTTTTAATCCAAAAATTAAAAAAAAAAAAGTACAAAATTCCCAAAAACTAACCCCGTTTCCTAATCGTCAACTTTGTTATTGTACATGTTTTGGTGATTTTATGAATGCGAAAATGAGCTTAATAAACTGTCTCTACTGAACTCAAAGAGTTGAATATTCAATTAACCCTCGAAGCGTTTTTTTTCGGTGTACTACATATCTCATTTGATGATCTCGTTTATTGATCTAATTACCATTTAACACGCCGACCTAGGGGCTTACTTCTTTTCAGGCTGTGGGGGGATCACCTCGGCTGGGGGATTTGCGTTACGGAAGTTGGGGAACTGCTCCCAGGGAGCCGACAAGTCAAACTTCCTGAACTCCTGGGCCAACTCCAGAGGTTCGCAGACCACACGTTTCTTCTCGTCGTCGTATCGGAGCTCCACGTAGCCCGAAAGTGGGAAGTCCCGACGCTGTGGGTGTCCCTCGAAACCATAATCGGTCAAAATGCGACGCAAGTCTGGGTGGTTGGCGAAGAAAACGCCGTACATATCCCAAATCTCACGCTCGTACCAGTTGGCCGCCTTGTGGACCTCGCAGGCAGAGTCCAATGGAGTCAGTTCGTCGGTGTAGGTCTTCACACGGATGCGCGAGTTGTAGCGCAGGGACAGGAGGTTGTAGACAACCTCGAAACGGTGCTTCCTGCAGGGCACATCCACGCCAGCAATGTCGACCAAGTTGGTAAACTGCGCCTGGTGGTGATCCTTGAGGAACTGAAGCACGGGGACCACTCCTTCGGGGGCAATAAGGACCTCCAGCTCGTCTCCAGAGGTCAGCTGGACCTTCTGCACATATTTGGGCAAGCACTCAGCCACATATCGACCGAAGTCGGAGAGATGTGACCTGGCGACGGCATCCGGCTTACGAATGGTGGCTATCGGAAGAAGATTGAAGCTGCAGTAATGTGAGTCGATCCATTTATCTGATACTCACGCTTGTCAGCTTTTTTATCTGCTGGTGGAGCGGTGGACATCCGCAGAGCAGCTCCTCCAACAGCTGGCACCACTAAATTATGAGATGAGGTTTGGATGTTAGAACAAAATAGAGCTAATAGAGCTGGGCAGGGCTTTTACTTACACTGTTTGGACGCCAGGGCAGCGACAGTGGCCCGGGCACCCAGATTCCTGATTAAGGCCGCCATTAGTACGAATTGTTTAGTTTAAATTCAACAATTTGCACCCAGTTTTGACAATTTATGTAATGCTAAAATGTCAATACAGTTGTTGTAGTTCCAGGGCTGGGAAATCGACGGGAGTTGACAACCCTGTTAGCTGTTTCGTTTGTGAAGTTAGGAAAGCAATTAATGTAAGAAAAAACTTCATAAATACAAAGAAAAAGTAAAAAAAATTATAACTAAAATATTTACAAAATATATTCCAATTTAACATCAAATTACATTTTATTTTTCAGCTGGAACGCGTGGAAAAGAGTGGCTAGTGTTGAAAAATACGATCCAAGGGGCAGTGCTGAAAAGCGTAGGGTGACAGTTCTTATAGCGACGCCACAATAGGAAATTGCAAAATAAATCAAAACAAACGAAAATGGTAAGTGGAATCCCGCAGTTATCCATTTAAATTCTTACGTGTTTTATCCCTTTCGATCCGCAGAATCATCTAAAGTGGATGGGGCACTCGTCCACGATAATGGACATCCAGCGCTCACTGCGGAACGATTCCCAGAGCTGTGAAGTGGTGCTGGCCTCCAGGGATGGAGTTCGGGTGCGCGCCCATCTCTTCGTGCTGAGTACTTGCAGCGACCTGATGCGGAACATTCTAGTGGACGTGCTCCCGGGGCAGGAGGCTACCATCATGCTTCCTGATATAAGGGGCGAACTTCTCGAAAGCATGCTTTCCTTTATATACATGGGAGAGACCAGCCTGCCCTCCGCGTCGCTCTCGGAGTTTTTGGAAGCCATCAATCTTTTGGGAATCAAGTCTGCCATTAGTTTTGAGTGCAATCCTTCGATTTCAAATCACTCCGCGGACGTAAGCTCAGCTAGTACGATGGCTGTGGAGACTGCCAAATCCATATCTGGTCTGCAGATAGCCCAGGCAGAACTTCTGGAGGACGAGGAGGAGGTCCCAGCCCCCAGTACCGTTGCAGCCACTGTCATGGCTGACCCGCCCACTCACTCTGCACGTTCGCTGGAATACTTGGACGTATACGACCCCCCGAAGATCACCTACTCCATCGAGCATATGGATGGAAACACAAGTGGCAATCAGTATATTCTTACGGAAAATACGGGAACCTTTACCATTACACAGACCGCTTCTTCTCTGAGCAAGCTAACAGACCCAACGGAAGCAGCGGCTGGTGTTGCCGATGCGGAAATGGCGGAAGAAGATGTTGACGCAGATGGGGATGGGGACGCGGATCAGGACCCAGACGTAGACCTTGCTGAAGACTCCGAGGAACCCGATACCCAGATTCTAGAAGAAGAGTATGTGGCAACCAATCCGCCTTTCGAGATAGAAAACGCAGGAGACATGGACGACGATGATATGCCCGAGGAAATTGATGAGGAAATTCTGGAGGTAAAACCACGTAAGTTTGGTGGAGGAAAACCACGCGGCCGCCGTTCAATGGGTGCCAGGACGACAAGGAGGTCATTTGGTAAGCACCACCAGCACCAGCAAGAGGAATTCGTGAATCTGAAGCGCGATATAAAGGATGATATTAACGATGCCCTGGACATGGCAGCAGATGCAGTGATCCTCGAGGGATTGAGCCTGCAGAAGGCAGCCGATCGATTCGACATCTCCAAAACGGTGCTGTGGCGTCGTGTGCGCACTAATCCAGCTTATATGCGAAACAATCGGGAAAGGCCTTCACTTTCGGAGGCATATGAGCGCCTTAAGAACGGAGACTCTCTGAAGAGCATCAGCCAGGACCTGCGTATCCCCATGTCCACTCTGCACCGGCACAAGGTACGTCTGTCGGCCCAAGGCCGTCTGCCCGATTTCGTGGCCTGTCGCCGCAGGGACACCACGCCGAAGGACGAGCTACGCGACAAATTGGCCAAAGCAGTACATGCATGCCTGAACGAGGGCATGTCCCAGAATCATGCAGCGAATCTCTTTGAAATCCCGAAGAGCACACTTTGGCGTCACCTTCAGCGCCAGGAGGACCGGAAGGTTAAGAAGGAGCAGCAGGACGAGTACGAGGACGATCTGTTAAACTAGAGTTTGTAGAAGCAATCTTTAGTTTCTTTTTTAGATTTATTTTTAAGCAGTTTACGCGTACTTTGTCCCATCAAAATGCATATAATACTAATAGCATGTTAATGTTTATAATCTAAAATAAACCAAACCTATCATATACGTTATTTTATCAATGAAGTAGTGTGAGAATTCAAGCACTAGGTAGTTCCCCCGAAATAAATCTAAGAAGCCATTATTGCTAAGTAAATGCGTGTGTGTAGGACGTCCCCTCAACGTGTTCTCCTCCATAGTTTCCTAATTATGAATTTAAATAAAAATAGAAAACCCTAAATAATATGTTACGAGTCTGGTGTTGGATGTAGGGTTTATTAATCTAAAAGGTTGGTTCGATTTCCTTCAGAATCTTACCAATTATTCTAAAGAGTTATGGTCACACCTTATTCCGTCCATGGATCAGAAATCAGCTGACAGGAATGAAGATTCCCCGGCGAAGGGTAAACAATGTCCAGGATACAACCTGCTAACCGATCTCTGCTGAGCAGGTTCGAGATACTCCTCTACTTCGGCGTTTACATTGCCTACATAGTGACTGGCCTGTACAAGATATATGGACTGAGGGATCGCATTGCCGGGGAGTCCAAGTTCCAGTTCTCGGAGGGATGGAGCCTGTATCCATTCTCGCAGCGTAGGCGAGATGATAGCAACGACGAGTTGGAGAACTTTGGAGACTTCATCGTTAGGTTTTGGCCCTACTACGTCCTCCATGCGCTCGTTCAAGGTTTAATCTGCTGGAAGCGGCCACGACTTCAGAGCTACGGATTTGCAGGAGTATGTGCCCTTGCACTGGGCTTAAACCTAGACTGGTCATCAGGACTCGTGGTGGCCACGCTGATTGGTAGCTACTACTTGGTTGCCTTGAGTTCCTCCAAGAAACTGGTGTGGCTTGTTTCTGCCGGATGGATTGTCTGCATAAATCTGATGCAGAAGAATGCCTGGTGGACGGATCGTGTGGGGTACTCGGAGTACGCCCTGGTGATAGTCACCTTGTCCTGGAGCTTGCTTAGAGGCTGCAGTTTCGCCTTGACCAGGATGCGAGCTAAAGATGAGGATTTGGAACGATATACCTTAATTGAATACCTCGGATACGCTTTGTACTTTCCCTGCCTGACCTATGGACCCATCATCAGCTACAGGAGATTCGCATCCAGGCGCGAGCAGCAACAGGACTGGCTGAGCTTTGCTGGCGGCATACTCCGCAGTGCTATTTGGTGGCTGGTCATGCAGTGTGCCCTCCACTACTTCTACATCCATTACATGTCGCGGGATGTGCGCATGGTGGAACTGATGGACTCTGTGTTCTGGCAGCACTCGGCCGGATATTTCATGGGCCAGTTTTTCTTCCTGTACTATGTGGTCACCTACGGTTTGGGCATAGCTTTCGCCCAGCAGGACGGGATCCCAGCGCCAAAGCGACCGCGTTGCATCGGAAGGATTCACTTCTACTCCGACATGTGGAAGTACTTTGACGAGGGCCTCTACGAGTTCCTATTTCAGCACATCTACTCGGAGATGTGCGGGCGGGGATCCTCGATAGGCGCCAAGTTTGGAGCAACTGCCCTGACGTTTGCCTTTGTTTTCGTGTGGCACGGCTGTTACACGTATGTGCTCATATGGAGTGTCTTGAATTTCCTCTGCCTGGCGGCGGAGAAGCTCTTCAAGGCCCTGACTTCCCTGCCAGCCTATCAGCGATGGACCCTCCGCTATTTAGGCCCAGTCGGGGCTCAACGCCTGTACGCCATGATGGCCACGCAGCTCTTCATTCCAGCAGCATTTTCCAATGTGTACTTCATCGGAGGCCAGGAAGTAGGAGACTTCCTAATGCGAGGCGCTTACCTAAGTGGCGTAGGTAACTACATGGCGCTCTGCTTCTGCAGCTACTGCTTCTTCCAATGCTCCGAGCTCCTTATGACCAAGTCGAAAGACAAAAACAACTTACCTCGCAGAAAGTCTGCTTAGATATTAAGTGAAAAGTGACTTATTTTGTACCATTTGTATTACGAAAGTATTTTGAAACGAGTACAATTAAATAACAGTATAAGAAGACTTACTTTATGTCCTTCCCCTCCTTGAAAATGGCTATATCTTTCCCAATTCTCATCCGATTTCCAAGCGGAGTACCTTAAACGATTTCTGGATCGATTCGCCACCGTTCTGCACCAAAATCCTGAGACAAAATATTTTTTAGATTTTTTGTCCATTTTTCGTGATGGGACCCCTTGAAAGTGGGGTTTTCCCCTATAGCGTCCACAGTGAAGGCTATATCTTTGCCAATTCTTATCCGATTCTCAAGCGGAGTACCTTAAACGATTTCTGGATCGATTTGCCACCGTTCTGCATTAAAATCCTGAGACAAAATATTTTTAAGATTTTGTGTTCATTTTTCGTGATGGGATCCCTTGAAAATGGGGTTTTCCCCTATAGGGTCCACAGTGATGGCTATATCTTTCCCAATTCTTATCCGATTCTCAAGCGGAGTACCTTAAACGATTTCTGGATCGATTTGCCATTGTTCTGCATTAAAATCCTGAGACAAAATATTTTTTAGATTTTTGTCCATTTTTCGTGATGGGATCCCTTGAAAATGGGGTTTTCCCTTATAGGGTCCACAGTGATGGCTATATCTTTCCCAATTCTTATCCGATTCTCAAGCGGAGTACCTTAAACGATTTCTGGATCGATTTGCCATTGTTCTGCATTAAAATCCTGAGACAAAATATTTTTTAGATTTTTTGTCCATTTTTCGTGATGGGATCCCTTGAAAATGGGGTTTTCCCTTATAGGGTCCACAGTGATGGCTATATCTTTCCCAATTCTTATCCGATTCTCAAGCGGAGTACCTTAAACGATTTCTGGATCGATTTGCCATTGTTCTGCATTAAAATCCTGAGACAAAATATTTTTTAGATTTTTTGTCCATTTTTCGTGATGGGATCCCTTGAAAATGGGGTTTTCCCTTATAGGGTCCACAGTGATGGCTATATCTTTCCCAATTCTTATCCGATTCTCAAGCGGAGTACCTTAAACGATTTCTGGATCGATTTGCCATTGTTCTGCATTAAAATCCTGAGACAAAATATTTTTTAGATTTTTTGTCCATTTTTCGTGATGGGATCCCTTGAAAATGGGGTTTTCCCCTATAGGGTCCACTGTGATGGCTATATCTTTCCCAATTCTTATCCGATTCTCAAGCGGAGTACCTTAAACGATTTCTGGATCGATTCGCCACCGTTCTGCATCAAAATCCTGAGACAAAATATTTTTTAGATTTTTTGTCCATTTTTCGTGAAAAACCCCTTGAAAATGGGTTTTTCCCTATAGGGTCCACTGTGATGGCTATAACTTTCCCTATTCTCATGCGACCGTGTGGAAAGGTAATGCTCTCAAGAATCCATCCAATTCTTGACTCTATTGACGGGTTATAAAGAGGTAAAAACAAAAAAATTTTTTTTTTTTTTTGAATTTTTTAATTATTTTTAAAAAATATGGTGTTCCTAAGTACCCCATATGAGAATCGAGGAGGAGGGCACTTTTTTTTTTATTATTTTTATTTTTTTGTTTAATTGGGTTCTATTCTATAAGAATTTATATATTTTGAATATATTTATAAGAAAATGGTATGACAGTATATTCATTCATACATCTTGGCGCTATTTGCCAAAAACTTCACAAAAACTAAAATCTGCTTGGAATTTTTATTCAGAATGATAGATAATGGTTCCAGAAGTCATTTTAATCATCCCGCAGAGGCAGAGTTATAGCCTTTGCTGGGGACATACTGGCATTCCCCGTGTTTTTGCAGGGGACCCCCTACAAATTTTGACAAAAAATCCAAAAAAATATTTCCCTCCAAGATTTTTTTAGATTTTGGATTTCTAGATCGATTTGCCACCGTTCTGCATCAAAATCCTGAGTCAAAACATTCTTTAGATTTTTGTTCGATTTTTCGTGATGAGAGAAACTAGTTCGCGTAGAAACAGACAGATAGAGGGACATGCTTAAATGAACTCAGGAGGTGTTGCTGATCGAAAACATATATTCTTTATAGGATCGGGGATGTCTCCTTTACTGCGTTGCACACTTTTGATCAAAGTTATAATACCCTCTGCAAGGCTATAAAACACAACTGACCTCGCGAAAAGGCTGCCTAGATATTAAGTGAAAAGTGACTTATTTTGTACCATTTGTATTACAAAAGTATTTTGAAACGGGTATTAATAATTAACAGTATAAGCCGACTTTCATGTCCTTTATCCTTCCCCTCCTTCAGCATTTTCCTGCCAGTCTAACCACCTGGTTTGTGTGTATGTAGAGTTTTCCAGGAATTCCAGTTCGTTCAGCATCTCCTCGCAGGTTTGTGTATGCTGGGTGTTGTGCAGGTTATCTGGCCAGTAGGTCTGTGTTTGGATGTGAGATAGGCCCAGCTCCTCGAACAGTTCGTCGCAAGTCTGGGTGTACATGTGAGCGGATGTCTGAAGACCGAACATGGACTCGTTTCCAGGATAGGTCGGGAAGTTGCTCTCTGCTGGCGGTGGGGCTGGATTCTGACTTTGCTCCTGAACTGGGGGTAGTTCCTCCTCTGGTATGTCATCTGTCATCGTGCCCTGATCCCATCGCGTCTCTGGAGTCTGCGTCTCAATGTCGCGCAGCAATGGGGCCAGAACTTCGTTCTTGATCTCGTTAAGATCATCGAACTCTGTCTGGGTCTCAATGTCCAACTTCTGTGACTCGATTAGTTCCAGATATTCAATCTGCAAGGTGGGCAGATAGCATAGGATTTGCTCCTCAGGTACGGGATCGGGGATAGGTTCCGAAGGCGGAAGTTCTGGGACTTTTTTCGGAGGTGGATTTAACTTTTTCCATGTGTTCAGCGAGGGTATGGAAACCTTGTTCGTTGGAATATCTGCAATGTGGTTCTTCCGTCGCATGTGCGTCCTCAGGGCAGCCTTGCTGTTGTACGTCAGCTCGCAAACAGGACACTTGTGCTCCAAGCACTCATGCTTCTCCAAGTGCCGCTGGAGCAGGAACTTCTCGCCACAGCCTTGGCATTCGAAGTTTTTGTCCAGGTGGCTCTTCTGGTAATGCTGTCGTAGCAGCCGCAGACTGCTAAAGCTCCGGCAGCCCTTTCTCTCGATATGGTAGATGCACTGCTCCACGGGGCAATGATAGGCGGTGGGCTCAGGTGTCTTATTTGATGGTATGACGACCTTGTGCCGCTGGCGGAGGTGCAGCTGGTAGTGGCTCTGGTTTCCGAACACCAGATTGGGACACTGGTCACAGCGGTGCTCCCGTACGGGCTGTAGTTCGGAAACGTCTGGAGTAATTTGTTTCATCTGCACCAAAACAATAACAAAAGGACCACCCTAAAGTTTGAATCAGATGTTTATCGAAGATTGCAGTGTGACCAGACAGCGATAGGTAGTGGATTTTGGAGAGAAATACCAATATCAATAGCACACCTGGTTACACGGATATCGAATTAATTTATTGAAAGTAAACACGTAAAAGTCTCTCGTAACCAATTTCGAGGTAATGCCACTTTCGAAATAAAAATTAAACTCTTTAAATTGCAAAGGTGTAAGCAATCATAAAAGGCATTTAAATAACGGCATTTCAAAATCCTTTTACTGTTGCTAAAATCAGATACTCCTAAGATTAAGATACATATGTATCTTCCCGTGTATATACATATGTTTTGGTTATGTGCGTGTGCTCAAAATTTGCATAAATATGAACTGAATTTACGGGTATATCGCGGATACAATTGAAAGTGCGATTGAAAGTATAGGAACTACCCTACATCTATAAAAGTTGGTCGCAACACGCCAGTTTGCATTCCAGCCTCACCTGAACACACACACACACACCTGTTAGGTGTTGCTCTTGTTTTTTTTTTAGCCGTCCCGCCCCCTTTTTGCTACCGCCTACAAACGCGGCTATTTTTGGCGCGACTACGTCATCTGTAGCATCAATTCAAAACATCTGGTGTGAAGATAATGTGCGCGAACTATCAAAACGAAACCACATCATGGAGCTGAGGGGGGGACCTGGGGTTAGGCCGTTTCAAAAGGCACCCGCCCAAGGCCGCCCAACCTCAAGCAGATAGTTGTAGTTTCCAGTAATTGCTTTCTGCGGGCTGTAATTATGCTTTTCTTAAAAAAAGTTAAAGATCAAAGTTGAAGTTGTGGAACAACCTACCTTTGAACAGAATTCATTATTATTTATATTTTCAAAAGGCCACACATCCACTGTGTCTGAAATTAACACAAAGGCTAAAATTAAATACATATTAAGACGTTTTTTTTCAAATCTCTTCTGTCAGACCTTGCACGCACAGACATACACAGCTGAATTCTAATTTTTATAATACCCTCTCTTAATGTCTTAAGACTTTGTGGTTTCAGAGAAATAAAAGTTATCAGATATCATTTTTTAAAAGTGAAATTGAGTTCCATTTCCCAAAAGATAAGAATTTCCCTTAAAAACAAACTAAAAGTATTCGAACCCATTAAGAACTTCTAAGAAAAGAGGACATAAATTAAACAATTATTTTTATTAGTTTTCATAGTCATATAGACAATAACTAGAAAAACTTTTTCAACAAAAGCCAATTAGCTGGATGTCAAGTTTGAAAGAACCAGAGATTCATCTGAGCTGAGAGATAATTGTCTGACGTAACCACTGTAATGCAGTATCTGTAAGATTGGTTGTCGTGCCTGTGGCTGAAAATCGTCAATTAGTGTCGTCAGTCGGTCATACGCCTCTGGTCTTTATCTCTCCATGCGCGGAAAATTTGGAAACCCCAAAATAGTGACGTATGCGATTGCTAATTTCATTATCGTGTTGGCCGAAATCAAGTATAAACCGATTCAGAGTTGATTCAGCAGCTTGGAAATGCATATCGCCCACATCCATCATCGTATCCAGCATTGAATCGAATCTGTAGTTGTTTCCGCCAAGTGCATCAGCTTTTAGCCAACTGTTGGCGTTCTGGCCAAGACATCTGGTTCTCGGCACTCGGCCATATCTACTTCCGCCTGCAACTTTGAGTTTCCATGTGGATATCTGACTGTGCGGGTATCTGTTGCATGCCAGCCAACGGAGAAAGTTGGCCTGGCTATTGGATGAGGGGCAGGTCATTGTCCATAGTGCCTCGCTAAAAAGTGTTTGAATATTTGTCTATTGGGTCAAATATTTGTTTAAAATCATTGCCTGCCAATTTCAGTAACTTATCTGAAGCGAACAATCATCAACCAGAAACTCCAAACACGCTTCCAATTACCTACATGAGTACATACATACTCCCTTCATGGAATTCAAATTGCTAATTGCGATGTGACCTCTTTTAGATGATCAAGCCCTGTCCGCGTTTCCATCAAAGTACACTGACGAAAAATGCTACCCACCTTTAAGTCCAAAAACCTCAACCTAACTCAACATTTTGGGAAAGAATCACACTAATCTAATCTAATTTATTGTATTTTCTTTATATGTATTAGCATATATATTTCAGAATTGTCTTGCAGGGTATATATATGTGGATGTCTCTTCAAGAGAATCGCATAATGCTCTTCTCTTTGATAGATTCGATTTGTGCCAAATGAGTAAAAGTGACTCATGGCTGGCCATAGGGCTGTGATCTATTTTTAGTCCTTGTTTTTTTTAATCGCCTCTCAGTTGGACATTTACCTTTATTTTGAAACAGTTCTTTATTAAAAAAGTGTATAAACTTATCAATAAAATACTTTTTTAAAGGTGTTCCCATATAAATTATAGTATTTTTGAATAGAACTCTGATTCAGATTAAACAATTAGTAGCCTCAATTGCCAGAACGTATTGCACGAATCTCCAATTAAATGATTAGTTTATTTTCTCTTTTAATTTTCCTTTTTAGAACGCCAAGTGCATTTATTAATCTACCAAAATGAGCAAACCGGGCAGCAGTGCGCCACCGCAGTTCACCTATGTGCCGCCTCCCTCGGCGCCACCGTCCTACCAGGAGGCCGTCGGCGGGGTGAAGCCTGTGGGTCCCTACACGCCGGTGGCAAACACCACGATTGTGACCACTGTGGTGCCCATTAGCCGCACCTCGACCCACATGATCTGTCCGTCTTGCCATGCTGAGATCGAAACGACGACGCGCACAGAGCCTGGAATGATTGCCTACTTGTCTGGATTTCTGATTGCATTGTTCGGGTAAGTGGGCTGCATTATTCATAGTCCAAGAACGTGCATTCATTGAATCTTTCTTATCTTGTTCAGTTGCTGGCTGGGATGCTGTCTGATACCCTGTTGCATCGACGACTGCATGGATGTCCATCACACGTGCCCCAACTGCCGGGCGTACCTGGGCCGCTACCGTCGATAATTCGGCCCAATCCCAATCCAAACGAATCTGGAAGCTCCAATATCACCGTGGTGTAGGCGGCTTACTTTAAGAGAGCGTTTTGCCTTTATTTATTTAATTGTAGAAATGTCATTCGGATTCCGACGAGACAAGGCTTCCCCTAATCTAACGCTAACTTTTCTAAATTGCTCAACCCGTCTTACCCCCGTTTCGATCGTTTTTATTTGGCATAAGCTAACTCTTTACCTGTTGATTGTACGTTTCTGCCACAGACTAAAGATAGGTATATATGTATGTAAATTAAACGGTCCAGCCATCCGCGGATAGATTACTACAAAAATGAAATAAACTTGCTTTTGTACGCAAACTCGGCCCGGAACCATAAGCACTTTGAGACGCGCTTATAAATATCAGCACAAATTGTAAATCCATTGAACTTCGGCCCTAGTTTTGTTGCACATCGATGGTCAAGCAAGTGACCTAAATTAGTTTTTAGTCATTTTAGCTAAAGACAAATACAAGATATTTTTGTAACAATTTGTAAAGAATCTTCAGCGAAAGTGCATATTGTACACTATAAAAGCTAATCCGTGTAAAAATTAATCACTTAATCTTTTATTCATAATTGAATTTTTATTTTTAAATAAAAATAAAATGTGACTAAAAATTGTCCAAATAGGTTTAATGGGAGATGTCCTTTTAACTAAAAGGTAGTTTAATTTTTAAAATATTGGGAGAGTATACATTTTAAAAAATAAGTGTGACCGCATAATATGTAACGGAAAACGCAGAATGTTTATCGATTACCTCTGGAATCTCACCATTTTGTTTGGCTTTAAAAAGGAAGGAGCAAATTCTAACGAATTTCGGAATTTTTAAAGGTACATTGGGTTTTGTTTTTGCATTTTATGAAACCTAAGGTAGTGCCACAGACAGTTGCATAGTTAGAAGTTAAAAGCAGCACGTTCTAAATCATCTGAAAGGAGAAAAACTGAAAATTAGAACCACACGTGCTTGGATACCTATGGTGACCAGAGTGAGGGTTTCGGAAATAACGATTTTATCCACCCGTTTACGTCACTACTTTCGAAACATGGACTGCTTGGACCTCCAGCCACCTGCCTCCGTTCGCGGAATGCAGGAGCTGCAAAGGGAGCGGTTCCAGAAGAGTGTCCCCATTCCCAGATTGCGTGTACCTGAGTCCCACGTCCAGCTGGTGATGCCTTTGGTCAAAAAGTTTCTGCTTAAAATGGAGCACCTGCATCCTGTGAGGGCGCTCGAAGCTAACCGTGAGATCCTTCTGCATCCGACACCCGTTAAGGACTGGGACTCTCTGCCCACTGAGGAGTTGCAGCAGAGGGAGGTGACCAAGGAGCATTTTATTGTATCGGACCTAGAACTATCCTATGAGAATTGGAGCGCCAACGAAATACTGAAGAGCGTCCTGCCGGCGGAGGAGGAAGGCCTCACCTCCTACTCCCGCATCGGCCACATCGTTCACCTGAATCTTAGAGATCACTTGCTGCCCTACAAGCAGCTAATTGGTCAGGTCTTTCTAGACAAGCTGCCCAACTGCCGCACGGTGGTGAACAAGGCTGCCACTATAGACAACACTTACCGCAACTTCCAACTGGAGTTGATCTGTGGAGAGGAAGATTACCAGGTGGAGACCAAAGAGAATGGGGTGCCTTTTGAGTTTGACTTTTCAAAGGTGTATTGGAATCCACGCCTCTCCACAGAGCACGAAAGGATTGTAAAGTTGCTAAATGCCGGAGACGTGCTCTACGATGTCTTCGCAGGCGTGGGGCCTTTTAGTGTCCCGGCGGCCAAGAAACGCTGCCATGTGCTTGCCAATGATCTAAATCCAGTGAGCTTCCAGTGGCTGCAGCACAATGCCAAAAGGAACAAGTGCTTGTCCCACATCCAAATGTTTAACAAGGACGGGCGGCAGTTTATTCTGGAAGAGCTGAAGAAAGATTTGCTGAAGCGCCTTTTGGAAACTGACACCACCTCCTATTCCATCCACATAACCATGAATCTTCCCGCCATGGCAGTGGAGTTCTTGGATGCTTTTAGAGGTATTTTTAAGGAGGAGGAGCTGAGTGACCTCCCTAGTAATGTAGTTTACCCCTTGGTCCATGTTTATTCGTTTGCGAAGGGAGAAAACACCAAGCAGCTAGTGCAAGAGCTGGTTGAAAGCAATCTGGGCACCACCCTGGATGATGAACTACTCCAGGGCATCAGTTTTGTTAGAAACGTGGCACCCAACAAGGATATGTACAGGGTTTCCTTCAGGCTCTCGCACAGATTACTGACAACTCCCAAAGAGGCCGTCTCGGTAGCCTCTAGGAAGCGAAGCGGCGAGGAGGAGGATGTGCCCACCAAAGTGAAATGTGTTTGATATTTAAAGGAAATAAAGCTATTACTTTATTTAAAAACCATGAACCATGTCTCCTCTTATTCTATTTTCAGATGGGTCGCAACAAGGCGAATAACAAAAAGGTGGCTCCCGGGGCAGGGAAGCCAAAGACTCCCCTGAACAAGTCCAAGAAGGCCAAAAATGTGTTCAAGGTGGCCGACAGCAACAAGGGCAAAGGCAAGAAGCCCAAGGAGGTGCAGGGAAAGCTAAAGCAGGTAAGAAGTTATGGTCTCTAAAATAATAAAACATTAAACTGGGTGTAATTTCTAGATCAAGGAGTCCGTCAAGGCTAAGCAGGAAAAGGTGGATGCCAGCCTCAAGACGCTGCACAAGGATCTGGTGGTGAAGAAGCCCAAGGCCGCGGTGGCTCCCATCAAGAACCAAAAGAAAAAGGCGGGAAATGCCCAAAAGGTGTCCGACACGCTTGGAAAGCTCAAGTTTTGAGCAATCAGAAGGCTATTGAATTAGTCTGATTTGCGATTTACATAGAAGTAGTTAGTCCCATTTATTGTTAAAACTAGAACAAAGATCAGGCAAATATACCCCATGGCTATATCAGCAGTGATGGGAAGGTCTACCTCCTAGAGATTTGTACCTTTACCTATTAGGAAATTAATGTTTTATCCAAAATAACAAAAAAAAACTACTTGTGTTTAGTTTCCTGCCCCTTTATACACATACGATTTGTAATATATTTTAAATTCCATTTAAAATTGTATAATATTTACAATGCCTAGGTGTCTCCTTTGACCATGTCCCAGACCATGTGTCTTTCCCATCACTGTGCATTAGCTGAGTCCCCTAAACCGTCACTGTGTTGGAGTTATTGGGGGGCACTACTGCACCCGGGATTCGGGTTGGAGCAGGGAGAGATGCTGGAGCGGGTGTGGTGGTTATGTTTACGACATTCCATCCAAAGAACTGACGAATTCCAACGTCCAACTGGACAGTGTCAATGCCAGCGTTCTGAAGCTGGGTCAGTAAGCGGGTAACTTCCGCCGAAGCCACCCAGCGATCGTAGACGACCCGAAGGCCCTGGACTCTGGACCAGAACTGGGAGAAGATGCCCGGCTGCATAAGTTTCGCATCGATGTGTGCTCGAATGGCGTATATGGGTACATATAGCTGCGCCTCGTTCAGGAATCCTTGCCAGCCGTAGACCGTGCCAGACCAATAGGGAAAGCGATTCAACAGTGGCACTTTCAGCTCCTGTTCCTCCATTTCCCAGCCGCCACCAGAGGCGAGAAGTTGCTGGTCCACCCACTGCAGGAAGAGGATGAGCTCCGGCTGGGAAAGCAGACGCCAGCGGGCTGTGACGGCGTCGTTGCTGTTGATAATCCGGACAAAGGCCTGGAACTGGGCATCGTTAATGAGGTAACGCACCGCCAGTTGCTTCAGCTGCTTCCACTGCACTAATAGTTGGATCGGCTCCAGGTCCTGGGTCAGAGTTGGCGGCGGAGCTAAGGTTCCGATGGGAAGAGGGGGATACTGTCCATTGGGTGGTCCAATCAGTTGAGGTGGCCACTGGGCGAGGGAGCTGCTGGCCAGCGAGATCAGAAACAGCCAGCCCAGAGTGAAAGCCATGACTGAAGGAAGATGACGGATCCCCGAAAATATATCGCCCTTTATATATCATTCCCAGATTATCATCTTCTGATAACAAATCCCCGGAATTTGTCGCAGCAACATCACTGTTTACACTCGGCGGGATCTGATAAGCGTTCTTCGATCTGTTTATAGTTCCGAGATTAGCTCTTCTCCCAGCAGCATCTCCAAATCCCCCACGGAAGTCTCTGATATTGGGTAAACAAGGGGCTAAAATTGTCCAAGAGAAAGTACTCAGGTGTACGAATTTATAACATGCTAAGCTTTATTTTCAAAGTGAATCACCAAACAATCCAACGAACACTTCATAACATCAGGATGTACATAGCTCCACATACATACACAAGGCAAAACCAAACTTGGGATGGGGATGGGGGTTACGAGATGGAGGATTACGGGAATATATTGCAGTCCTGGCCAAATGAATGATATCCGAATATTGAAAGGTTAAAGCAAGCAATGGTTACATGGGAATCCCGAGAGGATTGAAAAGGATTTACGTATACAGTTTGGGGTAAATGGATAAGCCATGAGCTGGGCATGAGAATGAGGATGAGGATGAGAACACCTTCAACTTTACCTTAAGACATATTAAAATAAGTCGTATGTAATAATAACTAACTTAACCGATAAACGCATGTGAGTGTGATTAGGGGATGGGATGGGATCTGAAGGATCTCCTAGCTGCCATCCCCGACCATCCGGCGTCGCATCCAGCCGGGTATGTAACCCCTAACGGCCTCACCCAACTGTCGGTAGATGATTAGTCCTAGGATGGGCAGCACCAGGCGGGTGTCTTTGAACAAGTAGACATAGCAGGCCACCAGGAAGAGGACCAGATCCGTGCAGTAGCTTAAGGCGGAGCGCACCTTTTCGTGGGCCTGCTCCTCCGACTGGAGTAAGGCCAGGGCGGCTGCCTTCTCGAGAAGATCCCGGTCGGCAGCAGAAAGGACAAGTGCTGTCGAGGGAGTAGCCTCCAGAGCGGGTGCTCGACTAAGTGAGGCGTCCCGCGAACGAGTGCTGGAAGGCACCCGCCTCTTGATCACCCTCTTCACCTTCACCAGGCGAGTCCTGCCCCTGGCATCAGGACGAGCTTCGACCATCTCGCTCATGACGCTCTCAGTTTCAGACTCGCTCTTATTCTTGGACTTGGGGGGTGGTACAATCAGCACAGTGGGATACTCCGGCTCTTCGTCGGGCTGCTCATACGGTTGCTGGACAGGAGAGTCCGGCCGAGGTTGCTCCTCCGCTTCAGGAGCCTTGTGAAGTGCCAGGTTGCTGGCAGCATCTCGGACATGGACGAGCTGCTCTCGCTCCGAGATGGACAGACGGCGTTCCCGGACCACTGGCGGAGCCAAAAGCATGTCGTCGTTGCTACCGAGCCTCTTCTTCAGTTCCGCCTTGGTGGAGGTCAGCAGGTCCTCCTCATCGGTTTCTGCCGCAGCCTTTGCCGCTGCCCGCTTCAGTTCATCCCTGTCCAGGTAGAGCGGCGTGTGGTATCTGTGGGAGCTGCCCACCTCGCGCACCAGATCGCTGTAATGGTCCACCGCGGCGTGGGACTCCTCCTGCATAAGACGGTCTTCTTCCTGACGTCGCAGCTCCTCCTCCTCCTTGGCCCGTCGCTTTGCTTCCAAGTCGGCCGCAATAGCTGCTGCGTTTGTTTTCTCCAAAGGATTGGATATCTCGGCGTTAGCCTCCGTGTTCTTTTCGGTGGCTGATCGCTTGTCCCGGCTGAAGAAGGACTTGATGCCCTTCGCCAAGTCCATTTTGAGATTACTAGGATTAGTGGGAGGCACTGTCGGAGGGGCTGAAGCGGTAATCGATTCCTTGGCAGGTCCAGTGGGTTGAGGACTAGGTAGAAATTCCACGTTCTCGTTGGAGGATCGTTTCAGAATGGGTTTTGGCACGAAATCGGGGCTTGGGAGTGGCACTGGACGAGTCAGGACCACGGCTGCCTGCTCCGGAGTAGGCGCCCGGTAGGGAGTGAACGTTCCAGATGCCATACTGCGTGGATGATAGGTTTCCAGATCCCGGGGACTCGGCGACCGAGTTCGTGCCAGCAGCTCCATCTTAAACTTCTCAATGGAGTCCTGCTCCGAGGACGCAGTGCTCTCCGTATAGTCGGATCCAAGGTCACAGCTCGACTGTTGCTGGAGCTCCTTAGGCGGTCGATACTCCTCGTCCTCGTCGTAGTCTATGTCTTCGCTGTCGTCGGCCGTGCTCTCAGTAAGATGTTCCTCCTCCAAATCCAGTTCCTCCTGCTCCAGCTGCTGTCTAGGCTCGGGACTGGGGCGCGTTTCCAAAGGCAGCTGTCCTGTGGTGTGGATGCGCGACAGATTCGATTCGTTGACATTCTCCCTGGAATCCCATTTGCGTCCCATGGACACCATGTCCGCTGACTGGCGACGCAGCTCGCTCCTTCTTTCGAAGGAAACCCGCTCAGCCTCCGAAATGGAACCGAGGCGCTTTCGAAGATTGGCCGGCGGCTGGTGAGGTGGATTGGCCAGCTTTTCTTGCGATGTCTTTCGCGATTTGGAGGCCTGTTCCAGTTCTACAGCCTCATAGAACCTGGCCATCGCCCGCTCGTAAAGAAGCTCTGTAGAGCTTACGGAGCGACGGAGCGGGAAGGTGGTGTGCAAGTTGGTGAACTCCAGGAAGGCCAGGTCCGGAGCCGAAATCGAAATGGGCGGCGGCTGAATAGCGTCCTCCAGGTCCAGCTCAAAGGAGTCTTGTTCTGTAAAAAGTTAGTATGTAGTTTCCTGGAGTCCTTAACCTCCCTTGATACTCACTGTCCTTGTCCTTGACCTTGCTGTTCTTATCGAAGACTACGAGCATAAACTCATTGCTGGTATGCACGTCATCGTGTTTGTCCGCCGTCCTGGAGAATCGCCTAGAAGTAGAAGGAGCTGCAGCTGGAACTGGAGATGGAGATGGAGAGGAAGGAGCTGGGGATCGCATCGGTGGTAGCTCCTCTTGGGGCGTTGGAGGCGCACTGATTTCTATAGTTGGCAGCTTTTCACCAATCACTGCAGTCACCCCTGAAGCCACCGCCAGGGCCAAGGAGGGTACATTTCTGGCCGGGCTCAGGGTTTGACCGGAGAAGCGCCGCACATTCTGATTGACCCCCAACTGGACAGGCTCCGCACTCCTGAGCAAAGCTGGTGTGGATTTGATGGGCTCCGGTGGCGTGGGACTTTTGCGAAGGGGAAACGGTTGCCTCTTGTTGGGTGGACTCAGACTTCTCTTCCGATTGGGAGAGGATTTCTCCAGCTTCTCTTTGGGTGGCGTTGGCAGAGGCTGAGGCTGCAAAGGGCTTCTGTCCCTGGGAGCCGACGCAGGCTTCGGGTTGAATAGTTTGAGCGGCGAAAGGGTCGGCGACTTTGGTGGCTTTGGAGGCGATACCTTCTCTGGTACTAACACCTTCTCCACGGGGGCCAGAGTAGTGGTGACCAGGGTCAGGTTGAGCTTCGGATTGGAGCCAGCGGTCGTCGGCTTGGCGGCCAAGTCGGCGCTGCTCTGGGAAGGACTCTTCCGCACATCCATCTTCAGAGCCTGATCCGAGGTGCCGTAGGACATCTCGTGATGCAGCTGCTCGTTGTCGATAAGCTGAGGTTTCGGCTTCCTCTTCGCGCTGGGCGACTGCTTGGGAGACATTCCAGTCGCGGCATCGGCATGCGGACGTGGTGGCGAGAGGGTCTTCCGGCGTGGAGGAACCTGCACCGACGAAGCACTGCCCTTGTTTTTGTCCTTCTCGTCCCCAGCAATCCGGATGGCTGACTTGGGTTTTGTGATACCCCTCTTCGGATCGGGTATGAAGAGCAGTTCAGACTCCCCGGAGGGCTCACTCAATCCGTAAGGGTTCTCTGCCTTCACCCGGAACTTGTACTCGGATCCCTCGATCAGATCGTGAAGCGTTGTCGTCAAAGCCCGAGTGGTGGCCGCCTTCAGCCAGACATTCCAGCCGACGCGGAAGTACTCCACAATGTAGTTGCCTATCTTGCAACCACCATCATCTAGTGGAGCCGTCCAGGACAGGGTAGCCGACTTTCCAAAGGACATGTTCAGCTTTGGAGCTCCCGGTGGATTGGGTCTGGCCGTCACAGTGACCAGAAACGAGGTAGTATCTTCGCCTAGTCGGTTCCAGGCCTTCACCATGTACTCACCACGGTCCTCCCGCTGGACATTGTCGATCTTGAGCAGCGAGTTCTTCTCCGTGTTGGTGACCTAGCGGAGAAAAGTTAATTTTTAATTTAAGGATATATGATGTAATTTGGAAGGATGTACTCCACCTCGAAGCGTCCACCTGGGGCAATCACCTCGCCCTCGTGAAGCCACGTGATGGCCGGCGGCGGCTGCCCAGCCACTCCTACTTTCAGTCGCAGCACCTCCTCCGCTTCCACAATCAGACCATCCTCGTAGGTGCGTGGAAGGCGAATCTTTGGCGGAGCCTGCACCATGAGCCGGGCCTTGGTGACGACATGACCCGCCCGGTTGGTGGCGGTGCACTTGATTTCTCCCTCATCCGTCAAGGCCACCTGGTGGATGACCAGAACACTGACATCGTTGTCGTTGACGATCTTGGTGCGCCGGCTACTGAAGATCTCGTAGCCATCCTTGAACCAGTTGATCTCCGGCGGAGGTTCGCCCAGGATGCGCACCCGGAACTCAATACGCTCATCCTCCACAGCATCTGTGTCCACCAGCTCGTCGATGAAACGGGGCACGGTGATGGCGTTCCTCTGAAGAGTCACCGTCAAAGGATCAGACAACTCGCTGGCATCGGACCGCCCAACGATGTTCTCGGCAAAGCAGCGGAACTGGTAGCGCCATCCAGGCTCCAATCCACTGATGCACACATCGCACCGAGCCACTGGAGTTGGTGTGGCCCGCACCCAATGCGGGGAGCCCATGCGTCGATGTTCCACGGTGTATCCGGTGATGGGGGAGCCGCCATCGTGAAGTGGACGATCCCAGCGTAGGTTGACCACGTCTGGCTGTTGCTCCGGCAGTGCTAGTGGTGTAAGTATGGGTCGTCCTGGCGGGGAGGGTCGTTCTGAAAAGGGATTACAAGATGGGCAGAAATCTATTTAGTTTTTGAAGACATTTCGGGTTTATTGAAGATTTAAATATATCTGAGATATAAATTTAAAAATTATTTGAAAAACAAAAGATTCTTATTTTTTAAAAGAAGATAAATAGGATTGAAAGTAACCAATGCACTTGGCAGTGCTCGAGTGGCTTCCCAGCATAATGTTTTCCTCAAATTCCGAACAACAACATTACTTTGACGTAGCAAGTTTTTGGGGGCACATAGCCGGACGGAGAGACAGACGGACGGACAGACAAAGCGGACGGACAACCAGAAGAACACTGAACACAGAACACAACACGGCAACCACTGAGTGTGCGATTGGATCTATTAATAGATGCATTTCTAGCGCTCCCACCAGCCGACATCTATGCTATGTGGGCTCCGTCGTCCGCCTTCGACCTGCCTCTGATCCAATAGAAAAATATTTGTATCTCTTGCAGGCCACCAGCGAATGATGGGATCCTTTCCGGATTATTTCTACTTGCCTGCAGACTTCCAGGTGACATTCTTCTTGGGGCGCCCGCTCTGGTTCTGATGCGTGTGGAGCTTGCCCGGCTGATTCCCCATTTCGAGGCGTTAGAATTTAACCTATTTGCAATTGTGCTTGCCTATACAGAGGATCTATATATAGACAGTCGAAATTAACTTGGGACACTCGCGGACCCGTCGAATATTTATCGCCAATAGAGGCACCGTATTTGAACCGAAAACTAAGAAGATTTATTAATTAAAATTGAAGTTTCGTTGTGATTGGCTTTTGTTTCCAAGCGTAGCCATTTTTGCGGCGTTAAATAATCCGTTCGTACATCCTATTCTCCGGTCCGATCCACAAGCGTTTCAAACGCTTCTCTTTTCGAAAGCTTTCTAAACTTTTTTTTTTCAAAAAACCAAATTTTTGAAAGCCAAATATCGGATGCTGTCGATGATTCGGATGGATATCGATAGGTAGCATAACTATAACGATCCTGATCGGTTAATCCTGTTAGTAACTTTTAGTAAAAGAAAAGTGTTCGTTTAACTAGGCCCTAATCTTATTATAATTTTTGAGGAGCACTTAGCTTTGGTGCACTTTAGTTATCAAGTAATATTTTTTAATCAAGCAGTACTCATTAGATTTGTGATTTAATAAATCTGATTAAAATCATTTTCAATGCGACAAGGCTTACGACATTTCAATGCGACAAGCAACTATAGTAACAGTCTATTGATCGAAAAAATGTTTTTAATACCTTCTGAAAGAGTAAAGAAATAATCTTATTAATCAGTTCATTAAAATATTTATTCAGTTGGTTTTTATTTTATTTCTAAAGATTTTACAGTCCATTTTTCGATTAAATCATGAAAAAATGTCACCGAGTATATAAACTCTGGAATAGGATTCTATTTCTTGGCAGAAGTTCCATAGGCGGAAGCCTTGCTGATTTTGGAGGCATTCACGGCGTGCTCCATGAGGCCATAGACTGTAAAAGACTCATTAGGTTAAATAGTTGACTCATAAATATTGCATTTAATGAACTTACATCCAGCCAAGATGGAAAAGACGGTGAAAAAGCCAATCCAGTTGCCGGCAAGCAAGGAAGTAACCATATAATACAGAATCAGGAGAGTGGAAAAGCTGGCCCAGCCAATAAAGTTGAGCAGAGTGCTCAGACGCGGCTTGTAGATCTTCTCCGGCACAGCCTTGACCCCGGAGGTCTTGAAGAAGTCGCCTGTCTCATGGAAGCTGTCGATGAGCTTGTCCTTCTCCACGTAAAAGTCCTGCATCCATTGAGCAGCCTCCTTTTCACCTTCGGGAACCACACTCAGAGGAACGCGGCGGATGTACATGTACGGCTCCACAGCCTCTCCGTTCAACTGAGACAACATGGTGGGCTTGGGCTAGAAAATCACAGATAATAATTAGCTATCCTGGACATTATACGGGACTTGGGAGCACCCACCTCAGCAGTACGCTTGAAGGCCAGATTGATGTCGTGGATGCCAGGGCAAATGCCGCGCATGGTGGGCAGACTGGTGATGAATCCCTTGGTGCGAGGAATGAGATGGTGCTTCAGGATGGGCAGGCCACGTTCCTCGGCAAACTTCACGGACAGCTCGTGCTTGGCCGGAGTGAAGCGAGTACCCTCAGCATTCAGCAGTAGCCACACGGGATCCGGGTAGGAGTAGACCTCGGTCAGTTGGTTCTTGATCACGATCTTGTCCTTGTCGAAGTTGCGGTCCAGGAAGATGAACTCAGCCATCCACCAGACCCATCCCAGGATCGGGACGTAGCGCAGCATCTTCTTGGCATAGGCCTTGGTGTTGCCCAGGTTGCCCAGCTTGTCGGAGATCATCCAAGCGGTCAGCCAGTCGATCTCGTAGGTGTGGTTCATCAGGAGCAGGGCGTGTTCCTTGCCCAGGAAGTACTTCTCATCCTCGGGATCGATGAAGACGTGCAGTTTACTGCCGGCATACCATTCGGCGACACAAACCAGAACTGGAAATTGGCATCAATACTTTGTAGTCAAAAATTAAAGTTTAAAAGATTTTTAGATCAACTTACTGCCGTAAAAGGAGTAGGTAAGGTAGTACATAATACTCCTGGAGAGTCGCTTGTCGAAGGGCCTCACCAGAACGATCAGGAGAAGCTGGGCGATGTTGACAAAGAAGCCGCACGTGAAAAAGGTCACGGCGATCAGCAGTCGCCCCAGGCCCTTGTAGTTGCCCATCCTAAGCTAAAAATAAATGAATTAATATTAAAGAATCACTTTACCGGAATTTACGTAATGTTACTTGAGAAATTCGGTATTCCACTACGGAAATATGGAGTTAATAAATATGTCTAGCAAGCGATATCGAAATAATTATGGCCCCAATCAAACTTTGCACCCAATGTATCACGGACGTACCGAGTTGCTTGAATTATAAGCACTGTAAAAGCACACACAGGTAGACAGTACCTACTTATATATAATTATATAGCTTGGATTAAAGATGAAACTGGTAATTAAAAGATCATAAAAGGTTCGGACTTATCCACCTTTAAATACTTTAAGTGTTTTTCTTCTTCACAGGTTTCAGATAATTTCACAATTGTTGTCTTTTTGTCCACCTTATAGATAGTCTCCTGTAGAACACACACACACACACAGTGACTAACTCACCTATATTTGGGGATCTTAACAAATTGGAGACCAGAAGTCACAACTTGTGCTACCAAACGACCGAATCCAACTGAATGAAATAAAAATTTCGTTGGCAAGTTGGGCCCCGGTGATAAGGATCTTTTACACCCCAAAAAAAACCTATAAACCGATTCTATTAATCAGCTATTATCAGTTTTGGGGGGAACCAGCAGAATAGCTTATCTCGCAATATAACGACAAATTTATGCTGAGTGTATTTGTGTGGGGGGTAGTCAAGGGCACGGGGGCAGTCTACACGAGGAACCAGCGGAACGAGCGCCGCCTTTGATTCTTACAACTGATAATATTATCAATATTCTAAATGACCAAAAGTGTTTGACATGGTGATAAGCAAATATATGTCGAGAACCAAGGAAAGCAAAGATAAGAAAACTAAAACCCGAACAGTAATGTATCTTGGCTCAAAGTTTACAGTTGTGTTTATTGTAGTTGCGCAATAAAGGAATTATCGCATTTATTTTGACGTGATAAATACACATCAATTGTAAGGTAATCATTATTTATATTTTTATAACCACAGTTTATTTTTGAAATTACCTTTTTATAACTAACTTCATCGCGCCAAGGTACAAATATTTTAGTATTTACTGGCAGAGTAAATACTAAAAAAAAATACCTCTCTCTCCACTGCTTGCGATCATCAGCTGTTTGCGCCCTTATCAGTGCACTGCTTGCTCTAGGAATATAAAAACACAAAGCAGTTTCTATCGGTTATTTTAATTATTGCAATGCTCGCCAAAATACACTTGATTAAACAATTAAATTTCCACTTAGGTGTACAGTACAACTACGAACTACGTACGCAAACTTATGGCTCTGGCTTACGGGAGTTGCCCCGTATAACCATAAACTTAGACAAAACATTCAAGTATTATTTATTCTGTTCAAACACTATTACATCGTCCTTTCCAGGAGAGGAGGAATCGCGAATTGATCCTTGTAGCAGAGAGATTTGTGAGAGGACTGCCTTTTAAAAAGTCACGTGTAGATAATTGAGTTTGTCAACAATCAAACTAAATGCAAAACTGAAAGTTATTTTGTGCTTGCTTTTGCCGCTCCGTAATTCGAAGCCTTGCTAATCTGGGTCTTGTTGATGGCCTGTCCCATTAGCCAGTAGACTGAAACGGTGAAAGGTCTATTAGATTAAGATCTTAAACAAATGGTTCATTAAACTCACATAGCCCCAGCACGGAGAGGGCGGTAATGAAAGCGGTCCAGTTGGCCGCCAGCAGGGAAGTAATCAAGTAGTAGAAAATGCAGAATAGCGAAAATATCGCCCAGCCGGCGAAATTGAGCAGCGAACTTAGCCGGGGCTTGTTCACGTAAGCAGGAACCTCCTTCACACCGGATGTCTTGAAGAAGCTGCCTGTCTCGAGGAAGCTATCGATGATTTTGTCTTTTTCGACGAACAGATTCTGTAACCATGTAGCCGCTTCCTTCTCGTCCTCAGGCACGGTTTCCAGAGGAATACGACGCATCAGAAGGTGAGGTTCCACGCTCTTACCGTGCAACAGACTCAGCATAGTGGCAGGGTTCTAAAAAGAGAGAAATAGTTAATTAAAGTCTGAAAAATTTAATTGAAAATAGCGATGACTTTGATTGATATTGACTTTACGGATTAATGATGACACAAACACGCTAAATCACCATCAACAAAATACTTGCTTTAACGAGCTTTTAAAAAAAAATACCCGATCGTTTATCAATTTGTTTCCATCAACGTTATAGCCGCAATATAAGGGGATTATTTAGTGGCCTCATAAACAGATTTTGTCAAATTTGCTGCAATTATTTTTGGAATCGAGATAATTAGCCAGATAGCTGAAGCATTTTATGATTAGATTGCTGCCAACAGTCAGACGGAATCGACTATACTGACTAATGTGGTAAAGCTTATCGGCTTTTATAAATACATATAAATGCACAATTCTGCATAGAAGATAATTCTGACCTTGAGCTTCTAAAAGTCACAGCAATGTTGGCCTGAACATCAAAAAAAAAGGAAATGCGAAGTTCCTAGGTAAAGAATCTCTACTGTAGCTATAGCATAACAATGATTACCTTGTCTGTGGGCCTGTAGGCCAGATTAATGTCGTAGATCACGGGGCAAAGACCGCGAATTGGCGCCAAACTGGCAGTGAATCCTTTCGTGCGGGGGATCAAGTGATGTTTCAGCACCGGCATGCCGCGCTCCTGGGCGAACTTGACGGATGCCTCGTGCTTGGCGGGAGTGAAGCGAGTACCCTCGGCGTTGAGCAGCAGCCAGGTGGGATCGGGATAGGAGAAGACAACTTTGAGCTGTTCGGTGATAATGGACCTGTCCTTCTCGAAGTTGCGATTGAGGAAGACGAACTCGGCCAGCCACCAGCCCCATCCGATGATGGGCACGTAGCGAATGGGCTTCTTGGCGTAGGCCTTGCAGTTGCCGAGGACACCCAGCTTGTCACAGATCATCCAGCCGTTGAGCCAGTCGATCTCGTACTTATGGTTCATGATGAGCAGGACATGCTCCTTGCCAGCACGCTTCTCAAAGTCCTCTTTGTCCATATAGACAGTCATCTTACTGCCGGCATACCAATCGGCCACAAAAACAAGTTCTGGAAAGGAATCAAGATCGATAATTATGATTTTCAGAGATTTTCGGGTCAAACTCACGGGAATACAGCGAGTAACAGGCATAGTACATCAGCTTCCGGAAGAGTCTCTTGTTTATGGGCTTGATGGTAACGTGCATCACCAGCTGAATCAGGTTCAGACATAGCCCACTGGTGAAGAAGGTGAGCGCGATGCACAGGTGTATCAGTCTCAATTGTTTCAGCTTTTCCAGCGACACCATTTTGATCTGTAATCATAATAATGTGAACTTTACGTAATTTCAACTTTAATTGTAGGTTTCCCCTCGACTGGCCCGATCGTAAAAGTTACGGTTTACGGTCCCATATGAAACGCTTCTCAAAAAGTTACGATCTCACACTCACTCAACTTTGACTTTCCGCGAAAAAAATAAAACTAACTAGCGGCCAGACGGCTAAAAAGACGGGAGTAGAGGAAAACCAACTGAAATCCACGCCAGCTGACAACGAACTGGGGACTTCAACGGCAGCTAAGATGTTCGCAACCTATTGCTGCCATATAGCCACCGTTGGCGGAGGAATCTAATCAGCCTTGGCCTCTGGCTATCGAATCGATGACTCCCCTGGAAACACTACTATATGTACATATACAGCCGAGGGGAACAAAGTCCGGACGGAGGAACCGGGTAGGTAGTTATTATGGGGCAATTGGCAGATACTGCAGACAGAGAGTGCTCGAACGTGTAAACATTGTTGGGGAGTGAACCCCACTAAAAGGTGCAAGGTTTGAATATTACATGAGGAGCGGTTTAGTTCTATTTCAGCTCTGCGTAACTTTGTCCAGGTCCAAAATAATCTCATTTGTATCTGATGACAACGAACATTCTTAAGACCATTCTATTGAGGATTATAAGATACATATAGAAAATCACGTAACCTTTAAGTTATTCAATGACTTTAAAGAAATAAATTATACTTGGAAATAAAACATTTAAATGCCTTCTATTTTTGCAATCACTTTTGATTGGCCAAACACCTTGGGGAACGTATTTAATTAGTTAACTCAGACTACAAAAGAGTTCTTTGCGCTCACACACACGTAGACGCACGTGTGTCCGAGAAGAGCAGGGGTGAGGCGGAGGAGGAGGCGTGTGGCCTGTGTGACGTGGTTGAGATTGTGGTTTATGATTATCACTCCTTTGATTCGCGATCCACGACCGCCTCTTCTCCACCCACTATTATCAAAAACAAAGTCCACGGTTGGGCGATCCGTCTTTATCAATCCGCAGCTGCTCTTATCGGTTATTCCCACTCAATGATATGAAACTCTGCCAACGGCTTTGTTCTTAATGCTCACATATCTCCTGCAGCGAGTTTTATTTATTACTTATACTATTATCTACTAGAGTGCCTCTTTACCACTTCAATTCACGACCCCGCCGTTTACCTTTTTTGCAATGTTTTTGTGCGAATTGTTTTGTTTTTTTATTTGTGGCGACGTACAGAGCTGTAAAAATATCGATGTAACTATCGATGGTATTGATAGTGTCACGTTGGCCTATCCAGATTGTCACGAGATATTAAAATAATACCAAATAATATTACTTTATGAATATTAGAAAGTAATATCATTGAAGATATACATAAATACAATAATTTATACATTTCGAATATTCTTTCCAACTTTAAAGAATCTTTTCTCTTTACAAATTTTTTCTTCTTTAAAAATGTTTTGTGTCTGGTAATGTTTGTTTATCTTTTGCTTTTTGGGGCAAAAGGAAATAAATATATTTTTTATATATATGACAAGTTTTATAGATGTATAACATTGGAAAACCCAAATTTAGGGAGATCCCTAAATTTGGCGGGAGATGTGATAGCTCTTGTATTTCCTTTTCTTTTGAAACTGTGCGTGTATATAGGGCTTAACCGATTCAGGGCAGTGCTTTCAGAAATCAAAAATTTTAACTCTCAAGCAAAAAATATGATTTAATTTTACTGGGGTTTGCTAAATAAAATTAAATAAAATAATAATTTACAAAAATATATGTAGTATTTTTATATTTCGATAAAATAATCAATTTGACGAAGTATATCGATATATTGATATTTTGATAATCAACAACCCTATCTGAAATTTTGCAAAACGCGAAATTCTTTTTGTTGGACAATTTGGAGGGCGATTTGCAGCAAAGTAGGGGCAAATCGAAGTGCAATAAGCCAAACTAGTTCAACTTGCTCATTGGATGATCCATTTAGGAGGGTCCTGCAGTCAGCAAGGTCCAAAAACACGGTCGGCAAGAAAGTCAGCCGGCAGACCAGACGCAGACGCTTTTTTCGAGCGAGCCAATTTTGCAGACGTGAGCAGGAGATAGGAGTGCGTGAGTTGGGGGTTAAATCCAAATGCATATAGATACCTGACCCGGGGGAACACTATATGTCGTTGCAACCGATCCAATCAGATCCCCGATCCGACCGGCAAAGTGACATGGACTTGAAAGTCAGTTTGGAAGAGTTGAGCAGCGATGAATACAGTCAAGGCGATGACGACGATTTGATGAATGTGGCTGTCATTAAACAACAGAGTCCAACTCCCAGCCGGCCTATAGTCAAATCCTCTGAAGTTTCAGGAAACGGAGAAGTAGGACAGAAGAAAACTGTCCTGGAAATTCAGCGTCCACCTATCAGTAGGGAAGAGACTTTTCGTCGCATTCGGCTTCTACGCGAACAGCATAATCTAAGCGCGCGTCCGTATCTCTACTTCAAACGCCGCAGCATTAAATGGTAATATAATTTATTTTTTATTTTTCGGTTTAAACACTATATGACAATTGATGTTTCTGCAGGTCGAGGACCAAGGCCAAGAACTACAATACGTATTTAGAAGGTCTAAAGATTGTGATTCCATTAAGTAACTTCGCAAAGATATTCGAAAGGATTATAAAGAAAAATAGAAAACACTGCAGAAGCAGAAGTATGACTCGCAGCTACAGCCGATCCCTCAGTCGCAGTCGCAGTCGCAGCTGCAGTCGAAGCCAGAGTCTCAGCCGAAGCCGCAGTCGTAGTCCCCACAGCGCCAGCCAGTCTCCAGACCTCATATGCCTCGATGACACTGAGAATGAAGAGTCACCTGAAAAATTCGATCCACCTCCGAGGGTGGTGGTGACGCCTGAAAAAGAATTCAAGACTGGGGTCATTGCGCCCCCAACTCATTTTGAGCCTCGCGAAAAACCCAAGGCACCCCCAGTTCATACCGAGAACGGTTCCTCCGGTCTGGAGGAGTTCCTCATGCTGAAGGACTCAAATGCAATACCCAAACAAGCGTTCGTTGGTGAAAATGATTATGAACTGGCTAATATTTCTGCCTCTTTGGAGCTTCAACAGGAAGTGGTCAATAGGAGTCCGATTCAAGAGTCGTTACACAGAGAACAGGAAGAGGACATTTTAATGGAAGTGGATGGCCCAATGAAACGACGACGATCAGTGACTCCCCCGGAAAATGCCATTGAAAAGCGTTCTAAGCCAGATTCTACCGAGACTTTGGAAGAAGATGATTCATCAATTCATTTTCTGACAGTTCCGGAAGATGATGCCGTTATGGAAGCGGACCAACAAGAGCCTCAGATGCTTCACAAAGAGTCTGTTGCTCCGGCATCTAATTCAGATCCTACTACGCAGCAAAGACAGCCTGGTTTTAAGCTAAGCTCGCCCTATTCATTGACGGTGCCCGATTCAAATGACCAGGCAGTTAACCTGGCAGCGCCATCCTACAGCTTGGATACACCTACTCCGACGGCAGTACCAATGGAAATTTATTATCCGCAAAAACTGACAAAGATTACATCCCACCAGGGAGGACCGCCTCATGTTAATATAGCTCAAGCTCAGCATCCTGCTTATTCTTATCCCAAGACTCATTCTCCAAAGGTAGCCCCATCCCAACCAGTGGTTCCTTCTTTGAAGACCCCTTATCCACAAAAAACGGTTCTTGCACAGAAGGTTATGGCACCGGCTGCAGTCCACCAGGTCGCTACTCCTATTCAGGAGGTCGCTGCTGCAGATCATCATGCAGTGGATCCATCACATTACATAGTTCACACACAACATGTAGCTTCTTCGCCACACTTGACACTTCCTCCAGCTTCTCCGCAGCTGGCTCCAAAACAACACCCAACTCTGGCTGCTAATCCATCCAACTTTGTGGCTCCTCAGCAACCACGCCGCTCGGAGACGGTATCAACTCAGACGCAGGAACCTGAACAATCGCTTCCTCGCCAAAAGACCAGCATTGATCTCAATAACAGCGACGCCAACTTTCACCAACGGGTGAAGGAGCTCTACACCGAAATGGACTCGATCATAAAGGACAAGGTAAAGACGGTACCCCCCGACTTTTGTTCTTATTCTGATGAGCGGGAGCGCGTTGAAGCTGATTTGAAAACGCTGGATAAGCTAATAGCTCAAAAAGAGGATGAATACAACCGGCTTTTGCATTTACGATGCGTTAAAGAAGAGCTGCGGGGAAGACTGGAGCGTAAGCAAATAGTGTCGGTAATCAAGGACATGTTACCTCCACTTTTGTCAAAGTCATGCAGCACCGTGGAGCTTCAAGAGATCCATTCGATGCTTTTAGAAGAAGAAACGGCGCCGATACCATCTAAAAATGGACCCTCGGCCATTGAGCGCTGCTTAACCAGCATGGAGCAAAACCAGACTACTATCCGACTGCTTAAAGGGTAAGGTAGCGCTAAGAGAGTTAAACTGTGATATTCCTCTAAACTTTTTAATACCTTACAGAGTCCTAGGGATAAAGCAACAAGATCCGCCGATTCCTCTTCGCCAATTTGAGGAACAAAACTTGTATCAGCTCAAAAGAAATTCGTTGCCGGGTCGCCAAGTCCGAAGTCGAGACCTTCGGGAAATGGAGGAAGATCCTCCAAGGAATTCACGGGAGCAAAGCAGCGAAATGCCTCCAGCTAAAAAGCGGGCCAAGCTTGATAGGTGCGAAGTGCCTCCCTAGATATTTTTTACTTTAGCTTTGATTAACAATCAATTCTTTTTGTTTAGATTCCCACCTGAGATGACGAACTCAATGCCAAATCTGTCCCATTCTTCCTATCTCAACAATAAGCTTCAGTCTAAAGGAAAGGCTCCAGTGCAGAGTCAGAGCTCTTTGGATACCCATTATTTTGAAAATGAATCGACGCTCAAACCTCTTTTCAACAGCAGTCCTATGGTTAATCGCCAAACTCTCATAGGACAAGTAAGAAAAAATCAAAATTTATTCAGTTTTTCTTATGAAAAACCTGGATAATGAAATGTATTTTTATTTTTCAGCCGTGCTTCGACTTATATTCCTCCTATCGTAATGACGGTGATTTAAGCCGGACTAACGTGGCAAAGTCACAGATTTCGCGACGTAGAGTCGAGAGCACTGCCACCATGAATGGCACCGATGTTAAGTCCTGCAGCTACTGTGGTAGCCCCGAAGGTGTCTTTAAGTGCCCCAGATGCCAGAATCAATCTTACTGCAGCCGTGAGTGCCAGGTGAGGATTACAAATTATTTACATCCTTTTATACGGTAAAATGATAAAATGATTCTTTTAATTTACCATTAAAGATGCGCGACTGGAACTCGCACTGGGAAACGTGTGGAAAGTAGATGGGCCCTAGGAGATCAGCATTACTATATCTTTAAACTATAACTACACACTAAGCGTATCGTATTATATCGCATATGCCCAGACTTCATTAATCAAATTCATAGAGTCACTCATGATGATGAAGTATAATTTGTACTCATCCCAGAAATAAATCAAATACTTCAAGATCGTAAGAAATGTCAATAATAAGTTTATACGTTTATTTTTTAAGAAAACTGAATTTTTTGTATCATACTCATGTGGTTTGAGTTAATTTCCATTTAACGAATATAAAAAAAAATTCGGTTAGCTATGAAATCGATTACATTTTTTCTTTTTGGTTGAATAAATTTAATATTTAAAATTAAATTTAGGTTTCAATTATTTTATGTTTTAAGTTTAGTTCCGGTTATGGGTTAAATCAATACAATAAATAATTTATATTTATTTAATAAAAATACTAAATTTATTAAAATAGTGTTTTTTTTTTCAACACTCTTATCGATAAGTATCGAAAGCTTTTTTGTTGGCGCCAAACTTTTAAAGAACCAAACTTTTGCAGAATTCAGCTGGCGGAGCGCGTGAGTTTTAGGTTATAAAAATTCACATATGAACTTCAGTTAGGGCAATCACCATGTCATTTCTGTCAAATGTCGATGACGATCCGATATATGTGACTGTCATCTCCATCTACCCTTCCTAACGTCAAACTGTCAGAAAATCAAGAAAGTTGAAGTGCCGCAAGAAAAAAATCTGCAATTCATTTTGCACAGATTCCCGGTGCATTCGAATACAGAACCGGCGGCACCACGATTTCTTAGATTGTCGATTTCTATTGCAAACGCCGTAGCTTCAAATGGTAATTATTGGTAATTTATTATATTGCTCTGTTATAAAATTGACATTCCTATCGCGTGCCAAGGCCAAGGACTAGAGCACGTGTTTGGAAGGCTTAAAGATTGCGATATCATTAAGTAATTTTGCAAAGACATTCGAAAGGATTAAAAAAAAAAAAGAGAAGACTGCCAAAGCAGCAGTATGAATCGTAGTTACAGCCGATCCCCAACTCGCAGTCTCAGCCGTAGTCCCCACAGCGCCATCCAGTCTCCAGATATAATATGCTTCGAATACAGGGAGATGGAAGAGTCACCTGAAACAGCCGATCTACCCCCGAGGGAGGTGGTAACTCCTGAAAAAAAATTCAAGACTGGTGTCATTACGCCCCCAACTCATTTTGAGCCTCGCGAAAAACCTGAGGCATCCCCAGTTCATACCGAGAATGGTTTCGCCGTCTTGGAGGAGTTCCTCAAGCTGAAGGACCGAAATCCAATAGCCAAACAAACGTCCGATGGTGAAAATGATTATGAACTGGCTAATCTTTCTGCCTTTTTGGGGTTTCAAGAGGAAGTTGTCAATAGGACTCCGATTCAAGAGTCGTTACACGAAGAACAGGAAGAAGAAATTTTAATGGAAGTGGATGGCCCAATGAAACGACGTCGATCAGTGACTCCCCCGGAAAATGCTATTGATTCTACCGAGACTTTGCAGACTTTTTCTACTCAGCAGAGACAGCCTGTATCAAGTGAAACGCAGGACCCTGAACAATCGATTTCTCGCCAAAAGACCAGCATTGATCTCAAAAACGTCAACGGCGAATTTCACCAACTTTTGAAGGGGCTCTACAAAGGAATGGTCTCGTTCACAAAGAACAATGAAAAGACAGTACTCCCTGAACAATCGCTTCCTGGCCAAAAGACCAGCGTTGATCTCAAGAACATCGACGCCAACTTTCACCAACAGGTGAAGGAGCTCACCATCGAAATGGACTCGTTCATAAAAAACAATGAAAAGAAAGTACTCCCTAAACACTCGCTTCCTGGCCAAAAGACCAGCGTTGATGACCAAAAGACGGTATCAACTCAGACGCAGGAACCTGAACCATCGCTTCCTCGCCAAAAGACCAGCGTTGATCTCAAGAACATCGACGCCAACTCTCACCAACAGGTGAAGGAGATCAACATCGAAATGGACTCGTTCACAAAGAACAATGAAAAGACAGAACTCCCTAAACACTCGCTTCCTGGCCAAAAGACCAGCGTTAATGACCAAAAGACGGTATCAACTCAGACGCAGGAACCTGAACCATCGCTTCCTCGCCAAAAGACCAGCGCTGATGACCAAAAGACGGTATCAACTCAGACGCAGGAACCTGAACCATCGCTTCCTCGCCAAGAGACCAGCATTGATCTCAACAATATCGACGCCAACTTTCACCAACGGGTGAAGGAGCTCTACACCGAAATGGACTCGATAATGAAGGACAAGGAAAAGACGCTACTCCCCGACTTTTGTTCTTATTCTGATGAGCGGGAGCGCATTGAAACGGATTTGAAAACGCTGGATAAGCTAATAGCTCAAAAAGAGGATGAACACAACCGGCTTTTGCATTTACGATGCGTTAAAGAAGAGCTGCGTGGAAGACTGGAGCGCAAGCAAATCGAGTCGGTAATCAAAGACATGTTACCTCCACTTTTGTCAAATTCATGCAGCACCGTGGAGCTCCAAAAGTTCCATTCAATGCTTTTAGAAGAAGGAAAGGCGCCGATACCATCTATAAATGGACTTCAGGCCGTTGAGCGTTGCCTAACCAGCATGGAGCAAAACCAGACTACTATCCGACTGCTTAAAGGGTAAGGTAGCCTAAAAAAAGTGTAAAACTGTAATATTCCTCTAAACTTTTCAATATCTTACAGGGTCCTAGGGATAAAGCAACAAGATCCGCCGATTTTTCGCCAAGTCCAAAGTCCAGACCTTCGGGAAACGAAGGAAGATCGTCCAGGGAATTCACGGGAGCAGAGCAGCGAAATACCTCCAGCTAAAAAGCGGGCCAAGCTTGGCACGGATGTTAAGTCCTGCAACTACTGTGGAAGCCGCGAAGGCGTCTTTAAGTGCACCATATGCCAGAATCAATCTTACTGCAGCCCTGAGTGCGAGGTGAGGATTAAAAATAATGTACATCCTTTTGTATGGTAATAAAATGATTCTTTTAATTTACCATTAAAGATGCGCGACTGGAACTCGCACTGGAAAACGTGTGTCAAGTAGATCGGCCCTAGGAGTATTACATCGCATATGCCCAGACTTCATTAATCAAATTCATAGTCACTCATGATGATGAAGTGTAATTTGTACTCATCTCAGAAATAAATCAAATACTTCAAGATCGTAAGAAATGTAATAATAATAAGAAGTTTTTGGGTTCATTTTTGGAGAAAACTGAATTTTTTGCATCATACTCATGTCGTTTGAGTTAATTTTCATTTAATGAAAATAATAAAATAATAAATAATAATAATCAATAAATAAAATATTTAAAAATAAAATTATGTTTCAATTATTTTAAGTCTTAATTTTACTTAGCGTTATGGTTCATTGAATCAATACAATAAATAATTTATATTTATTTAATGAAAATACTAAATTTATTAAAATAGTGCTTTTTTCAACACTCTTATCGATAAGTATCGAAAGCTTTTGTGTTGGCGCCCTTCTTTTAAATAACGAAGTTTGCAGAATTGAACTGGCGGAACTCGTGAGTTTGGAGCTATAAAAATTTATATATAAACATAAGTCAGTGGAATCACCATGTCATTTCTGTCAAATGTCGATGACGTTTCGATAAACGTGACTGTCATCTCCAGCCTAACGTCAAACCGTCAGAAGTTTCCGGAAGTAGGCGCATAAAAAAAATCTGCAATTCAATTTTCGTCGCATTCGAATACAGCATTTCGTTCGTATTTCTATTTCAAACGCCGCAGCATTAAGTGGTAATTATATATTTTATTTTATTGTTCTGTTAAAACATTGACTTTTCTACCACGTGCCAATGCCAAGAAGTGGAGCACGTGTTTGCAATGCTTAAAATTGCGATCCCGTTAAGTATTTTTTCAAAGACATTTCAAAGGATTTAAAAAAATAGGGAAGATGTAGCGACATACAGCCGATCCCCTAGCCCCATTTCCCTTTCCGGAGGCCTCCAATCCAAAGAATGAACTTCCTTCACAAAAGGCTATGGCTCCGGCTGCAGTCCACCACGTTTCGGCTTCAATAGCCCTTCCATGGCATTATTATTTTTATACACAACATGTGGCTCCTTCCCCACAAAAATCCCCAGCTCTGCCTGCTAATCCAACACTTTCCACTTTCCTCAGCAACCACGTATCTCGAAGCCGGTATCAAGTCAAACTCAGGAACTTCAACCATCGCTTCCTCGCCAGAAAACCAGCATGGATCACAACCACCAACGGGTGAAGGGGATTTTCACCGACATGGACTCGATCCTGCAGAACGGGACGGGTCCCTTTTCTGATGAGCGTGAGCGCATCGATGCTGATCTGAAATCGCTTGACAACCTTATAACTCAAAAAGTAGATGAATACCACGAGCTTTTGCGTTTGCGAAGCTTTAAAGAGGACGTGCGTGAAGGACTAGAGCGCCAGAAATTAGTGTCGGCCATCAAGGACATGTTACCTCCACTTTTGTTAAAGTCATGTAGCACCATGGACCTACAAGAGATCCATTCGACGCTTTTAAAAGAAAAAGCGCCGATACCATCTAAAAATGGACCAACGGGCAGCGAGACAGTTAAAATAGTCAAAGGGTAAGTTAAGAAGCTAAATTTAGATATTCTCCTTAACTGTTCAATACATTACAGATTCCTAGGCATAAAGCCACAAGATCCGCCGATGTCTCTTCGCAAATTTAAGGAAGAAAACGTCTTCGGGCCCATTTTGAAAATGGAACAAAGCAGCGAAATGCCTCCAGTTAAAAAGCGGGCCAAGCTTGAGAGGTGCGAAGTGCCTCCCTGTTTTTATCCCAGCTTTGATTAACAATCAATTCTTTTTATTTAGATTACCAGCTGAGCTGACGAGCTCAATGCCAAATCTGGAGCGCTTATCCTATCTTTACGATATTATAGACGAGGGTACTGCCCCCATGAATGGCGAGGAAGAAGAGTACTGCATCTACGGTTGTACCCCTAAGTGGGATTGAGCGCCAGCACCTAGACTCAATGGCGTTGAAGCCTGAAGCATGTAGATCTTATACTTAAATCTATACTCTTTTACTCATTCAGATTATACTTCTGAAATTCAATATCCATAAAGTTACGCACCTGGAACTCCCATTGAAAAACTTTTGGTGTTCTACTTAAATTCCGTTTAATGAAAAACGAAAGAAATTCAGTTAGCTGTCGAATCTATACTTTTTCTTATGTTTGGTATTCAATTAAATAATTCAAATATTTAAAAATTAAATTGATGTTTCATTTATTTCTTATTTTAATGTCTTAAGATTAGTTATAGGTTATAGGAATGGGTATGGGGAGGAGTTAAATCGATGCATTAAATCATTTCTATTTATTAAAAAAATAAATATAAAACCACAACAAAAAATTGCGGCAAACCTTGACCTCCTTGGATGGATGTCCATATCTTTGCCAATTCTCACCCGACCCTTACGGGGAATACCTTAAACGATTCCTAGACGGATTCTCCACCATTCTGCATCAAAACCTGTGATCAAAATTTTCGATCCATATTTTTCGAATTTTTGTGGTGGACCCCCTCGTGAAATCCGGGATTTCCATAAATGGATCTAGCAATGTCTATATCTTTGCCAATTCTCACCCGATCCTTGCAAGGAATACCTTAAACGATTCCTAGATGAATTATCCACCATTCTGCATCAAAACCTGTGATCAAAATTTTCGATCCATATTTTTCGAATTTTTGTGGTGGACCCCCTTGTGAAATCCGGGATTTCCATAAATGGATCTAGCAATGTCTATATCTTTGCCAATTCTCACCATATCCTTACAAGGAATACCTCAAACGATTCCTAGATGGATTCTCCACCATTCTGCATCAAAACCTGTGATTCAAATTATCAATGCAATCCATATTTTAAAAGAGTACTTTTTTCAACACTCTTATCGATAAGTATCGAAAGCTTTTGTGTTGGCGCCCTTCTTTTAAATAACGAAGTTTGCAGAATCGAACTGGCGGAACTCGTGAGTTTGGAGCTATAAAAATTTATATATAAACATAAGTCAGTGGAATCACCATGTCATTTCTGTCAAATGTCGATGACGTTTCGATAAACGTGACTGTCATCTCCAGCCTAACGTCAAACCGTCAGAAGTTTCCGGAAGTAGGCGCATAAAAAAAATCTGCAATTCAATTTTCGTCGCATTCGAATACAGCATTTCGTTCGTATTTCTATTTCAAACGCCGCAGCATTAAATGGTAATTATATTTTTTATTTTATTGTTCTGTTAAAACATTGACGTCCTACCACGTGCCAATTCAAAGAATTGGAGCACGTGTTTGGAAGGCTTAAAGATTGCGATCCCATTAAGTTATTTTTCAAAGACATTCGAAAGGATTTTAAAAAAATAGGCAAGACTGCCAAAGCAGAAGTATGAATCGTAGCGACATACAGCCAATCTTCCAGCCCCAGTTCCCACTCCGAAGGCCTCCATCCAAAGAATGATCGTCCTTCAAAAAGGGCTATGGCTCTGGCTGCAGTCCACCAGGTTTCTGCTTCAATAGCCCTTCCATGGCATTATATTTTTTATACACAACACGTGGCTCCTTCGCCACAAGAACCGCCAGCTCTTTCTGCTAATCCAACACTTTCCACTTTCCTCAGCAACCACGTAGCTCGAAGCCGGTATCAAGTCAAACCCAGGAACCTCAACCATCGCTTCCTCGCCAGAAAACCAGCATGGATCACAACCCCCAACGGGTGAAGGAGATTTTCACCAACATGGACTCGATCCTGCAGGACGGGACGGGTCCCTTTTCTGATGAGCGTGAGCGCATCGATGCTGATCTGAAATCGCTTGACAACCTTATAACTCAAAAAGTAGATGAATACCACGAGCTTTTGCGTTTGCGAAGCTTTAAAGAGGACGTGCGTGAAGGACTAGAGCGCCAGAAATTAGTGTCGGCCATCAAGGAGATGTTACCTCCACTTTTGTTAAAGTCATGTAGCACCATGGACCTACAAGATATCCATTCGATGCTTTTAAAAGGGTAAGTTAAGAAACTAAATTTAGATATTCTCCTTAACTGTTCAATACTTTACAGAGTCCTAGGCATAAAGTTGCAAGATCCGCCGATGTCTCTTCGCAAATTTGAGGAAGAAAACGTCGTCGAGCAAAGCAGCGAAATGCCTCCAGTTAAAAAGCGGGCCAAGCTTGATAGGTGCGAAGTGCCTCGTGGAGACGAGAGTACTGCCCCCATGAATGGCGAGGAAGAAAAGTACTGCATCTACGCTTGTACCCCTAAGTGGGATTGAGCGCCAGCACCTAGACTCAATGGCGTTGAAGTCTGAAGCATGTAGATCTTATACTTAAATCTATACTCATTCATATTATACTTTTAAAATTTAAATATACATAAAGCTACGCGCTTGGAACTCCCATTGGACAACTTGTTGTGTTCTTTGTTTCATTTATTTCTTATTTTAATGTTATAGATGTTAAGATCAGTTATAGGTAATGGGCATGGCTATGGGGATGAGTTAAATCGATGCATTAAATTATTTATATTTATTTAAAAAATAAAATCACAATGTTTCAAAATAGTGTTTTTTTCAACACTTTTTCCGATAAAAATCGAAACCTTGTTTTCGTTGGCGCCAAACTTTGAAGGTGGATTCCAAAGTTGCTGTTTGCTTGTTATCAGTCAAATGAAATGTGCAACTATTTGCTCCTCTTGCGCACCTGGCACAGCAGCTTAATGTCATTAATATGCAGTCGTAGTGGCTGCCGCCTTGACCAGGGGCCTCGTCTCAGCTTCCGTATACGCAGCTGCCTGCTGCAGTGCAGCCTAGATTTAAGATGAGGATTCCACACGGCACCGGCGTTGTTTGAGGCGGAGGGCGTGACGCATCTATACGCGTATTGCCACCATAATCGAATGCTCTGCTTGGTGCTGTGCTGTATAAAAGGTGGGTGGGTGGATTATTTAGAAGGTGTGTGTTAGGCCGTAAATATTATTGGCCCTAAAAATTGTCTGATGGAATAACATAACACTCACCATGTAGAGGGGCAAGACGTGGAACCGCCTGCACTCCCGCCTCCTGAAATTAAAGGTGATGGGGCGGCGGTGGGTAGCGGACAGTTTGGTCAGGTGCGAGCGGATAGCACTGGCGCTCGTCGATCGCTGCAGACGCTGGAGCTGCAAAAGGCGCGCGCACGTAATTAGTTTTTCAAACAATTGATCGTTTTTCGAGAACACAATTAATATGCGCAAAATGTTGGCAAAGAATGCGCTTGCCAGCCGAATTTGGCTTGCAAATTACTCGTATTCGAATCGGGCTGTTTATTTGTTTTGATTTACGGCCGTTAAGATATTTATAAACAATAGTTGTAAAGTTGAGGGCTGTTTTAACACCTGGCGGCTCTAGTCAGCCATTTTCGGTACTCAAATATCTACTATATTTAAATATTTTTGATTTGAAATCGAATTTAAAACAAAAACAGCCACGAAAATCAAACTTTTATAAAATCATCACGACTGAATAATTATTATAGTAATATTCATAAATTTAAACTTGTAACTAGCTTTATGGAAGTGTTATTTGATATACGATATAAAAAAAACTGATAAGATTTTAAAATTGAAAAACAAATACAAATCTAAAATGTATACATCAATTGTATTTGATAAGAGACTATGAATGAAATAATATATATAAATCCCGATATCTTATAATTTTTATCTTTTTTAAGGGAAAACTCCACAATTGCCTGGGGCTTAGGCATTTATTTTTATTTGCTGGGTAGGTGGGTGACTGGGCTGGGTCTTGGATCGGGCGTGGGGGTGTCCCTGAACCCCTGAGCTTATCAAGGCGGCAAAGTAACTTTGCTGTTATTGTCTACATAATGACTATAAAAATTACAGTTGCAAGTGGCGTGAATTGTTTTTGCTATTCCAGTCACTGTGCTTCGATTGCAACTAAAAGCGACAAGCGAAAGTCATCCAACTCGAAATTGATAGCAATTAAATCCGCTTATCAGTTTAGAGACTCGATTCAAATTAGCACTCCAATGGAAGAACGATCAATATTCCCCCTTTCACTCCCTAAAGCTGAGTAGTCTCTTTTTCTCCGATTTGTCCTCGACGATGACGACTACCCGCCGACAAGTTTTTGCTATTATTAAACAGTTTTACAAGCCGCTAACGCTCAGAAATTGTTGCTAATTAGTCGAACCGCGCACGCCGGCGCAGCAGACCTTAAAAGCTACCTCTGATGGGCCGGGAGTTGCGGGCGGGGTTATGTGGGAAAACCGTCAAGCCGTGCCAGCTCTAATAAAGGTGCGCATTGGTATTAGTTCCTATGCACAGTTAAAAATAATAGTTTTTACAAAAACTATTAAAATCAAAGTCTCACCATGCCTATTAAGAGCTGCTGATACTATTTGGAAAAAACACCCGTCCATAATAATTGCCCTTATAAATCGATACAAATCGATAATGACAGATAAAGGTTCCGTTTACAATACTAATTCAATGAATCATTATATACCGTTAAAATTCGTTCAATTATGGCTAATTCGGTCATGACGGAAATATGTACATTAGTTTATTTTAGAAAAGAATTCCCCCAGTGTACGTGTCAAGATTGGAGGCAATCGAGCTGAATTAGACGCTCTGGGGTCGATTGAGTGCAGATCAAGCGATGAGCAATTCGAGTGCAGGGTGCAGCGAGCGGCACAATTAAATTCTTCGAAAAAATCTGAAATTATAAAAGGACCTTGAATGCAATTGCTCTGCGAAAAAATTTGCATTTCAATGCAGGCTGTTCTATTTCTGGGACATCACTGCGTATGCGTGATTTTTTCAAGCAGTGCTTCTAACGGGGAGAACTCCTTTTCAAGCAGTGCGCAGCCATCCTAGACTGTGTTGGTGTTGTTGTCTTAACCTCACGATCGGCTACCTCTCTCTCTCTTGAACTTTCAACAATTAACACGACAACAACAATGGCAACAAATGCAAAATAAACAAACAAAAACAAATCTAACGCTTCGTTTAAAGCGATTTGTGCGCGCTTTTTCATGAAATTCGATGTTGGTCTATAAGGGGGTATGTGCGTGCTTCGTCGCTTTATTGGCGCGCTTTTGTTTGTGTGTGAGTGTGCGGGTGCGGGTGTGTGCCGTCTCCGTGTCCGTTGGGTTGTCACTATCTCTATCTGCCCGGGCTATATCTAAGCGCGATCGGTCCGGGTCGGGTCGGGAGCAGGGCGTCGTAGTATTTGTATTTGCAATTGTATTTAGATTTGTGTGTGTCTATGATTCAGCGCCGGGTACACCACTAAAAACAACAACAGTAAACAAATGCAAAGAATCAAGTTTAACGACTTTAAGATACTCAGTTAATAAATAACGGGAAAATCACAATAAAGTGTACATAAATAGTGATTGGGAAGTGATGGGAAGTCTTTAATTAGTATCTATAGTTGGATTATGAGGGATTTAAACAAGAATAACAGTATCCTATAGTCCTTATAGTCCTTATCGTCTTATCATTAATATTTTTGTTTGTGAATTGAGGTAGAGATGGGATTAAGGAGTACTTTCCACCATTTTCCTTACTTAAATTTAGTCAAATATCTTCAAATAGTTGAGAAACCGATTCCCCCACCTGAGTACACCTGGAAAAACGAAATAGCATACCCGACACACTCCACACCCACGAGGTACCACAACTCCCACCACAATGAATGGCGGCCGCTGTGTTCCGTTCTGTTTTATTCCGCCAGTTGATTTCGGTTCGGGTTCGGATCCGCTCAGCTCAGTTCTGTTTTGTGTCCCGTCGAATTCGCAACCCTCGACCACTCAACACATCGCCGATCGCCGGATCGGTGAGGGTCTTGCCAGTAAAATTCATGTTAATGAATGTTAATTTATACATTTGTAAGAATCTAAAATCTGTTTTCCATACACAACAATTATTGGTGCGGCAGAGTCGCTCGTCGGCTTCAAATTTGGAAACAGTCGCGCCCGAATCGTCACCGTGATCGTAACGATCGTTGAAAATAACGGTAGCATAACGGTAAAAGTAACGAAAACGAAAGTTTAGCAACGTTTCCGTGATGGATCCCGAGTTTGTGAACAAATACAACCAGGTCCTGAGTCGCCTGAAGCTCGTGGAGAACTTTGATGGGAGTGATCCTAGCAAGCTGCCGCAGTTCCTGCAGAAAATCGAGGCCCTGATGCCGGCCATAAATAGTTTCGATGAATATTATAGAGCCCAGTTAATAGGGCACATCAAAAACAAATGCACGGACCGGGCAAGAGAGGCGGTCTTCACCCGACAGATGAGTGCTCCGGTGGGGAATGGCAACGGCGCCGCCAATGGTCACCTTCTGAAGGCCGAGTCCTGGCTGAAGCTCAAGGATCAACTGCTGTACAATTACGCGGAAAAGGAGTCCAGCTACTCGCTGATACACAAAATACGTAGTGCCGTGGTGGACTCCAACATAGAGCTGTATTACCAAAAGATGGCCAAGCTGAAGCACAGACTGATCAACAGGAAACTCACCCACAACGACACCCTGTACTCCCTGGAGGATATAGAAAGGATCACGCTGCAGGTGTTCAGAGATCACCTGCCTGAGCCCACGCACTCCATGATCCTGCGCCGCAATCCCAAGTCCATGGAGGAGGCCTACCGCTACATAGTCGAGGTGCAGCAGCAGTTCTACACCCAGAGCGGATCCCTGGCCACCGACCAGGCGGCCACCTTCAGCACCAGCCACAAGCAGCCGACCCACGGCGTGGGCATGGGCGGAGTGGGTGTCAGCACCGTGGGTCTGGGCGTGGGGATGGGAGCTGTGGGCCTGGGACTCTCCTCCTATGCCCGCCAAATGTCCGACAAAGGACAGCAAAGCAACACCAAGAGCTACTACAACCAGGCAGCACCTCCTGTGGGGGCCGGAAAGACCAATCCCATGTTCAAGAGCATCGGCAACCCCACATTCAAGTCCAGCTTCAGCTACAATGGGAGCAGCTCCAACTCCGGAATGGGCTACGGCTACTCAGGTGGCAAGAAGTCGGACATAAAACAGAACTATCAGCAGCAGAAGAACCTTAACTACGCGAAGAACTCCTCGACAAGTGCCTGGAAAAAGTAGTAGAAGAGACCTTCAGATCTTCAGATCTCTGGATGAGACAATCTGTAGCCATGGGCATGACCTAATCCCTTGGAGCCTGTGACTAATCCAAGGCAAAGTGCTTGCCACCTCATGCTAATTACCCGATCCCAACCTCACCTCTAATAATTCAATGATTCCAATGATGAGGTAGATGCAGATTATAGAATGTGAATGTAGATTAAAAGTGAATAGAAGTGTGTAATGCCGAGTATAATAGCGACAGGCAGACAGCAAGCAGTCTACAATATAATCATGTAAATAAATAAATTGTTAAATAAATTAAATAACCCCGAAGATAAAATAACTTAATCAAAAATAATGTACATATAGGAATATAGCCGAATGCAAATAATACAAACGATGTGAATGTAGATGAAGATAATGCAAATAATAATACATACAATGTGAAAGCAAATAAAGTGCCTGCTGATAAATGTAATCAATTCACGTTAAAATAAATACCGTTGTTGATTTTAAAATTATGATAGTAACGGTCAACGTTGTACTAGAAATGCTATGCATCGAAATCAATTCATAATGTTGTTTTGTTTTAAAATTTAAGTATAAACTAAATCGGATCTGATGATTGAATTACAGAATTAGACGATCAAGTATACATATAAGGAAGAGATCGTGGAGATGATGTCGATATACCAGATAATGATGCCGATCAAAGCTGATGATGCCCAATAATGATGACATCGATCGCGTGTCTATCGATGATGATCCATCCACCGACAGTATGGACATGTTAATTATTAGCTCATAAGACTCGAGTGTACATAGCCCCACACCTCAACCCAAGCCCCAACCCCAACCCCATCCCCCACCCCATCCCAGTCACATTACCCACTTTTTTCTCCCACAATCGCCCACCTTTAAATGTGTTTTTTGTTAACAATAAAGTGTAAAGTCTAACAGTCTTCTTGTGTACTTGAGGGATTTGAGGGTCAGGGAGATGAGCCTATTTTTGGCCACTTGTTTACTTACTATCTGCTGTGAATTGGATCGACTGGCCGAGAGTCTCTGCTCGTAGCCCATGTCCTGGGGCAGTGGCTCCGCCTGCTGTTCCTGCAGCTTCACTGCCTTCGGCTTGCTCTTGTCCTTCATATCCTTCTCCGGCTTTCCAAACAGTCCCCTCTGCTCTGCTCTTCGGATCAAATACTTCTCGTTCAGGTGGGTCAGGGTCTTCCTGCGCACCAAGGACAAATAGCTGCCGGTCACCTGCTGCTTGATGCAGTCGTCCTGATTGATGCAAATGTCCGGAACCGTGTCCTGCACGAACTCATCTATTTCTGGATTAACAATCAGATCGATACTATCCACCCTGGGCAGGGGAGGACCTGTAGATCCCGGAGGTCCTGCAGCTGGTGCCTCGGCTGGCTTGTCCTTCTTCCGGGGAGAGTCCTTGCTCATGGCGGCCGCTGGAATATTGGCAGCTTCCAGCTCAGCCAAGGCCTCCAGGCGCTTCTGCTCCTTGTAGGCATTGCGATGTTTCTCCAGCGCTAATTTGTTGATCAATTCCAGGACGTGCCGGACCATATCCTCGTTTTCAGTGCCCACAATGGAGTGCGTTTGGTAGAGCACGAACTGGACTTGCGGCCGCGACATAGACATGGTGAGGGTCAGCAGCTGCTCCTCCAGAATCATGGCCACCCGCTGACGGCCCTCCTCGCTGACCTCCGACTCCGTGAGCACCTCCAGCATGCTGAGATCCCCACCCCGCGAACAAATCAGGTCGATGGGATCCGAAATGGCGCTAAAGGAGTTCGGCGGCGTGGCAAATATCCCCACCACTGTCCTGAATCGATTCGATTCCATGGGAAACGAGGTAAAGGCATCGCCGAACAATCTGATATTATTAACCCCGATTAATTCCATATAGCGACGATACTCCTTCAGATTGGCTCCCGCCCCATACACATAGAAGTTGTTTACCCGATTAATCGAATAGAAGAGAGCTGCCAAGTATGCGGTGGATCTGGGGGAACCGATATGGGTCTGAAGAATGTCCCCGTCCAGCTCAAAGTAATCCATCAGCTTGGACATGATGGCCGGACCAAAGGTAAAGTTTTTGTCCTAGAAAATCAATTAAAGTTAAGAGCTTCAAGCTATTTAAGACTTAACTCAAAACAAAGTATTAATTACAATAAAGTAAACTCTATAAACTTTATAGTCTTCTCCGATTTCGTTTTAGAGTCTATCACTCATACGCAGTGTAGGCTTCTGGGTACATCTGTGTTTACAAATGGACACATAGAGACTATTTTCCACGAAAAGACGAGCGTACGTGTTGTTCGATCTATTCTAGGCCTATCACATTACAATACATTAAATCGTATTGTCTTTAATTTATCCATTTAACTAGCTATTAACTAACGAGACGGTGGAATAATAAAAAGACTAGAATGATATCACATCTCACCTGCATAATAAAATAATGCTTGGTCATCAGTACAGATTTTGTGAACTCGCTGCGATCCTTGGGAATACAGGATATGACCAGTGGACATATATTATCCCACTTGCAGTGCTGCTCCAGAAGTGGCTGTTCATCGTCAGGTCCATGGACAGTGAATCCCATCTCAGTGAGAATCTTATCGGCCTCATCCTTGTTACTAAAAAGGAGTATATTTATATTCTTAACCTATATATCCTTTCCATTTACTAACCGCACTAGAAAAGGATTTATCCAGCCTGTGACTACGGGATTAGCAGCTGCAAAGGCCACTTTCTCATTTTGCAAGTGAATGGGCAGCAGTTGGGACAGCCGGAGTGCTCCCACCCGTATCCGCATCCGGGAAATCGAGGCGGCCAAACGTATGCGATGCTGCCAGAGGTCAGAGGCCAGACCTTTTGGAATTCATAGAGGGTCTTGACTAACTAAACTAGTACATTATTCTACCTAATACCTGTTACTTCGGCCTCTTTGTAGAGATCCGCTTGAAGACCCTTTTCTTCAGAGTTACGACCCTTGAACTGACGATCGTAGAGCTCGAAGAGCATCAGCCAGATACGTTGTTCGTCTTTCAAATACTGGAATATATGATAAGATTTATGATATTTATTTTAGGAGGATCTTTAACCCACCTCACTGTGCTGCTCAAAGAAACTAACATCACTGAGCGCATTCGATAATACAACCTTATCTGTAAAGAACCAGGAAAATCTAGAAAAATACAAAAAGCACAATTAAGGACACCCACATCGAAAGACATCATAGATCAAGGAGTAGGCCAATCTCATCTCATGCTCGTTCTGGAAATGGACGGGAATCGGTGGCTTCCTTAGAAGTTTGGCGGCATTGGCAATAGTGGGCAGAGTCCACCGGGCGCCAGATTTTAGTTTTATTTTCACAGTGGTGGCATGGCAGTATTTGAGGGTCCTACTCCGCCGACCATTTGGGCTAACCCCAGGCGATATTATCTTTGTGATTCTCAAAGGATCGAAAACTGGTTTCTCCTTTTTGTTGATGTCCTGCAGGGAAACAGTATCATCGGTGGAGTCATTCACCTGTCGTTGAATCTCCAGGAGCATATAATACCTTTCAAGTACCATTATTTAGGTTGGTTTTGAGGTAAATAACAAGGATTAGTGTACATACATTTTGTCCTGCCACTCCTCATCACTGGGCAGATATATTTGCTTCATCTTTTTAAGCTTTTTGCTCTGCTCCTTGAAGATGGCGGGATACACCGAGAAGATGTCCGCCAAACTCAGGAAAAATAATTGATTGGACATGTCTAGGATTTTAGGATTAGTTCTAGGTAACTCTAGGATTACTCAACCACGTTTATTGAGTTAAATAACAACCATTATATAGCTCTAATTTCCACACTAGTTTTTTAGTTCTCTAATATTTATTATAGAGGGTTTTTGTTCAGATTAAAATTTTATATTTTTTGTATAACATGGCTATAAAAACACTATCCAACGATCTACATAATTTCCACGATCGGTTAATTGCAATGACCTGAATCACAAGCCCCCATCACCCCCACCCACACAGTTGAGTCACAATTTAAAAACTTTTCTTTAAACTTTTGTTTGATAGTTTGAAGGTTAAACGGATAAAAGGACACTCGGATAAAGGACTGTTGTCGTTTAAGGAAACAATAAAAGAGCACTGCTACTTATCCGAACCGAGCACTTGGAGTGAACAACAGCAACTGCTGGATGGATGAGCAGGCTGAGGTGGCTCCTCCTTACGTTGGCGTGTCTTTCATCTCCCTTTGGAACCTTGAGCCTTTGGTCCCCGCCTCCTGTCAATTCCTCCTCCCCCCTCGCCCAATGACAATGACAACTGCTGATTTTCATTCTCGTTCTCTCATTTTCATTTCCATTTCCATTTCATTTCATTTCGTTCGGTTCGTGCTTAACACCAATTCAATGCTGGGAGCCTCTGTTTCTGCTTCTGTTTCTGAATCGACATCAAACCGCGCTGCATGCTCCATGGAATTACTTATCTATCTCTTGCACTCCCAACCGCCCCACCGACCCACCTGTCGAGCCCTCTCGCTTCCACCTACCTGTCGCCGCATGCAATGGTGCACGCCAATATAATGGCGCCGTCCTCCCGTTCTAACTACCTGGGGTAACCAAAAAAAAAAAAAAGATATAGTATGTTTGCCGCAAAGGACAAACGAAATGTTACGGTTACGCTTCTCAGGATACAGATTGGGTTAAAATAATAGTTTCTTAAGAATATTTCATTAAATTAAAGCTCTTTGCTTTTCAATTCTTGAAACCGAATCTAGCCAAGATTAGAAATCTTAAGAAAAGTTTAAAAAGCAATTAAGATCTTAAATACTATACCAGAGGATTTATACTGATACCTCTATAAACCTATAACCACTATTATTTCATCAACAACTGTAGTGCTTTAGCTTTAGCTGGATAGCTATATAGATCGAAACGATATCACACTTACCTTTTATTTTTTACGGCCCATGCCCGTCTGGCGTAATAAATTCCGTTTGCCATATTCGCATGATTTGCTCTGATTGGAATACGTCTTCAATAAATTGCCAGTTTGCCAGAAATGTCGCTGATAGAAGGGATGGGTTTGGGGGCTAGACCAGGGGTGGGTGGAGCAACGTAGTGCCGAGGGGCCTGTCATTCTTCGATGTGTTTGCATTGATTAGTTGGGGGGCTTAGAGCCCGAACCCCTATTTAATGTCTGATGACTTCGAAGCGTTCGAATCGAACATAAAATTAAATGTTGATTAGACAACTTCCCGTAACTTCACCAAAGGGTGGGGGGGAGGTGACGGGAAATTTATTGGCCTAGGCCCCTAGGTCAAATATCGATTATCGCCCGTCACTATATACCGTTATTTTGGGTCAGATTGAATTGAATGTCAATTTGATTGGCATATCTGGGATATACAGTCTATACTCCAAACCGAAAGTCTCCTTTGTGACCTTGAGAACCGGAGATGGTTCCATTATTGTGTTTACGATTTCATTCCGGCACCGAGTTTGGCATAATTGAATTGCTTTCGGTTGGCTTTGGTTAACTCCTTAACTGAGATCAATTATAATTGGAAAAAATCATATCAATTAAAAATGTGCCCCAATCTGATTCATCTAGCCTGATTGGCGATGACCGCACAAAAAAAGCTACGGTACGGGGGCTTCTTCCTCCCTTGGTCACCGGGGACCAGTGAGTGCTATCGAGGAAATATACGGCCGAGTACGGCCAAGTACTATGACTGGTTAGATATGAATAAGCAAACTTGAATTAGAGTTATCACGGGGCATATGTCCAAAGATAACTCGAGTGTCATAATTAAATTTTTCTCTGTTTCCCGTAGTATACCCGTAGCCTTTTGCTTCACATCGTAAGCCACCCCGGCTTAAAGTCGACCGATGCGACTTCTTTATCGAGACACCCGGGTATACCTACCTATACGTATACGGTATACGGTATACCTGTCGTAAATCAGGGGGGCGCATTTTGGGGCTTTGTTTTGTTTTGTTTTTATTTTTTTTGTTTTTATTAAGAAGCATATTTATTATATATAAGATGTATGTAATACAATAATTTTTCTTTCTGTCCTGGTTTTTTTTTTCGGGGTTTTTTCTTTGTTTTCTTTTCATCTCTTTTATGGTTTTCGGTTTCATTTCGGTTTATCGTTTTCATTTTTGTTTTGTTTTTATCCATTTTATATAATCATATAAAACACTGAGCTACAATACAAATATTTTGATAAAAACTTACAACATAACCTTTAATACATAAAAATACTTGCGTAGTCTACAAATCGTATCGTTATAGAGATTTATTCTGCTTCTGCTTCTATATCGTCTTGCTCTGGCTCTCTTCTCGGATCGATCGATCGTGGGTTTCTTCTGGTGCTTCTTTCTTTCTTTTATTTTTTGACCTTCCCCTAAATTGTTTTTACTGCTTCGGTCGCGCCTGAATGGATTCTGTATTTGTTCTCGTTTTATTTCATTTCTCCTTAGTTGTGTGTGAGTTTTACCCTATTAAAAGATTTCATTCATTCATTCCATATTTGGTGTGGCTCTTGAATGTTTCTTCAGAAAGAAGGTTCGCGATAAGACAAAAAAAAAACAAAAGGACCACAATAAACACCGAGAAATCCGTGAACGAGGGAGGCCGACTGGATAAGGGAGAAAGTGTGTGATAGTGAGAGTCGAAGAAAGCCCTCCCAGAAGACAATTCTTCTTCGCCAATTAGCACGAGTTGTTCTTCCGATTCTTCTCCTTGGATGTGTGTTTCTATGAGTTTTGTTGTTTGTTTTGTTGTTGTTGTTTGCAGCGTTTTAATTACAGTACAAATTATGTTTATAATTATATATATATTTGCATAATCCATATAATTAAATTAAATCGTATAAAACACAAGACAGTAGAAAAAATATAAATGAGTCGTACATAATTTTGTTCAGTGGACGTACCAAAAAATGTTGAAACATCGATAAAGCAACGCTCTGAGCATCTCATACGAAAAGGATTTTGGTTAGCAAAATCATAATACACAATACAATTACAATAATATTTATAGAAATAAAATATAATCATAATATAAAAAAAAAAAGAAAAAACACCAACATACTGTTTTTATGTTAGGTTTTTCTTTCTTTCCTCTGTTTTTTTTATACACATATTTATGCATAATGGGCGTATATAAGGTTTATGTATATAATTATAAGTAATAAATTTTATCAGCATTTTTAATTATTTGCACACGAGAATCAAAATTACTATTTGCAATCATATATATATAAAAAATAAACTTAATTGCCGGCGTTCCGTTATATCATTATATCGTTCCTATACCATTCTTCTCATCATATATCATTCCCATTGCATTCCATCCCTACTCCACCGTCACTATATCATATCATATCCTCCTATCGTTTATCGTTTATCGCGTACTGGTTTTGGGATCCTTTCCATTTTTATTATTTTTTTGTTTTTTTTTTACTTTAAGCTTAATCAATTTTGGAAGAGTAAACAATACCATCGAGTTGCAATTGTTGCTGCATATGCTATATATATATATGTGAGTGTGTCTGTGTGAGTGTCTGTGAGAGTGTGAGAATGTGGATGAGTGTATTATATAGAGCGCTTTGAATGAAAACTAATGATTAATGCGTAATGTATGCTGTTCTACACCTTCCGTCCTCCTATACTCTCCTACATCCTTCATCCTTCCTATCTGCCTTCACTCTGTTTTTTACTCACGTTTAGCTCACTTCATCTTTTTGTTTTATTCGAGTTCTTTAACTAATTTTTTATAATTTCTCCATCTATTCGCCCTCATTCATCTTAATATTTATACGTATAAACTTTTATAATTTTATACTAAATGGTTTTTTTTTACGTTTCTTGTTCTGTTAATACAAACGTCGTCGTGTATATATATAAAAAAAGATGTCCAAAGTTTTTACGTTACGTTATTGTATATACTTTTTTTTTGTTTTTTTTCCCTTTTCTTTTTTAATTACTTAGTGGATCGTTTTGATGGTTTTGCCTGCGTTTGCTTTACAGTTGTCCTAGGTTTGTAAATGGGTGTTTTCATTTTTTGTTTTTGTTTTTTGTGTTTCGAGTGGTTTTCTGATGTCTGAATGCTTATATATGAGAGCGCAGCGCCTAGCTATATAGGGCCTTACTATATAGTATCGTACTACATATGTATATATATATAATGTGTGTGTATGTGGGGTGTTTTCTCTCGATCATACACATATACTAGATATATGTACGAATATAACTAACGGCGAATTTACTTTGTTTCCTCCTTCTCTTTGTTCTCCTCGGTCGACTCCTTCTCGTTCGACTGTAAAGGATTAAATTATAGCTATTAGTATAAGGATCTTGACCAGGTAAGTATTAACCTACCTTGTCCTTCTCCAACTCCTTCTCAATCTTGTCGCCCTCGGTGCCTTCCTGCTCATTTGATTTCTCCTGCTCGCCGCCTTCCTTGCCCTCCTTAGTCTCTGGCCTTTAGAGTTCAAAAAAAGAATCAATTAGTTCCACAAATCCTTGTTTGAAAAAAGTCTAAAAGTACTCACTCTGGCTTGGGAATGTGTGCATTCAGATCCAGCTTCGTGCAGATCTCGTCCCAGTCGGGGAAGCACTTGTCCTTCATGCGCGAAACATGGCCAATCAAGTTGGGGCACTTCTCAGTCATGTAGTCGCGCAGAGGATATGCGATGTCCTTGGAGAGATAGTGGAGCTGCGAGAGGACCGCAAACGCGACCACATCCAAGGTAGTGGGCTCGTCACCAAAGAAGAACGGCTTGCAGTCGAGCATCTCGCTGAGCACTTTCAGATCGCTCTTGCCGAACTCCTCGATCTCCTCGGCGCTGTGGACACCGATGCCATGCGCCTTCAGCTTCTTCGTGCCCTGGAACCACTTTTTGTGTTGAATAGATGTTTGCCGCACAGACGGTTACGGTTTACGGGAGATTACGGGGGATATTAAGGAGGTTGGGAGGATTCACAAGCATTCATTAGGGGATTAGGGGAGGAGTTCAGTTACATGGGGTTAAGGGTTAAGGATTAAGGGGCACAACACATTACAGTTAGATGTTCAAAACCAAAGTAGTATGCAAAAAAGAACGAAAAAGAAAAAAGAGAAAACCATGCAGAGTTAGTGATAAAGTAACGATCGTTTTTTCTTGTTTTTTTTTTTAATTTTTTTTGCTTAATTTTTTGTTTGTTGTTTTGATCAATTCCAGCTGAGGTTTGGTGGGTTGCTGTTGGTTGTTATGTGAGAACCCGATGGTGTTATAAACAATATATCCCTTTACGACACGATTTGTTTATATTAGGCCAGGGTTTTCGGGGTAAACTATGTGTTGGGGATGGTTGGGTGATTGTGTGTTTGGAGTTTTAGTTTGGTTTTGGTAGGTGCAACTTAATACTCTACCGCTTCCTTTAATTGTTTATTTACACTACCCATCCATCCCCGCCTAATCCACAACGCCAGCCAACTGGGGAACCTCTTCAGTTTTGAATTTCACTTGAATCTAAACAAATGGCGGATGATACATTTGATTTTAGGAACTGGCTGGAGTTCAGCTGCTGGCGGTGTGAAATGTACGGAACCAACTACTTCAGCTACTATTTAATTCGAACAAAAAAATATGCTATAATTTTGGGTATCCTCTACTGGTCTAACAGGCTTCAATCGGTTTTCATATGTACGTATTGTTTGACTTTGATTTAGAATGAAAACAAACTCAGTAATAGAATATATTAACATTTGTGAAAACGACCAAAAAGTATGCAATAGATTAAAAATTCCATCGAAAATCATACAAATTGACGCAATGAAAACCAAAATACCATGATCATGACCTTCGATTCAAACCATCCAGTTACCTTGCGACCAAAGGTGATCTTGAAGAAGAAGTTGAGAATGGAGTTGGGCAGCCGCAGGCCCAGGGCGTGCTGCAAGTTGACCTTGTAGCCCTTGAGCACATTGTCCGGATACTTGGCCCTCCAGTAGAAGATGATCCAGATGAGATGGTTCTCCAACATGGCAATGGTGGCGTAGGACACATTCCTCTGCTCGGCGGTCAGTCCAGCATCCAGGTTCTTATCGTACTTGGCCGACAGCTCCTTGATGATAATGGCAGAGTCGGCGATTTCCTCGCCGTTCAGCTCGATGAACGGTAGCTGACCCTTCTTGGAGCGGAAACGCATCTTATGATCAACATTCTGAAATGGGGAAAGAACACAACCGTATATTTATTATTTCCGTTCGGTATGATGAGTAATAGATTGTGGAATTCGAGGGAGTGGGATACTGTTGTTTATCCCCCACACCTTATTATCTGGGAGAAGCATAAAAATATTCATTTTGCGGAAAATCATCTTAAATGGTCATCATTATCAGTGCTTTAAGTATTCTATATACAGAAGAGACTTTAAAAAGTCTTAAGGTCTTGAAAAAGAAACAAAATTATCATTATCCTTCCAAAGAGATAAACATTCCTACCCCTATGTCTTCCTCCTATCTTCACAAATCTATAAATACCCAAAGAATTGTAATGTCCATATGGACGAAATATTGGGTTTTTTTTCTCATGACTAACGGGAAATGTAGTTCAATCCTTAGGATGAATACCGGCCGCTAGATGGTGCTCATGACATACATATAGCCGGCAAACGTGTCCTACCAATGTGTATGTACATATTTCCTATGTATGCCAAGCAGATGCTGAAAAACCAACCACTACACAAAAAGCTGTACCTCCCAGGAACCCAAAACCCAAAACCCACAACCCGAACTCTAGCGTTCAAACCCAAATCCGACTACGAAAAACCCACCCAGGAACCAACACCCCTAACACACACACACACAGAGGCTAACGCAGACACCAATACAAATGCAAATGTGAGCACAGCGGGAGGGAGACTGCGTTCCAATTGCCCGCTATTTGAACATTTTGACATATTCCAATACTTCCAGTGTGTACACACGTCCGCCGTTTGAACATGAACCGTTACACGGCTCGTGTGACAGATATAGGCGGGTGTCCGGTTCTCTAGATTTCGTTTTCGGCTTGGCTGCACAAATCTACATAATAATTTCTAATTAGAAATTTGAAATTGCTGCCACAAACAAAAAAGCCGATCCGAGCCGAGCCGAAACCGTTGAAGCCGTTGGGCCGTTGGCATATTTTATGCTTTCGCGCCCTGCCGAAAAGGGAGAGGCAGGGTGTGGTTGCCCGAGAGAAATGGAGAGAGACACCGGTAGAGAGAGAGAGAGCGAGTGGCGGCGGCGGTGTGTTATAGAGAGATTTCCAGCAGCATCGCAAAAAGGGTGGAGTCCCGTCCACATTTCAATTCCAATGATCCACAAAAAAGGCAGCCTGTCTGCTCCCACTTCTTCTTCTTCATCTTCCTTCCCCATCAGCGTCTTCTTCTTCTTACTCTTGCCCACCGCCTACGCCAATGAGCATAACGGTCGCCTGTCAGGCCATAAGAACAGCCGCCACATTGTCGCCCCACAATGCAAATATTTATTTTTTTATTGAATCATTATGCCAATTAAGGCGACAATAATGGAGTTTATGATTGCTCGATTTTTTCGCCAAGTGTAAAATCCAGCAAACATCAAGAAGAAGAAGATGCATGAACAGCAATGCAATTATGCAGCTCATTTGTGAAAATGTATGAGTGTGTGTGTGTGTATCCACACCCTTGTTCAAAAATCCAGGGAGAGAGCCAAGAGAACCCCAAAATTGCAGTCGAGCGAGTGAGCAACAACAAAGGCAGTTGGCTGTTGTTTTAATGCAAATATGCGGTTTATTAATTAAAACAAAAGCAACAACAGACCCACTGAAATAAAACATAAAACAAAAACAACAACAACAACAAAAACAACAGCAAGAGCAGAAAAAAAAAACTTCACTTCCTTTCACACGTACAGTTGCATACAGCACAACATATGCGACACAGAGTTGCCAGATCCGCTGGCAAATTAAAGCGCGCCAGCATTTTCTTTATTTGAATTGTAATCAGTTTGCGAAGCAATTGAAATTTATGCGTCGTCGATCGCCCTCGACTTATTTGTGTTTGTAATGCAATATGCATATGGTAGGAAAAATGTGAATTAATTGCACAATCTACAAAGCGGCAGCGGGCGACACTAAGGAATTCCAGCAATGCGGGCCACCGCCTCAAAAGCGAAACTGATGTGCTGTTGTTGTTGTGGTTGTTGTTGGTCTTCGTTGCCTGGCTGACTCGCTTGCTGCTTGGCTGTTTTTGTTTTTGTTGTATTTGTTAATGGGCGCCGCCGTCGTTGTAGTGTGAAAAAAATATGCATTTGGTTTATCATCAATAAAGAAACAACTTCTGCTCTTGTTTACACTGATGAATGTGTATACAAAAGCAGGGAGAAAAAAAAAAAATGCAGTGGCAGCGGGGCAAGCAGCGGGTAGCGGGGGCCCAGGGGGTAAACTGGCTTAGTCAGTTGCAGTGAGTTGCACCCTCCCTTTGGTGATTAATGCAAGCAACGCTACGCCACGGACAACAACAAAGACCGACCAGAAATGTCAAAGGTCCACACAGTTTGTTGAACTCTTTTTTTCCTTTTCCCTATTTCATGTCCCCCCCATCCCTGCTAGTATTATTAATATTTTTTTTTGGGTGCCTCGTTATCAGTGGAAATGAAAATGGAAAGTATTTTTCAGCTGCGGGCCAACTGACGGACTGTCAATCATAATTGCCTTGCAATGCATGGAATGCAACATATGGCAAGATGCGGGGCGAGGCGACGGCGGTGGGGTGGGGTGGGGTGGGGTAGTACTTATCGGACATCTGTAGATTCTTCAATTAAAATTCCTCAGAGGCTCGTTTTTCATTAACCAGTGTAATTAATAAGATTAAACAACAATTGCGTCTCTAGTTTTGTGCGGGTGACCGCACCCATTCCTCCCCGTTCCCGCTGCGCCACCCACTGTCTCAGACCCCTGTCCCTTTTATAGTTTTTCCCTCCCCACCACCCTCAAAAGTGTCTGTAAGCCTATAAAAAAAAAAAAAAAATATGAAAAATATGCAAACCGCATCGCGCGCTTTAAAAATGAGTAGGAAAAAAAGCGAAAAGCTAAAATGGAAGGCCCCAATGGAAGTCGTTGACAGTCGCCCGGCTGCTCCCCCTGTCCGACCGCCCACACCATTACAGCTACTTAACGGGCTGACAGATAAGAAGAAGCAGCCGAGGAGCCGGGGACCCAAGAAAGCTATTTCTGAGTCGGTCTTAAACTGCATCAATTTTAATTTTTTTTTATTAAAAGCAATTACAAGCTGAAAGAAGCAAGAAGTTGAAGGAAAAGTGAAATAAAAAACAGTGCAGCAGCAACAAAGACAAAGAGCAGACAAGAGAGAGTGAGCGGGAGAGACAAAAGGAGAGAGTCAGAGTTGGCAAGTGCAAAATTTGAAGCACGACTTCGTTTGAAGAGGGGTGGTGGGGCCGTTGTTTGGGGGGAGAGTGGAGCATAAAAGTTGTGCTTTTATGAGAGGCGTCAGTGGCGTGGGAAATGGGGATGAAGGAATTGCAAGTTTCGCAAACAAAGAATGGATTTTTTTCCAAAAGTATCTGTGATTTTAAGAAAAGACCTATTCCAGGGCAGATCCTGTACTGCAAATAATGCAATTATCTATGTTAGGACTCCCACTCAAAATCCTGCGTACGCCCCTGTAAGGAGCAGCACTGAGGCAGCGACGCCGCCGCGGCGTCGGCGCACACACAAATTTTATGTATACGCTGTTTTATGTAGACGACGCACGCACACACTCACACACACAGGGCCCGGGAAACTGGAAGAGCGAGCGAGAGAGTTGATGCTAAATGTATCCCTTCTTCAGCTACGGGGCAGGGCAGGTCACACACACACAAACACACACGCGCAAACAGGCTTAGCACACAATCATGGCGGTTGAGAGCTCTCTCTCCCTGTTCAACGCTCTCCTGCAGGAGCCAGGAAAAAATCTGTACCGCAAAAAATGCGTGGCTTGAAAATCAGCCAAGGAAGAATTCTGGGGCTCCGAATCCCGGATACGGAGTTGGGACTCACCTCGTACTTTAGGCCCACCAGGCGCAGCCAGGTCTCCACCTTGAGGCAGTAGGGCGAGAGGGAGGGCAGCAGAGGGGTGCGTGAGAACTGGTACAGATAGATGATGTCCTTCTCGAAGTTTGCCTTGTGCACGTTGAACTTCTGTGCGGGCGGCGGGGCGTCCGTCTTGGCCACCGCTGTGGCCTCCTCCTTCTTGGCCTCACCGTCTCCGGCAGCGGCGTCCGCCTTCTCCTCTTTGTTATCCTTGTCCTGGGCAGCATCGCCCGCGCCCTCCTTCTCGGCAGGGGCGGCGGCTGCGGGGGCGGCCTCGGTCGCCGCTGCAGGCTTGTCGGCCTGCTCCGCGTTTTCTGTGCTGGCCGCCACCGCGGGCGTTTCCTCAGCGGGAATCTGGGCTACTTCAGTTGCCATTTTATTTGCTTTTTTTTTTAATTTTCTGCCTGTCTAATGTATGTTTTTCCAAAGAGGCTGCTTCTGCTGCGCTTTCTTCGGCTATCACACTTTCCTTGCACACGCGAACTCGGAACTCGAAACTTGAAATGCGAAATGGAAGAGCGATCTGGAAAATCTGGAAAAAGAAAATTGTTTGGTGGTGGCGGTTCTGTTGCGACGCTGTTAAGGCTCTGTTAAGGCTAAAGGAGCGGTAGCAGCGATTCAACTGAAGAGAGAATTCTGCGACGTCTCTCTCTCGCGACCCGGACTTTACCGTCTTTACAGTTTTAAAAACAGCGCGCCAAATTTTAAATGATTTTATCTTATATTTTTAATGTTTCTTTTTTTGTATATATCCCTAGAACTCGATGTTTCACTCACAATATTATCCGTTATCCGTTACCCGGTACATGCGTCCTCTGTCGCTGTCGGTACATTGATTCTCTATTTTTCGTTGCTCTCCGCTTTTATACCCCGGGTGGCTGTTGCGGTTCTGTTGCGACGCTGTTATGTCTCTGTTATATCGGTGTTTTATCTCACAGATGGCGCCAGCGGTTATTTTTTATAGGGTTTTCGGTATTTGTCTGGCAACACCAGAAAAATATATCGAAATTTACATTGAAATATGGAAAATAAAACAAAAGTGAGGGTAAAAACGTTATTTTGAATTTAAATGGGAATTATTCTTACATTCTTTATTTTCCAAAATAAGTACAACTAATATTTGTTTTCCTAATTTTTTAAAACGACAGTTTTAAAATTCTCTTTCAATAATTTTAAAATAAACCAATTATGAACAATTTGAAGACATACAGCCAATACAAAAATAGGTCAACTATTATTAGTTACTATTATTTCTAAAGTGTGGCCGGTATTAAAGAACTTAGCCCACATCTGTTAAAAACCTAATATTTTTCATTTCTATTTCCCGAGAGATAGAGGTTTGAAAAACATGCTGTTATTAACATAATTATTTTAACACAAAATATTCTTTTTGACCAGCTTTCCCATTATACCTTTAAAGCGTTCTCTTATTCTTCAGATTTGGTTTCAAAGAGTTCTATTCTACTGCCTTACATTTTATGAAATTTATAAAAAGAAATCTAAAATTCCCGCTGTACATTATTTTAACCGCAATCACACTTTAAAATATCAAAATCTAACGGGAAAAGGCTGAGGTGACACCACTGCCACAGGGAGCTGTTCAACACTGCTGGAAGGGGCTTTGTTTTCCTTGTGAAAATTGATAATTTGATAAAAACGCAATAAGCAAGTGCAATCCAATTCTTCTATAATGGGAGCTGTCCTAGGACTCTGTTCCGCCGCCCAGGTGAGTTGGACAATTCCAGACCAGCCAAGGAACCGAGCAGCCAAAAAATAAGTTTTTCCATTTGGCAACAAATCAATAATGTCGCCATATGTTACCCCAGGGAGTCCCTAATTGTGGGATTCTCCCTTCCTAGATCGGGGTATTCCGTTTGAACTGTTCAGATGGGGAATTCTTGATTCTCAGCAAGCATTGTCTTGATTATGGCTATTTTCCTTTCCAAAAAGAGTTTAAATATGATATCCTTAAAACGCATCCAGACAAAGGACTTCAATTATTTTATTGCCTTTGTTTTTTATTTCTAGTGCGCTATGTGCTGCGGCGGCACTGCTGCCAGCATGTGCTGCTCGGCCTGCCCCAACTGCACCAACTCCTCTTCCTCGCGTTTCATGTACGCCTTCATGCTGTTGGTGGGCACCATCCTGGGAGCCATTGCCCTCTCTCCGGGGCTGCAGGAGACCCTGAAGAAGATGCCCTTCTGCATCAACTCTACTTCCACGTACAGCGCCGGTGCCCTGAGCACCTTCTCCGGAGGAACCTTGCAAGCTGACTGTGACTTCGCCCTGGGCTATATGGCTGTTTATAGGCTTTGCTTCGGATTGGCCTGCTTCTTCGCGTTGATGGCTCTGATTATGGTGGGGGTGAAGAGTTCAAGAGACCCGCGATCCAGCATCCAGAACAACTTTTGGCCCCTGAAGTTTTTGATCTGCTTTGGAGCTGCCATTGGAGCCATCTTCATTCCGGACGGGTCCTTTGGCCCCTCCATGATGTGGGTAGGTCTTATAGGTGGTCTCGCTTTTATTCTCATCCAGCTGGTGATTATTGTGGATTTCGCTCACACCCTGGCGGAGAACTGGATAGGTGAGTCATAAAGGTCACTCTCTCTAATGATTCATTAAACATCATCTTTTTATTCCAGAGAGTGCCGAAAACAGCCGCGGGTATTATTATCTACTAGCTGGGGCCACTTTGTTGTGCTATATCTTATCGTTGACTGGGATTACACTGCTCTATATCTACTTCACCACTGTGAGTGCGCCATGGACAAATATTTGTTTAGGATTAACCATTTTCCCTCTAACAGTCCACCGCTTGCGGCATCAACAAGTTCTTCATTTCCATAAATTTGATTCTTTGCGTGGCCATTAGCGTGATCTCGATCTTGCCGGCTGTTCAGGAGCGTTTGCCTCACTCTGGACTGTTGCAGAGCTCTTTGGTTACCCTGTATACGGTTTACTTGACTTGGTCTGCTGTGGCCAACAACCCGGGTAAGATTTTTAAGCCTATAGACTTCTCTTAAATGAATATAAACCTCTTTTAGAGAAAGAATGCAATCCCGGCATGTTTGGGCTGATGGAGAGCTTTAGCAACGCCACCACCACTCCGGCCCCATCGACTCACAACTCCAAGGTTACTTTCGATACCACCAACATCATCGGTTTGGTTGTGTGGCTGCTGTGCATTCTGTACAACTGCATCAGCTCGGCAGTGGAGGTGTCCAAGATTACCCATGACAACAGCGAGAAGCGTGGTAAGTTTTGTGTTCCCCATTCCTGGTGCTCCGTCCGCATTCCCATCCCACTCCGCATTTCCACAGTTTCCATAACGCACATTCGATCGCCAATCACTTTTCATTTAGTTCGCTGTAGAAACAAAACCAAGCTAATACTGGTAATTAACACTCTTTTGCTTTTGGCCGCCTTTTGATTTCCTGATTTATTTTCCGACTAACACCACTAACCTGTGACTGGGTTAAATGATTCTTGAAACTGTGTGAAACATGGGGCCGCTGCCGCTCCTCTTTGAACTCCGATTAATGTAGTTTTAACAGAAGCTCTATCAGACACAGAGGCTGGCACGGATGCCAACGGAAAGTCCAACACCGACACCGAGACCGAAGGCGTCTCCTACTCCTGGTCCATGTTCCACATTGTCTTCGTGTGCGCCTCGCTCTATGTTATGATGACCCTGACCAACTGGTACCAGTAAGTATTAAGTCCTTAGTAATCTTTGTGTGGAATACTCAACATATGGTGCCTCCTTTCAGACCCAACTCGGACATTAAGCTGTTTAACGCCAATGAGGCTTCCATGTGGGTAAAAATCATCTCCAGCTGGCTGGGCGTTTTCATTTACGGCTGGAGCTTGGCCGCCCCAATTGTTCTCACCAATCGCGACTTTAGTTAAGCGATTTAAAAATAGCGATTACTATCTATAGGAGTGGTGCTTAACAAAGCAAATCGAGAATGGCCAAACGGAACCGAAAGAGCAGATAGTTTTGAAACTGACGAAGAATAATCATACATAATTTTGCCTCTTAGTGTGGTGTCTACTCATTGATCTTATTCTCAAATTGCAACAGTTACAGTATATATATTAAATGTAAATCTATAAACACTTAAACAATATAACTAAACTTAACCAAATCAAGACTTTTGTTTCAACTGGATCTCGTCCTTGGGCAGAGCTTCTCTGAGACGTTCCAGGGTCACTGTCTTGCCCAAGATCTCCATCATTTCAGCCACGCCTGGACCTTCTTTCAAGCCGCTCAGTGCAGCTCGTAGACTCTTCATCATCAGCGGGAACTTGATGTTTTCTTTTTGGGCAAAGTTTTTCAGTCTGACATTGAGGTCGTCTTTATTAAACCCTTCATGTGCGTCGAGTTCGTGGATTAAAGTATTCAGTTGCTCTCTCGAGAGGTCCTTTAGCTCATAACTTGATGGTTTCACCCACAGGAAGCTCAACTTGCTGCTGGTCAAATCTTGCAGAAGGGTCAGACGCTGGGAGGACCAACGCAAGACGTCCACTACGTGTTCCTCAGCCAGATCGAGATTTGAACTGGAATTTTAAGTAAATTATAGGTTCTACGTGAAATACTTTAAATAAAGAAGGCTCACTGTTTTGGATAGGCTTTTTTGACTAGTTCCTGAACGTTTCGGATCAAAAGCAAGCGGCTCTCATTATCCGCCAATCGCTGTTCTATTTCAAGTCGATTTAGATCTTCGAGTAGCTCTGGGTTTAACCTACTAGGATGGGAGTTGACTCGCTCTATAAGAAACTGTCTAGACAGCTCCTGAACGCTGAGAAGTTGCTGCTTGCCACTGTCTCTATGCTCGAATCCACCGCCCGCGGAAACCACATAGTTCAGTAGAGCCAAAGGAAAGTATCCCTTCTCCCGGAAATGCTGGATACCTATGTCGCCCTGTCTCTTGCTTAGTTTTGTGCCATCGGCATTTACCAAGAGCGGCAGATGTCCAAATTTGGGAGGTTCCCAGCCAAATGCTCTAAGGAATTCCAGAAAATGTAAGTAAGTTAAGGGAGATATTAAAAGAATCCTTACTTGTAGAGCAGGAGATGCTTGGTGGTAGATATCTGCCACTCCACTCCTCTCAAGACATGAGTGATGCCCATTAGATGATCGTCGACCACGTTCGCAAAGTGGTAGGTGGGGAACCGATCGCTCTTCATAACCACGGGATCGCCTTCGTTGTCGCTGACATTGTGATGGACTTTTCCGTAAATGAGATCATCCAGCGGCTCCTCATGGTCCGTTAGCTTGAATCGGATGCAATGAGGGGTTCCCCTGTCTAAGAGGGACTCCACTTCTGATTTTGTTAGATGCCGGCATTTGTTATCGTAGCGCGGAACCTGTCGTGTTCTGACCGCCTCCTTACGCAACAGATCCAGACGACGTTCCGTGCAAAAGCACCTGTAGGCAGTGCCGTTTTTCAGTAGCTCCTCGATGGCTTTGCTAAAATCATAAGTAAACAGTTTAATTAATTAATTTAGGGGTCCCTTTTTGGTAGTTACCTGTAAATCTCAGTTCTTTGGCTCTGAACATACGGTCCAAATTGCCCACCAAAACCAGGACCCTCATCAATCTCTATGCCCGCCCACAGTAGATCCTCCACCAGGCGTTCACTGGCACCTGGAACCAGACGCGTTTGGTCAGTGTCTTCGATCCGGAGCAGAAACTTTCCATTCAAATGCCGGGCGTAAAGAAAATTGTACAACGCCGTACGGAGACCTCCCAAATGCAAGTATCCTGTGGGACTGGGAGCAAAGCGCACTCGCACTTGGCTTTGGGATTGGGAGTAGGAGCGGTGCAGCACCGACCAAAAGAGGTATCTTTGGCTAAATTTCCACATTTTTTAATTTAAAAAAAATCTAATGGGATGCAAGTTTTGTTTACATCGAACAGCTGTTAGATCGAAAGGAACTGCCAACCTATTTTATTACCAGTTGTTGGTTAACAGAGGCTTAACATAGGCGCCTGATTCATGATTTAAAAATATGAAAGATTTAGAGACTTGCGCGCTTTATTTAACAAAAATGCATTTTTTTCAGAAGGAATTAATAAATTAGCAGCTTGTGAACATTCGGCTTAATAAGTATTACACGGCTCAGGTAGGCTGGTACGTGGAGACCTATTTAATAGAACAGTTGGCCAGCTTGCTGGAAAGTTTCTCGCCCTCGGGCGTCAGCAAGAAGTTGTCCTTCCACACGGCCAAGCCATCGCCGTTTGTCTTAAAGTCGACGGAGAGCTTTTCCCATACCTTCTTTTTGGGATTCAGCTGCTCGTCGGGCGTGCCACTGAATCCTTCGAAAGCGAGCCGGCTTCCAGGAGCAGCTGAAGCCGGGACTATAATGGGCTCAACAACAGTATGATCGGCGCTGGAAAGGCATAAACAATTAATGGAGTTTCAAGAATGATCCAAGCCAGACATACTTGGAGGTGCACAGAACCATTCCCTCTGAGAGAATACCACGCATCTTGGAGGGCTTCAAATTGCACAGAACGGTCACTAGTCGCTGTTCCAACTCCTCTTGTGTGACAAACTTGACCAGGCCACTGATGATTGTCCTGGGCTGCTCCTCAGCCAAGTCGATCTTAAGGACGTAAAGGGTGTCGGCATCGGGGTGGCGAGCTACCTCCACAACCTTGCCCACGCGGATATCCAGACGATAGGGGGCATCCTCATCAGCGCCAGCAGCTGGAGCAGCTCCAGCCTTAACCTTTGCCGGTGGCGGATAAGCAGCTGCACTAAGTTTTCTACAAAAAAAGGGTTCCTTTAGAGAAGATTAAAATAATAGAGATTTTAAGAAACCCACTGAAGTTCTGGCTTCTCAAAGGCCTTGCGAATGGGATCCAACAGTCGGTTTATGTACTTCTCCACCGTGGCTTTCAGATCACCTGGGTGTAGCTTGTCTTCAGCGTAGTACTTCTCCAGATCCTCGTACTTCAGGAAGGTAACATCGCCACCATGCTCAGCCTCTCGGTTGACCTCGAATCCTTCTCCTTCTTTAAAAAGTGAGAACAGGACGTGCTTCACGAAGGATAGCAGTCCATTGTCGGCAATGTTTCCGGGCTCGCAGAAGGCCTTCTTCAACTTCTTCTTGACATTGGCGGGCGAGTCCAGCAGGTCGATCTTGGAGTCTTCCTCGGAGGAGGACATCTTGCCACCAGCCAGACCAGGCACTGTAAGTAGATAACTATAATGAAATACGCTTCAATTTTACGAAATTACGATGACTCACCCATGGGGTTCATGAAGTGGATGCGCTTCTCATAGCCCAGCTGGGGCAGGTACTTTTCGGAGAAGGTGAAGATCTTACGCTGATCCACGCCACCAAACTGGGCGTCCACCTTCAGGTACTCCTCGTCCAGGGCCTGCAGTCCTGGGTAAAGCAATCCAGAGAGCAGAGGGTACTCCACCTGCTTGACCACCTCAGCTCCGGCCTTCTTTGCGTCGTGCTGAGTCACAACCGAGCTTAGTTTGTAGACATCGAGGGTGTATTCCTTGGAAAGCTGGTAGTCGCTGCCCTTGACGAACTTCAACTTCTCAAGAGGAACTCCAATGGAGCTCAGCATGGCTTTGATAACCTGCTCGTAGTACTGGGTCCTCAGCTCCAAGAGGGACCACGGCGCCTTCATGTTGTCCAGGTAGGCGTGCAGATCGGCAAACAGGATGGTGACCTCGCAGCCGGCCTTCAGGAAATCGGCAATCTTCGACATGGGCACGAAGTAGGCGACATGTGGTTTGCCCGTCGTCGCCGTTCCCCAGTAGATCTTCAGATCCCGCTCTCCGAGGATCTTCGTGAGCTTGTCATCGCCTAGAGTCTCCTGCAGGTTGCGCGTTATGAGCGCTTTCTTATCAGCGGGCGTTAATCCAACCATTTTTATGGAAATTCTTGCGTGCGATTTCGCCAAATGTTGTTGGGGAAGAGGAAGAAGAAGACACCTGCATGCGTGGTAAGCAGCTGATGGGCGGGCCAACTCGACGAGCACTTAACAGCTGTTACATCACTGTTATTATGATGTATGTAATGATGAATAATTGTAATATTGAGCCTGCCTGACAACGAAGGCCATATCTCAGTCAAGCGATTATTCAAGCGATTCTCAAGCGGAGTACCTTAAAAGACTTGTAGATAGATTCTCCACAAATCTGCATCAAAATCCTAGATACGATTTTCCGATCCATTTTTTGTGAATTTTTCCAGGGACCCCCTTGAATAATTGGATAAAGCGTGAGGACAGAAAAAGTGACCTACTGCGAAGGCCATATCTCAGTCAATATTGAAGCGATTCTCAAGCGGAGTACCTTAAAAGATTTGTGGATAGATTCTCCATAAATCTGCATCCAAATCTGAGATACGATTTTCCGATCCATTTATTGTGAACTTTTTCGGTCAACCCCCATGTAAAAGCGAAAGTGTCGTACTGCAAAGGTTATATCTTGAAAAATATTCTTTTGATTTTTGAGAAAAAAACCATTAAAGGTTTTTAGGTCGTTTTTCCAAAGGTCTTCATAAAAAATTTTATAAATATTGTAATATTTTAAATCAAATTAGTCCAGAAACTAACAAATCAAATAAATTGGATTAAAAATACATACTAACAGAGTTGAAATACTGAAAAATACCGCACATCAGCTGTCGTTCCCTAGAGGATGTGTACACACTGGTCTGCTAGCGGATGTAAACAAAAATTTAAAACGATAAAAATGGTTAAGAAGGAGAAACCGAAACTACCGCCATGGGTGAAGAACCTCTACTCCAACCGGGAGTACCCCGACAACTACACAGATGCCAGCTTTCTCAAGGATCTCCGTACAAATCTTCATGTCAGGATATACACATATCCGGAGGCGCTTGCCGGTGCCACTGTGCTGAGCAATCAAATATCCTGCATTACTGGTTTCCTTATTCTCTTCCAACTGCTGCTCAGCGATAGAGTGGCACCCACCACGATCCTGGTACCGAGCTGCGCAGTCACTGGAATCGGTTATCTCTGCTATCGGGGCAGGAGTCTTAGCCTGTCGCTCCTTGGCGAGGATTCCAAGACCCTGTTCACTGTGGTCTTTTTTGGCTACTTATTCTCCCCGATGCTGCACACCTTGACACAGGCCATCAGCACGGACACCATCTACACGATGACCTTCTTTGTGCTGCTAGCTAATCTTGTGTTTAGCGACTATGGGTTGGATGTAGCTATGGTCTCCAAGGTGTACCTTTGTTCTCTTTTCACTTAAACACAAATCACTAATATAAATCGTTACTAGGCCATCTCCCTCAATGCAGCCATATTTGGAGCCATTTGTCTGGCCTCTCGCCTGCTGACGTCCTATCATGCATTCGTCCTGCTGGTCGAGGCTGCCGTCTATTTTGTGCTTTATCCCATTATGACTGAAGCTAACTGGAGTCCTTTCTTTATGGTGCCCATCTTCGCCGCCTGCTGCTCATCTTTGTATTGGATATCACAGCCCGTGCTCTACCTGTACGCCTCCACCATAATTTTCATCAACTTTATCAGCCCGTTTATTTTTGTGAGACTGCAGCAACACAAGTTCAACATTCACGGACCTTGGGACGAGGCGATCGTCGAGGAGAACACCGACGAGAACCTGCATGAGAACTTATAGCGGCAGCTTTGCTTCTCACAGCAGCTGCAGCCACTACCAGGTGGCGGCGATGTCGGGGAGCACTTCACTGATCATTAACCAATCGCACTATATTTTGTTATTTTTTTAATTGATTGTTGATATTTTATGAGTTATTCTATGTCCTTCTTCTGGCCACTTTTATCCTGCTGCCTCATTATAGTTGTAAGTAAAACTTTTATAAATTATACTACAAAATATACTGTTATTAGAATCGTAATGAAAAATAGTTTTTTGAATGAAATTCTTTTATTTATATTTCGAATTATTGTTGATACAATAAGGGCCAGCTAACATCCTTCGCACCAGCATTTGAGACTAGCACTGCAGTGTCCACTGGGTCGACGTTCCTCCTTGCAAACACGTCGGCAGGTTTCGTTGTCCCAAACAGCACAAGGACCTCTGTACCTTCCGGAGAGACAGTCAGCATCCGCTTCGTGGGCTCCCAGGACGACCATCATTACGACGGCGGAGAAGGCAAACCAGAACTTGAACTGCATTGTAGAAAGTTAGGATACTGGACGAGAAGCTATCGAGTTAAGACTTGGGTTGGATGTGTGCGGGCTCTTCTTGTGTCGGAGTTTATATAGAAGGGCACTTCCTTTGCTATCTTTCCTCCTTTTTGGTTAGGTTTCTCTTTCATATGGGTAAGCAAAGTCATAGACATATGTGTCATAAAGTCCTGTATTATTCCCAGCATATGTAGGTAAAGACCAATTCTAAGAACAATTTCGGGAGTTATCCCTATTCTCCTGAACCGCACTAATCCGAATGCAATTTATTGTTGTATTGCCGAAAACGTTTCACTGCAAGAATATTTTAATATAGGTACATTTTTTCACCCAGCAAGGTTTTGTAAATTTTTCCAGGGACCCCCCCTAATGCATAAATCGGCATAAAAATCTGAGATACGATTTTTCGATCCATTTTAAAAAGTGAAAAAGTTTCCTACTGAAAAGGGTTCTAAGTGGCCATATCTTAAAAAGTATTCTTTTGATTCTTGATGGAAAAACCCTAGATGTCGGGAAGTACTTCACTGATCATTAACCATTCGCACTGTATTCTGTTTTTAATTTAATTGCTTGTTGATATTTTATGATTTATTCTATGCCAGTTTTCTGGCCACTTGTATCCTGTTAAGTCTTTATAGTTGTGAGTAGAGCTTTTTTAAATTATACTACGAAATATAAATTTTTTTTTGAATGAAAATAATGCATTTATTTGAGTTCCGAAGTTATATTCATAGTTATATAAGGGCCTGCTAACATCCTTCGCACCAGCATTTAAGACTAGCACTGCAGTGGCCACTGGATCGACCCTCCTCCTTGCAAACACGTCGGCAGGTATCGTTGTCCCAAACAGCACAGGGACCTCCGTATCTTCCGGAGAGACAGTCAGCGTCTGCTTCGTGGGCTCCCAGGACGACCATCATCACGACGGCGAAGAAGGCAAACAAGAATTTAAACTGCATTGTAGAAAGTGCTCGAGTAGCTATCGATTTAAGGCTTGTGTTGGATATATGAGACTTCTTCTTGTGCCGGGCTTTATATAGGGTCCAAAGATGCAGTTTTTTTTATTTTAGAAACCACTGAGAACTGCTGTCGATGATAACAATGTTTACGGTTGATCTGCTTCTCGGTACACAAAAATATTAACCGGTTGCTGATAAACCCAGTTTATCATTGTTGGCTTCAAGACTGAATCAGTGAAATGCGTATTATTATAGTTCTGAGCCGTTGGGAGTTCCCAGAGATGTTTACTTCCGAATGGAAAAAAATATCATTAAACAAATAAACAAAGTTTGTACTCTAGTATCTCGACTAAATATATGCTCATATTGTACTTCTTTTGTACTTGAATAAGTTGTTTTTAAAATGATTTAAAGTTGATTAGGTTATAAAGGATATCTATTATCATTATTTATTTATGAAAATATTTATGAAATTATATATTCTAGCCTATGGCCTGGGAAATGTAAAGTCGGGACATCCGTAAAGAACTCTATTTTTGTTTATTTTTCAACAAAGAATTGCACTAAAACCAAACCTGTATTTTAGTTTGGTTGAAACGCCATTTAAAGGTAATAAAATATGTTGATCAAAACATACATATATTGTTTATTTTTGTGGGTCAATACTACTGAAGACATAAAAACAAATTAATTAGTAACTTATAAAGTAAGCAAAGTTTAGACATAGAAGTTCTTTAAGAATATACTGAAATAAAAACTTACTGAACAGTAGGATCATGCAAATCCTGGAAAATTATTACTTTTATTTATTAAAAATTTATTTTCTTTTAACATCCTGAGCACCAGCATTTAAAGCTAGGACTGCAGCGTCCACTCACGTGTCCTTCCTCCACGCAATACCGTCTGCACAGCTCTTAGTCCCATATGGCACAAGCTTCTTTAGATTTCCCTGAAAGGCAATCGGCTTCAATCATGTTGGCAGTCAGGACCAGAATCAGGACCACGGATAGAAGAGCGTAAACAAATTTTATTTGGGCCATGATGATAAGGATTTTTATCAGAGAATCAGGATCCGCTAAAATGATTACTTTGAGTCCCCAACAGGGACAGGAATGAGCTCTTCAACTTCGGAGAAGGCGTATATATTCTGTATATATTCTGTAGATCTGTTGGCTTAGCTTGAAGATTGTATTCCTTTTGCATTGACTTACTCATCCTCCTAATTGATTATATAAATTCTTCAAGATTTGCTCGAAAAATGAATTTTTAAACTGCTGTGCAATACTTATTCTGAGCTTAACACCTGGGCTTTAATTTAAAAAGGATACATTGTAAAAGCACCTAGAATTTCATTAACTTTAAGAAACTCTCATATTTAAATAAAAATATATAACAATTGATTATGTTTGGCATTTATTTACAAACATATACAGGATGAAAGTCAATGCAGATCATAAAATAATACATGATGTTCGCATTAAATGTATATTCATTATAAAGATTGATACGATTAGAACTAAATAGAAACTAGTTTGCTTGTGGTAAAAACTCGATCTTTTTTTTACAGATAGCAATAAATCTACTAAGATTAAGAAACTATGCCTAACCATACATAAAACACACCTATGTGTTTCGTAAAGTGTCTTTAGTCATTTGCTAATTTGTAGGTTTGAACTATTGAATACAATAATTTATTTCACGTATGTATAAACTTTCTCAAAATGTAAAAAAACGTAGTACATATGTATGCTCTGTTGGTTAGGCTCTCCTATTGACTTACTAACTAATGCAATTAACTACCATCGCATAGGTGTAACATACTATATAGTATATATATATGAATGACGCTTCATTAACTGCATAATCCTATAAAGTTTGTGCCCACTCCGCACTCGGATCAGATGATCGGGTCTTTTCAAATTTCTAGCTTTTCTTTTTTGATTTTTCCATTTGATCTAACCTTCACTCCAATCCCCAATGTCCTTCGATCCTGCGATCATTTGTCCTATTCTCGTTTATGTCTAAATTCCGCTAAGAACAAATAATATTACAAACACTAAAACACGAACGCTGCACCATGGCAGACCAGTCTCCATTGCAGCGGTTACACAGATTTAACGTTAAACTAGGCTCCTAATTAGAGGGCCACCTCGTCACCGTTGCGGGTGCTCAGGGGTGACACCTGCTCCTGATACTGCTGTTCGGCCCGCAACTGAAGCTCCCGTCTCCGCTGGGCGGTCACCGAGAGATGGCTCTCGGCTGCGGTGGAAGCCACTTGGTTGTTGGCGCTTGGCTCGCGCATTTTATCACGTACGGATGTTGTTGCTGTTGTGGTTGCTGCTGCTGCAGCTGCTCCTGCTGTTGCGGTTGTGGATTTTTTGGTCGTGGCAAAGTGTACTTGTTGTTGCGCCTGCTGTGGCTGTTGTCAGACCAAATCGCTCTTTGGCGTCGACGTCGCCGCAATGGCAGCCAAGGGCACTCCCCCGGCACCCGCACCCGAGGCAGAGCCAGTCTGGTTGCCACTGGATGTGGCTTCCAGCAGGGAGCCCGCCTCCACGTCGCCGGCTTGCCGGGCTGCGTTGCGCTGGCGGCACAGGTAGGGCGAGTTGGTGGGCGAGGGCAGTTGATTCTGAAAAGTAAATAGAGTTTAGTGTTGGTTTTTAATTTTAAAAATAAATTGTTTATAAATAACTAACCAGTTTGTTGTTATTCTGGCAGCAGGTGGCCTTAACGCAGCCCTCTTCCGTGGTGGGACAATCCAAGGCGCAGCAGTCGGAGCCGCTCATGTTGATGCTGGAGGTGCCATCCGACATATTGCAGCCCTCGATCTCGCTGAACTCTGGCTGGATGGTGGTGGAGTGGATGCCCTCGTTGTGGAAGAACTCCTTAACCTTCTCGGCGATCTTCATGTACTCCGATAGATTTCGGCAACTAAGTAAGTCCAATAATAATAAAATATAGTATTTAATAAGGACCAAGCAAAACTTACCGAATATGAGCCGAGGCAATGATACGGTCCCCGGCCAGTTGCCACACATGGAACTCGTGCACGGCCAGCACGCCGTCCACCTTCTCAAGCAGCCGCTTCTGGATGGCGTCCACCTGGATGTGGGTTGGCACCGTTTGCAACAGAATCAGGGCTGATTCCCGCAGCAGCGGCCACACCGAGTGCAAAATCAGGATCACCAGCAGAATGGACAGGGCAGGATCCATGTAGTAGCGGTACTTCCACTTGGTTAGCCACACCACCAAAGCACTGATGACCACAATGATGCTGCCCAGGGCGTCGCTCAGGACGTGAAGGAAGGCTCCGCGCATGTTCATATGACCGGGATCGTGGCTATGGCCGTGACTGGACTTCTTAACCGGCTGCTTCTCCTTCTGCTTCTCGTAGGAGTAGTCGTTCTGTTCGTCATCGCCCTCGTCCATGTTGGCCAGCTCGGTGAGGCGGCTGTGGTTGCGGGTGAGGCCCCCGCCATGCGAGTGTCCATGGTGACCGCCATGTTCTATGGATATACATAGGTTTTAGTTTATTCTCCAACAGTGTATGGATGTACTCTTACCATATAGAAGGCAAAGTCCAATAACGTTCACCAAGAGGCCCAAGGCACCAACGATCACCAAGAGCTCGGGCTGGTGGATGGGTTCCTCCTCGATGAATCTGAAAAAAATATCAAAGAATATTAGTATCAATTAAATGTCTACTTGGGCCAATTAGACATAGTCCAATCAAATATTAGTAACCTTTTTTTTTATCAATGCTAACTTGTTTAATTTTTATCAGTGTGTCGGACAAGTATCGGTCGGTGGCTATTGGCAACAGATTCAGATTCACCTCGTTTAGCTTTTAAAAATATATATACATATATATTGTGCACGTTATGCGCATGGAATGCAAATGTAGTTACTAAAGTGAATAATTCCCAAGCCCGGCCTGGCACTAAAACTTCGTATCGAGCGTATCACAACAAATTGGCTCACACAGACAGGGAATTAAGCGATTCGAGAAAATTAAAACAAATCACGTTAGCACACACGTCGATGCCAAGGCGAGCTTATTTCTCGTAATTCGGCTTACTGCTCACAGATCACCGAGCAACTGGGACTGGGTGTGGATCATTGATCGGTAATTACTCCTAAAAAACCCACTCACCTTTTACACGCCTCGATGGTAATGCTGAAGCAGAGGGCCACCAGGAAGACGGCGTTGACGAGAGCTCCCAGCACCTCAGCCCTGGCCCATCCAAAGGTGTTCTTCGACCACTTTTTGGGTGACATCTATCAAGATAGGGGTTACAATTAGTGATTTGGAGATACCACTATGGAGGAGACTTACCTTGACCGACAGAAACGAGATAACCAGGGCGGCAATGTCGCCCAACATGTGAAAACTGTCGGCCACCAAGGCCATGGAGTTGGTCACATAGCCCACAATGATCTCCACAAAGAAGAAGAACGCCGTCAGCCACATCATCGAGAGCAGGCGACACTTCTTGCCAGAGTACTTGGCCATTTTGGAGAATCTGAAAAAAAGAAAATAAAGACTTCAGTAAGGGTCTTTTTATATTCCATCGAATATCAATCAAAGTATTGGGCTCAGTTCGTTCAACCTCCGGGCTTGTTATTCTGGGGACACGCACACCCAAACAAATTACCAACAAATTGAGTTTTTCAATTGTTTTCCATTCAAGCGGGTTGGTTGTTCAAACTATTTTCCATTTAGGCTTTTTTCTAGCCTTTAATTGAATATGAGAAGGGTAACAGATGAGATTTGGGGGGAATTGGAACCTCATTTAAAATAAAAATTAAAAAAGGGGCCTGGCCATCGATTCGTTATGGCTGAGTGGCTATCCCGATGGAAGCTCTGGACTCACGCAAAGAGCTCCATTCTGATTGCTGGCCTGGAACTGGGAGACTGTGGCTCCTCGCGATCTATACCCGGCTGGTGACTGACTATTCCCTCAGATCGGAACAGTTTAGCCAGCTAGCATATTCCCTCGAATCGCCAACGGTGCCAGAACGCGATGTGTAAACAAAAACTCAAAACATTTTCAACTGAATCGACAATGAATGCAAGTGTATCGGAATCGAAAGGGGACACAATCCCCATCTCCGTTGCCAGGGTGGCTAGGTGGCTAGGGCGTAATGGATGGAGGGGGCGTGGCAAACAGTCAAGGGAGTGACGTTTCTTTTCTTGCTACTGTGGCGACGGCGACGGCAACGGACAAGAAAAAAATTTGCATTTTTCGACAAGAACCCCAAAACGTAAGCAAAAAGCTATTGTCCGTTTGCCAAGCAACCAAATAATAAAGTGCTCAGCCCTCTAGAAAGGTACTCATTTCTAGAAAATGTTTGAAAATTATGAAGGATATACTATAAGAAGGGTGTTGGCTTAATTCTAACTCCATAGCTTTAAAAATAAGAGACTTCTTTGAGTGGAAACATGGGGATATGCTAGATCTCCCTAAAAGATTCTTTAGACGACAGTCCTCACTGTGGGAGAATCCACCTCATCTTTAGCATTCTGGTTGGCGCTTAGTAGACCCAGTACTGATTACACAATCTCCTCGTGTGGCTGTTATCGCCAGCCCAGGCACATTCACTGCCTCGGCACACGAGACGCCAAAAACAAAAGCGTTTTTTTTTTGCATTTTTGATTTTTATCTGCGACGCACCCACCACCACTGAACGCGATTCCGGTTAGGAGGTGGGTACCGTGTGCACTAATGCCAATAAATGCGTATCTGGTGGATCTGCCTGGTATGTCGGCTAACTGGTAACTAAGGACTCTATCCACCAGCCAAGCAATTCGATCTTCTGGGTCCATATGCCAACTATGAGCATGGGCTAGATAAACACGACCGATAAGCCTCTGTGCTGGCTGTGCCTCAGAATGCAAACAATTCCGGGCAGCAGCCCCTTATCGGGTCGGCTGGATAAAGGGTTGGGCTCGGAGTGTGGGTGTCGGGTGTATAGTCTACATTGTTGGCTAGCCAAATATTACAATCCAAACAAATGACAAATAAAGCTATTGCGTTTTATGGCCACTCAGGTGGGCAGTGATTGGAAAGAAAGTTGTTGAAAAATGAGATCTAGGAAGGAATCTAATGCAAGTTTATGTCTGGAATATCTAGATGTATTATTTTTCTGGAAATTCCAAGCGGTTTCACTTCAACTAACTGGTATTGAAGGGTTTGCTTTTGTAAAAACTTGATATAGTTACTTATTAGGAGAGGTATTACCTTTAAAAGGTATTGGGTATGGCATGCACGTTCGTCACTGTTAGGATGATTTTTTTAAGATTTTAAGAAGTATATCTTTTGGATAAAAGTAATTTATTTATTTATAAAATTTATATAGCTAGTTAAATCCTCTATCAACACTGATTAATAAAATAAACTAAACTGAATCACAGACTTACACGGTTGGAGTGGTACGACTAGCACGAAAATACTTATACTTATTTTATTTATTTAAATTAGTGTTTTTTTTATATTGTGGGAGAGCGTGGGCGGGCGAAACCTTGTCCGTTCACGCTCGAATAGTTACTGCATGGAGTGCCTGGCCGTCGGCCCTACCTGGCCTCTACCTGTATCGCTCAGATAGGCCGGCGCGGTCAACTGGCGAGCGGCTTAAAATGTGTCACTTGCAGCTGATAGCCACTGAGCTCTTAAGCGCCTCCGCCCGGGCAGCCGCGATAGCCGGAACGTGCTCCGCATAAGCAGCCCAACGCCCGCCATCCGCCGGTTAGTATCCCAAAACTATGGCCCTGCGGACATTGATGAAATCGTTTGTACATTTTGGCCATCTAGAGGGGGGGTTATGTATGTCACAGCTATCCCTACAAACAATCTGTAGAAGCACTTACTTTTGTGGCTAAAAATAATCGACAAGTTTACAGGCTCGCGGGCTTAAACATTTCCCTTTAATGCCAATTGTAATTCAATTTAACTTGACATTGGCCCGTCGGCCTTGGGGGGCTTAGGTACGTGATGTGCTCTACAATAAAATGTGATCCATCGATATATAGACACTATTCGAGGCAGAAATATGGCCAATGTTTCCGGCTAAAGATCATTATTTGGGTACAAAGAACTGACATGCACGTGACATGCGTGGCCTACGCAATTAATTCAAACCATTTAACATGCAACTCACACTCGAGTGCTTCAAAGTACAAATTCGTTAAATGCACTCATAGATGCACTCTCGTCTGGCGAAACTGGGCTACAAAATATTCTAGGTCAGGTGCCTTAATTGGCCTCTCCAGTTCCAGTTGCCAGACAACAAGGATTCATATTTCGGATGTGTTACTAAGCCAACCAAGCCAGGGCTATAGTAAAGCTTCCTCTTTAAGAGATATGAAATTTTGGGGATGATAAGGCAAATCAATGAGTTACTGGTACGGAACAGGTCTACCTACCTATATGAGGCACTCGAAAAGAACTCTTTCAGATAATCTGAATGAGTCCTATGATTTATAGATTGAAAATGTAAGGCACGATTTATTAGCCAATAATTAAAGTAATTTCCGATAATGCAAATCATCGAATATCATCGAATACAAGCTGAGGTGTTCCCAAAAACGGAATCTTTGGAGTAATTCCTAGCAAAATGGCTTTAGAAAGGCAGTCAAATAATTATTTAATAGCCAACATTGCAGTTGACCCAAAAAACGAAACAAAAAACAAAGAAAAAGAATCATTTGTTCGCCCAGTCGACGATTAACCCGCTTTTTTCCAGGCCCCCGGGAACGGAACAGTTGCGAAAAAAAAGGGCAGCCAGAAGAAAGGCGAAAGTAAGTGGCGGAATGGTAGGTGGGTGGGTCGGCAGGTCCAACCTACATAGCTGAAAAACAATAAAAATATATATGCATGATATTGCATGGATGTGTCAGCTATATATAGGCAAGCATATTACCCTAAAGTGGCACAGATGGATAAACAAATCAAATTTCAATATAAAATCTTTGATAGAATCTAGACACTCATGTCAAGGTCGTCTATGCAGGCCATAAATTGTACGAAAAAAAAATGCTAGTTAAGATTATAATAATGGTACCAAAGTGGGAGGAGTGGGTGGACCTTATCTGGACATTGCCTAACCTAGTTTAGTTGCACGTCGTAAATTAAAGCAGCTTTATGGTTGCTGCTGCAAACATAACCCAGTTCTTTATTTTTTTTTTTTTGGTTTATTTTCCATTAAAGTCACTATGTTTACCCACAAATCTAATGGACCATCCAGCCAGCCAGTCAGTCAGTCTGTTTCAAATATTAAACGTAATTAAATATTCACCAAATGAACTGAATAAACAGGGAATTAAATATATAAATCAGGGCACAACTGCTGCTGCTGTTCTGTTCTGGTGAGCTTTAATTTATTTGCCACAAAATTGTATTAGCAAATATTGATTTTTCCCCTCTCCTCCGTTTCAATCAATTTCAGTAAATTGGCGTTGATGAACTGGTGAAGAGAAAGAGTTGGAAATGTCACTTGGGTGGGTAGTGGGACGTGACCTTTAAATCGAATTATTTCAGCCACAGCGGGCAGGCATTTAATGTGATTTCATTAGCTCGAATATGTATGGAAATGGAGGTAAATCATACTTTGAGAATAAGTTATAACAGGAGAGGCAAAATCCCACATCGAACAACAATCCCAGTGAGTCAGAAAGAATTTCAGATAAAAAGACATGCAGCAACTAGCGATGATTAAGCCCGAGCCCATCGCATGGCCGTATGATAATGACTTGAGGTTGTAAAGAACCGGTTTCCTTTGGGCCGGGAAGCCCGGGAAGAGGCCATAAATCAAGTATAACGAGTCCTAGACACAGGCACCAAAAAGGAAGCGGCCGTCACATCAATTGCTGAAGTTCAGATATAATCCAGGCAGAGAACTGCTACCTGACCACGCCCACCCGCCCAGTTCGGTGACCCAGGTGCAGGTCACTGCGTTAAGAACAGGTATTGTCTTGAGGTAGAAAGCCAATTCAATTCATTTAATTGACAATTTTATTAATTGTACTTCTAAAAGATAGTTTTTAATTAAGAAAAAGGGTGCTGCCAGGATAGTAACTCACTTTAGTTTCGATTTTCAGAATCGTAGGTGCTGATGATCGCTGGCAGGTGCGCGACTCCTGCGGAAGTTGCTAAAAAAAAAAGAATGATTTATTAATTGATGAGACACTCGTTCTGTTCTCCAATTTAGGCCACGCAGTAACAACAATTATCGGCTTTAATTTAAAAGATTTTTTTTTTAACTTTTAAAAGACAAGTACTCTCGAAAGGAGTAAAAATCTTTATCAGTGTACTTGTATGTTGACAAAAATAAGTAATGCCTTTGCTGATTGCACTTTCTAGTTCCTGTTAACCGATATCCGATGCACTGGCGAATGGGGCAAATGGGCGGGGCGCGGTGGGGCGGGAGGAATTGTGGCTCTTGTTGCGATAAAAGCGGAGAAAAGTCTTTGTTTTCTATTCTTCCAACTGCACAAGGCTACACAAACGAATCGCATAAGACAGGGAGAGAATGCCTAGTAATCTGCGAATCGGCTGGGATGGGAAACTGTTCCAAGCTAAATTCCTGCGCTTCCTCCGCCCAGGGGGTGGCTCCGACACACAAGTGTATGTGTGTATGCAAGTTAATTGTGCAGAGTCACAAACTGTAAGGCTGGGGGAGTGGCGGGGTATTAAATGATATGCACGTGCAGTAGTCGCGATTAAGGGATTCGTCACCCGTCAACGAACTTTACCGACTAGCAGCTTTTTGATTTTCAGCACACGGCGTGGAGCGCAAAAACTTTGAAACAGTGGACGAGCTCGCGACTTATAAATTATTTTCCATGAACGGTGTGGGTGCTAGATAGGGTTGGAGAAACACCGATTAGTGGTATCGATAACTTTATAGTTTTCACTTGTCTGTGGCTTTCTTGGTCACACTAATACTTATTTAAGCTTTCACTCTTCCTTTCTTATTTTGAAAATATAGCTAATCATAAGAAAATAAGTCTAAAAACTATATAAATTTGTTTGGAAAACAATTTTCTTTTTGGCCATGTAGTATTTTACAAGTCCATCTCTAACTTGTTATCGAGGCTCATGTGTTAGTTCATTCCCACCGCTAACGATCCTCATTTTAGGCTATAAAAAGGTGATTTCCGGTAATAATGGTTTAATCGATGTCCAGGACAGTCCAGAACAGTTGCACAACAAGAGAGCTGAAATAACTAAAATTTCTAATAAAAAAAAATGGCAGAGGCTAATAACAATAACGGCAACCAGCGCACGGCTCGCGAAGTGCAGCAAGAATTTGCTGACAAGCTCGGTTACGCGGAGCAAATAATATGGGACTTGTGAGTATTGCGCATTTAAAAATTTTTGATAAATCCGAGTGATGATGTCATCCTTAGGCTGTCGGAGGAGCAAGCTCATTTGCTGGAGGACAAGCTTAATCAATTAATACGCGATCCTCAGCCTCCTTCCAATAACGAGTTGAGAGAACGAGCGGTAACTCCGGAACTTCTTATCAAGGAAGAGAAGGCACGAACCAAGCTAACCAATGACAACAGAAAAGCTCGGGACGCAATTTTTAAAGCAGTATGGGAGCAACGTAAGCAAATTTTGAACTACTATTTGTGTTTATGTTGCATTTTTGTATTTTTTTATTATCAGGAAAGTACACAAACCGGCAATCGCTGACGGCCATTATCTATGTGATGGTCGTTGCCGACGAAAAGGACGTCAATCGTGCTGAGGACTGTACTAAGTTCTCTTGTCATCCTGTATTCCGGGCCCGCCGTTGCATAAGTGAGTCCTAGTACATTTTTGGGAGTTATCTATAGAAGATTATTATTTTTATAATCACTTAATACCATTTTAGCTGACAGTAGTGGACGAAGCAGTGACAGTTCCGACTGCTGCAATATTTTTGTGGATGAGAACGGACGCGTGTACCAGAACTGGGACCAGTATGTGGCCACTAATGAGTTGCCCGCAGGCATAATGGTGGCACCTGAACGGGGAATCTACCGGCTCGTAAATGATCATGTGCGGTTGGACAAGTATGTGACTCCGGCGGGTAGCGACAGTAGGAAAGTACTTGGCTTCCTGGACGTGGGCTCGGCAGTTGGAGGATTTGCAGCTGCCGGTGTTTCGATCGCAGCATTATGTACTCTACCAGTGTCCGGTCCGTTGTTGGCAGGTGCCGGTGTTGTGGGCTTGGCCAGTGCCGGGTATGGTACGGCCCGATCTGCTGGAAAGCTGGTGGATCGCAGCCAGCATGAACAGTCGATTAACGTAACCGACCGTGAGGCGCGAAGCCACTGGCTGGGCACTATTGCCGGAGTTATAGGATTGGGAGCTGCCGGCGCCACACAAGCCGTTACTGTGGCCACTAATGCTGGACGTGAAGTGGGGGCGGTACGTAAACAATTACCCCAACCCATATCAATTGCAAACTTATCTTGACTTTGGAAAATTTCAGATAACCCAGCTGACGGTGAATGGCATGAACATTACCTCTATTGCCATTTCCGGGACTGGCTTGGCCAATGGAATTCTTGATATGATATTGGTAAGCTTTTGGAGTGAATCTATCGATACACCGAGAGATCTTAAAGCTCTGACTCTATTCTTCTGAACCACAGAAAGTCCAGGATGGGGATGACATCACCGCTATTGATGTGCTGCAGCTGTCTGCATCCCTTGTGCTGTTCACTCACAGTGTCTACAACTTCAAGCTGGCCTCGACCATCATTAATGATACGGCCAATAAGACCTTGACAGGCTATAGGGAAACCCTGAGCAATCGCCAAAGGTAAGCTACTTTGGGATCGAAAACCTCAAACGACTAAACTATTTATTTTTCTAGGCGCTCGTTCGACAAGGCCTATAAAGAAACCATTCGTATAAGTGGCAATAGGGCCAAGCTGGACATTATACGCAACGTAAACGAGATTCCATCGAAGCAGCAGTTCAATGATCTGTACAAGATCAATAAACAGCTCAACAAGGAGGGAGTGCGATACTCTTTCGGATCCGATGGCAAGACCATCCTATTGAATGGAGAAGTTCAAACGACAACTGCGGATCTGCGTGCCAGTGTGCAGCACAACCAAGGACCTAACATTTTGAAATCAGTGACCCAGCCTATTCCCGCAAGTCATTCGAATTCAGTTAACGTTGGATCGACTGGTGGCTCGCGTATTTTGGGCCCCCAACCCGGTTACCAGTCGCGTCAGGAACCGAAAAATTACGCCGTAGGAGTGTTTGCATTGGAACTTAGCTCCGTGGTCATTGGAGGAATTGTGTTTACGCTGGAAAATTATGGACGTGTCATCTTTGAGCACATAGCCAGTGCCGAGGCCTTTGAAAACATAATTGAAGGCATGTGCAAGAATTTGCCACCAGAAATCTTTGACTTTATTATGAAACTAACGCGCACCTTCATAGACACCATGCTAGATGACCTGACCACGGTCCTCAAGTTCTTTATAACCACGGAATCGGTGCTGTACCGCATGTTGATGTATGTGCTGCACAACTTTAGAGACTTGCCTCTTGAAGTCCTAGAACAGCACACTGGGGACATTTTAAATGCGTTGAAGCGCTACTACTTGTCCCTCAATCCGAACAACTACACTGGTCTGCTTCAGAAGTGCAAGGTCTGCAAGGGTTACTTTCAAATCAGTCCATTGTAATTTTAACTTAACGATGCATTTAGAATGATACAAAGTGCCTTATTAGGAGACTCAAAAGCAAAATGATTACAAATTTTACTAAATATACACAAGAGCAAGCATTGACACAAATTATTGTGATATAAAAAATAAAAACAGGAGCACAAAGCGTTATGACAACACAAAAGTATTTAATAAAAAGATATTATTTAAGAATGGTATTTGTTGTTTTCTAATCTAGTACCCTAAAAAAATCTGTGTTTTATTGCATAAATAAAATCATGTCTACAATTTCTAAAAGATGTATTTAGTGGATGTGGAAAAACTAGGTATTTCCTTTCTTCCTTTAACTGAAAATTATATCAGGGGTTCACGAGTTTATAAAAACTAGTCTAATAAATGAATAATACTTCAGCTCTTAAATTCTTTGAAAAAGTACCTGCTAAGGTTAATCAATTCATTTCTTATCAATGTCTGAGCCAATACAATATTTATTATTCCGATAACTGATTATTTCAGATAGTAGAACAAACTAATTTTAGGTGGGATTATCTATTAGTGCGGTTATCTTACCACAGAACCTTTCCATTTTGGGCAAAAATTTATTAAGAAAAAATAAGTAAAACAAATAAATGAATAATTTCTGCATTTAGTTTACTCGCTTGTCGTTCTCTGTTACAATAATTAAAATAATAATAAAACTTAAGAATAATTTAGTTTCCTCTTGCGTGGCTGCTGAAATTCGTTTCCTACGGATCACTTGGAAGCTGGAACTCAATGTTTTTGTTTTTTTTTAATTTATCTCGTTTTTGTTTTCCTTTTTTTTTATGTTTATTTCACGAAGACAACACAGACATAATAAGATCCAAAATATATATAAGGTTGTCAAATATCTCCCTTCCGCCTTTTTGTCTTTTGAATTTCGCGGCTATGTACAAAGCGCTACAGAGCTCGTATCTGGCAACACTATACATAATTTAAAAGGTCTTGACATAACCTACAAAACGACGCTATGCATGATTAGTTTGGATATTGCGTTCACCAGTTATAGACGTGTAAACATGGAGTTCACTAACGCCGAAATTCGCGCTATTTTAAAGTTTTCCTTCGTTAAAGGCAAATCCGCTAGAGAAACGTTCCGTGAGATTAATGGGGTTTTGGGGGATGGTACTCTATCACTTCGAACCGCGGAGGAATGGTTTCGACGATTCAGAGCCGGTGAAAACGACACCATGGATAAGCCAGCCGGCGGAAGACCTGTGACGACAAATACCGATCAAATCATGGAATACATCGAGTTAGACCGGCATGTGGCTTCTCGTGACATCGCCCAGGAGATGGGAGTTAGTCACCAAACCATTTTAAACCATCTGCAGAAGGCTGGATACAAAAAAAGCTTGATGTTTGGGTGCCGCATGATTTGACGCAAAAAAACCTTGTGGACCGAATCAACGCCTGCGATATGCTGCGGAAACGGAACGAACTCGACCCATTCTTGAAGCGGATGGTGACTGGCGACGAAAAATGGATCACATACGACAATATCAAACGAAAACGGTCGTGGTCGAAGGCCGGTGAATCGTCCCAAACAGTGGCCAAGCCGGGATTGACGGCCAGGAAGGTTTTGCTGTGTGTTTGGTGGGATTGGAAGGGAATCATCCACTATGAGCTGCTCCCATATGGCCAGACGCTTAATTCTACCATCTACTGCGAACAATTGGACCGCTTGAAGCAGGCGATCGACCAGAAGCGTCCAGAATTGGCCAACAGGAAGGGTGTAGTGTTCCACCAGGACAACGCCAGACCACACACTTCGTTGATGACTCGTCAGAAGCTACGGGAGCTCGGATGGGAGGTTTTATCGCATCCACCATATAGCCCGGACATAGCGCCAAGTGATTACCACCTGTTCCTGTCCATGACGAACGCCCTTGGTGGTGTAAAGTTGAACTCAAAAGAGGCTTGTGAAAAGTGGCTGTCCGAGTTCTTCGCAAATAAGGAGGGGGGCTTCTACGAGGGAGGTATTATGAAGTTGCCGTCTAGATGGAAACGGATTATCGAACAAAACGGCGCATATTTCAACTAAATCGGATCACTGTAACACTTTTTATAAAGCATTGAATAAAGAGCAAAAAAGCGGAAGGGAGATATTTGACAACCTTATATATGTATTTATATATATATATATATGCATGTTATGTATTTATGGTTTGTGTAATTTTGAGTGGATTTGTAGCTTGTTGGTTGCCGAAAAATGGATGCGTGTGAGTGTGATTTTGTGTCATTCGAGGGGTGGAAAGTGGAGGAGATCCTAGGATGTAGGATGTCTCCTGTAGGTTTAAACGCGCGACAATTGCTGAAGCAAATTGCACGGCCAGAACGCCTCGATGCGCTCCTTGAGCAACTGAAACGGATACGAGATCCAGGTAAGTACGGTCTGTGCCAGATGTCCCATCGGTTCCGGATACTGATGCGTGGCTAAAGCCAACAGAGCGGTAATGCTGCACAATCCCGCCGTAAACAGAATGAAAAAGGGCAGCTCCTTTTTTGGGTAAACAGAAACTTCGTGAAATGCCGGCAGCAGTTCCCGATCGGCGCACTCAGTGCACGTTGGATATGGATAGAAGAGATGGCCGCGCTCCAGTGGATACGGTAGCATGCGAAATGTGCCCTCCCAGGTGCAGTGCAGCAGATTCAGGGCACCCTCCACCTGCTTCCAGTGCTTTAAATGGAAGAACGCATAGGCCAGAGCCTCGGAATCGCCGCGCTTGAGAATGTGCTCTGGCGGCAGGATGAGACGCTTCGTCTCTAACAAATACTTGGGCACATGGGGATTAAATTCCACAGCCCGATGAATTGCCTCCACGGCGCTCATCTCTGCCGGACTCAGTCCCCGCTTGGAAGCTATGTCCGGCGAGAACTTATCCGCTACAGCGCGAGCCTTCAAGAGAGCTGCCGTGTAACATATTGTGGCCGACTTGGGCAACGAGATGTCATCGTATTTAGCCAGAATGGCATGGCAATCGGCGTAGGCTTGCATCTCCAACAGCGTCTCGATTAAGTTCTCGTGAATGTTTAGCACGCTCATGATGGACGGGATCTCTTTTGTGAGATCCCTGAACATCTTGGCCGCCTCCTTTAGTTTACCGAGCTTCCTGGCGCACATGGCCAGGCGACGCTTGATGTATATTAGAACATTAGTATCCCGACGATGCATCCCGTCCGCTATGGCTCCCTGGTGTTGGGTGGCTTGGGACTTGCGATAGTTGATCTCGGCCACTTTTAGAGCGGTTTTTAGGATCTTCTCTGCCTCCATGATAGTCATGGCTTCTTCCTCCGCCAACAGGATGTAGGCGGGAGCACACTCTGAATTGATTTCAAGAGCGCTGTTTGCTGATTTTATTCTCTGCATTGGATTCCTTTCCCGCCATGCAGTCTGCATGATCTCGTACTCCTCCTTACGTGCATCCCCCTCACAGGTGAAGAAGGTCTGGTGGTCTTGGGCGCTCAAGTTCATATCGTAGTATGTCAGCGGTTCCTTATTGGTCACCCAGAAAAATCGCTGGTACTCTGCGCCGCGAAACAGATTCAACGGGTTCCTCCAAACCTTACACTCGGGCATTTGGGTTCCAGTGCTAGTTGTCGCTCCTGTCCCTCCGGCTGCACTCCCTCCACCCGCTCCACCGTTGCTGCTACTACTGGAGCCGCTGCTGCTGCTGGATCCACTGCCATTACTGGACTCCGATTGTCCATCGCTGCCGTTAATCCAGGGGCTTATGTGGTTGATAGACACTTGCTCTGCGACAAAAAATTATGTACAACTAGAAGATAATTTAAATCGGAATAAAAAAAAAAGGTAAAGTACCTATGAAAGAGGTGCCGTATTTGCGGAAGTACCACCACTCGAAGATTAAAATCAGTCCGGATATCAAACTAGATGTCCCGGTGAGCGCCACGTAGAACTTTGGCGTCAGGGTGCTGAGAAACATCGACGAGTCCCACATCCTGGGATGTGTATTCGACGCCGTTTCGTTTCCCTCTCCGTTGAATTTTGGTTTTGTTTTCGCTTGGCTTTTGCCGCTCGGTTTCACCTCCTCCCCGGGTCTTGGTTGTTTGGTTTGTGATTTACGGACTTCAATTGAACGGTTGATCAATACCAACTGGCCGTTGTCTTTCCTCGCGCTATATCCTTGTGCTTATCCTTTTTGAGGACTTTTTTCCATCAAGTATTCGCAGGGGGACTCTTTCGATGTGACCAGATGTTGAGCGGAAATGCCATCACCTCTCGCTAGGGATGAGAGTCTAGCTGATGTTTATTTATCAGATGCTGTAGCGCCAATAAGAAATTAGAATAAAGCTTGAAAATAAAGTTTTAACTCTATCAAACTTTACTAAGAATGACCAATCAAAAGTGTTAATTTAAAATAGCTAAAATATTAAACTGTATTATTGCAATTATAATATTCTACTTTAAGAAGCACTGCTATCGATAGCCATTTCACCGAGTCCTGGCCATCACTAAAAAATGGCGCTTTGCTGCAAGTGCATTTTTTCTTAATTTTCTGTAAACTCGAAGATAAATTGGATTGATTGGCTGCCTATTGAATAAGATAAGAAATAAGGTCGATCATGGCACAGGTGACGGAAGCGGACACCCAAGTGGATAAGCCGGAATCCTTACAACCGGTGGAGAACGCCGAGAAACGGGAAACAAACACTGAGGCTAAGAATGGTGAGACCTCTTTGGAAGATGAACTCGCTGCGCTGAATGGAAAAGATGCGCTGGACGATGATGGCCCGGGTATCGATGAGCTGACTTCCCTGGAGCAGGAGATAGCAAAGATGCACAACATTCGCCCAGTGCCTACTTCTTCAAAAAAGGGTGAGGCTGGCTCTGTTAGTGGAGCTGCTGAAAATGGCGGTACCGGCGACGCAGATGAAATTTCACACCAGGCGAGCAAATCCCCGCTTGATGACAAAGGTCAGGATACCTCGGGTAGCGGGCAAACCAGTGAATCTCCTCTGGAGGAGGTGGACCTGATCGCTCTGCTTAAAGGAACGGACACTAGTCATGAGCACGAGAAGGACGGGGATAATGAGAAGAAGCCAAGCGGCGTGGAAAAAACCCTTTCGGAACTGGATAACGTGGACGTTGGCGTTACCATTGAGGGAGAGGGGCAGTACGAGATAATGGAAATAGATGACGATGACTCGATCGCCGCCTCTTCAAATAGCCCAAAGCCATCTGCAACGAAATCTCATTCATCGGTCCGCTCTGTAGCTCCTTCTTCATCCAAACCCAAGCTCTCGGCGGAACAAGCCAGGGCTGTGGCTTTGGAACAAATTGCTGGTCTCAATTCCCAGAAAAGTCGACCCCGAAAGGAGCAGCCTCAGCCTCCGCCGGTAATGAAGGCCAAGGATATAGTTAGTTCTCTAAATGACGATTGGGATGACTATGACTCTGACGACGATGTCGCCACGCCGTCGATTTCAGTGGCCAAGGCAAGTGTGCCAGCCCCACTGGTATCCAAAAAATCGCCATCGCCTGTAAAGAAGCTGTTATCCGATACCACAAAGTCATCAAATCCTGGGTATGTGGCGAACAACAAACCACTTATCAGCAGCGTAAAAGTAATGCTGAAGACCGTGACACAAAAGCAATTGGATCAGAGCCTGAAACCCGTTGTTGTGGAGAAACCCACAGTGTCCGCCGCGCCCAAGACCGTAGTAGAACCTACCACAGGTAATGCCCTTTTTTTAAGAATCCAGAAAGAATTATTAAAACTTCCATTGATCTTGCAGGTTTCAAGCGAATGCGGGTGATTAAGCGCAAAATAATCTGGGACCCGGATGTACCGGAAACAGGGAAGTCCTTTGCGCAATATGCCAGCTCCAAATCAATAAGAACTTCAGTTTCTCCAAAACGAGCACCCACACCTACTCCTGCCCCAGCCCCAGCCCCCGCCCCAAAAACGCTCAAAGTAAGAGTAAAAGCTACTTCCCCTACATTGCCAATCAAAAAGGAGACTGCTGCAAAGAAATCGCGGGCATCAACGCCCAAGGATCTGTCGACAACCACCAAAGCGGCTGCACAACCGAAAGCTTCTGAGGCCGCGCGTCCCTCGTCACCAGCAAAGCGACGTTCCCAAACGCCCAACACCGGTCTGGCAAACGGTGGCGCCCAGAAAAAGAAGAAGGTTAGCGAAATTGATCGACTTATGGGAGACGAGGGGGCGGCCAACATGATCCATGCGGTGGAGCACGAACAGCGAGAGATGAGCGGTGGCGAAGTGCCCAACAAGCCATTGATGCGGAAGCGGGCAATGACGATAACCGGGCGGGTATGTATCCAATGCGAAGTTTTAAAACAAAATATATTAATCTTTATTCATATTCGTAGAACCAAAATGCTGCTCTCACACCGGAACCGAACGTTGCGTCCAAAAAGGAGACAAACAATTCAACAAAGTCCTCCGGCAAACGGGGGTCCGATGCCGTTTTCTCCAAAACCCCATCTACAACGAGCACTTCTGGATCCAAGTCGAGCGCTTCGGATTCCTGGGATTATGTATACAAGCAACGTGCCAGCGAGGAGTCGATGATCATGCGCCGGCGTTCTAATAGCTCGTACTCGAGCAACGCCTCCGTTAGCAGACTTTCGCTCGACAATAAGCCAGGTGGAAGCCAGGCTCTTTCGGATGATGCGGCTGAGAGATCTGACCCATCTTTTAAGTTCCTCAAGCCGACAAACAAGAACCAAAGAGGGGTAGAATCTTCATCCCACACCCTGGCCAACGACCTAAAATCCAACAATGGTCAGTTGGTAACTCTGCAGAAAAGAGACAAGGTCGGTCACCTTACGATCCATACGCAGCGCGGAAAATCCGGATATACGTACAGCAGCCAGCTGTTGGAGAAGCTTAGCGAAACGTTGAACATAGTGGCGCGTAGCAACGAATACAACACGGTGCTGCTTACCGTCCAGGGACAGCAATTTTGCCAAGGCATCGATTGCAATGAGCTGGTGCAGGGTTCGCTAGATAAGCGCAGGAACAGTGCCAGCCAGCTGGCGCAGGCCCTCAAGTAAGTCAAATTCGAAATTCCAATAGCATTAGTTGGCATATTTTGTCTTGCAGAACATATCTCCGCACTCTAGCTACATTTCCCAAGCCCGTGGTGGCGGGTATTGTGGGCAACCTCAAGAACCTGGGCGTGATGCAGTTGCCTCTAGTTGACTACGTGGTGGCCGCCGATGATTGTTGTTTTGAGACCCACTATGCCAAACTGGGGCAACTGCCTGAAGGATATGCCCTTTGGCATGCCAACGAGAAAGTAGCAAGTGATTTGGTAAGCTATTAAATGTTAGATTCTTTTCAAGTTATTTTTTTAACAATATTATTCCATAGCACTCGCGTTTGTTTCTGTTGGGTGAGAAACTGACGACATCGGATATTCTGGGAGCCAAGAGCTTCATCGACAGGACCTGCAAAGCCCGAAGTGTCAACGACGAAGCAATGGGAGTAGCGCAACATATATCCAAAACCTCGGCAGATGTAAGTTACTCACTACCAACCTAGGCAATCTGTTAATTATTATTATTCCTTTCAGACATACCGCACCCTGAAGAAGCTAAACCACTCAGCCAGCAACGCAGCGAAATTTCCGCGTTTGGACGAGGAACTCAAAATTATAGCCGAGCAATGGTCGTCTGCTAATTGTGTGGCGAATTTGAAGCGTTACCTTAGCGACACCGACTTTTAGAGTATAGTCTAAGAAAATTGCAATTATATACCATAGTTTGTACATGGTAGATAAATTCGTTTAAAAAAATGTTACCATTTACTGCTTTGATAATTATTTAAAACTTTTAGGAGTTTTATTCTGAAATTGATCCATTTTAAGTTTATTTTTTTTTTATTTTACCTACAATGAACCTTTGTAATGTTTTGTATTCCATTGTAAAATAGCTATGCAATGTAAATTATACATAATTTGGAAAATAATTATCTTTCGAATTCTGTTATATTTTCAATTGGAAATACACAAAAACGTTTTTGTAGTTGTAATCCGTTTTTTCAAGGGGGTCCTCTGGAAAAATTCACAAAAAATGGATCGGAAAATCGTATATAGGATTTTGATGCAGATTTATGGAGAATCTATCCACAAGTCTTTTAAGGTACTCCGCTTGAGAATAGCTTGAAAATTGACTGAGATATGGCCTTCGCAGTAGGTCACTTTTTCGGTTCCCACGCTTTTTCCAACTTTTCAAGGGGGTTCTCTGGAAAAATTTACAAAAAATGAATCGGAAAATCGTATATCAGATTTTAATGCAGATTTGAGGAGAATCTATCCACAAATCTTTTAAGGCACTCCGCTTGAGAATAGCTTGAAAATTGACTGAGATATGGACTTCGCAGTAGGTCACTTTTTCGGTTCCAAGCTTTTTCCAATTTTTCGATGGGGTCCCCTGGAAAAATTCACAAAAAATGGATCGGAAAATCGTATGTCAGATTTTGATGCAGATTTATGGAGAATCTATCCACAAGTCTTTTAAGGCACTCCGCTTGAGAATAGCTTGAAAATTGACTGAGATATGGACTTCGCAGTAGGTCACTTTTTCGGTTCCAAGTTTTTTCCAATTTTTCAAGGGAAAAAGAATATCTTTTGTTTTCAAGAATACTTTTTTTTTTGTGTAGCTAAAATAATAATTCCAAAATTAGGATGTAAACTAAAAAGAAAAGTATCTTTCAAGACCCAGACATACTAGCATATAAAATATAATGTTACAATACATCTGTTCTATCAGTTTATTATGGGAGGCTAGAAAAGGTTCTATTAATGTACAATGCAATGAATGTTACTAGTTTAACTGGGTTTTACGCTTGGCTAAATGCACGTTAACCTGATCCGGATGGGATGGCGGTCATCTCTTTAGTTGTGCATCACGTTCTCATAGAACACGGGCAACTCCGATTGGAGGCGAAGCAACCGTACATAGGTGAGCAGCTTCCACTCACTGAGCGGCTTCTCCTCTGGATGCACGAAGGTGGACGTGTACGTGACCAGCTCCTGGGAACCATCCTGATCCAGATCGGCAATAAGGGTTGAGTACTCTTGGTTATTGAGGTCCGGCTGGCAAACCACTTCGTTGCGATCATTCCGGCAAAACTGAACGATGTTGCTCTGCGAGGTGTTCTCGATTCGGGTATCGGCCCCAACGAAGATAACCAGCATTACAGTCTCCGTGATCATCTGCATTTTGTAGCTGCCTCCGGTGATTCCAGATATTCCATTAGATTTCGTTTGGTTTTTAGAAGGAACCGCGAAGGTTTCCCTCTTCTGCACTAAATGCCCAAAGACATCGAATTCTTGGTGGGATGGTGGGAATCGGTGCTCCTCAGCCTCGTTGCTCCTCTTCAGCCTCTGTTGCTGTTGCTTCTTTTTCTCCTGCAGCTTCTCCCTATCCTTGATGGCATTCATGTTCTTTGTGTGATTGCTGCTGCCACTCTTTTGGACATTATTGCTGGAGGAGCTGGGTTTCGATGGCTTCACCAGACCATGCCACTTCCAGAATTTCATCACAAAGCCAGACATCTGGTTTTTCGAGTTCTTGAAATGCCACTGGGCCGGAACCATTCCGTACATTCCGCTTTCGCTGAAGCTACGGAACACACTGGGTTTCCCATTGCGAACTTCGCTAAGGACAAAGGTCACGTTGCAATCCTCCGGACATCGACCTCGGTTCTCGACCACCAGCTCCCGTCCGCTGAGGGAATAGATGTTCTTCTGTGAGTCCACTTCGCGCCGCTGCCCATGATTGCGGTGTTGGGAAATTTTCGAGGACGGTAGAAGCCTCTGGCCCACAATAGATTTGTTGGTAATGAGAGCGAACAACTCCGCCAGACTCTTGGACCGCGGCTGCTCCGTTCCGTTGGACTTTTGGCATGAGAAACTAACATTGCCACCCTCCACGTTATTTAATAGTTTAACGTTAATTAATCTCTGGCAATCGTGGATGCGGAAACCTTCGCCAATGGGGCTGCCCTTACGGCCGGATAGCAAACGTAACACATTCCGTGCCTCCAGTTGGGAAGGCGGCTCGTGCTTCTGCTGTGCCAGCGACTTGGTTCGCTGCTCCAGCGACAAACTGGTCACCAGAAGTAAGTCTAGCACTCCATCGTTGTCCAGATCCGGAAGAATAATGGGAAAATCAAAGGCATCCACTTTGCGAGCTGATCTCTCCTTGAACCACCAGAGCCACTGACCGGAGACTGGGTTAATGGCACCCAGTTCACCATATTCATCCAGCACCAGGCAATCCGATTTTCCATTGCCATCAACATCAATCAGGGTGCAGTCCAAAGCCACCGGTTCGTCCACCATCTCCACAAACCAGGCCACAGCTCCAGAGCTGCCTATCAAGCAAATGATTCCATTGCGACGCTCGTTTCCTGGCCGAAATTCCGGAAAGAAGGCATCACCGCGATACATAAAAATCAGGTTGTTCTCCCAGATACGCAATCCACCTACTACATTGACTCCTCCTTTGAGCTCCGCCCGGGTGTAGTTGTTTAACCAGTTGTGGGTCTTGATTCGATCCCCGACAGCTGGACAGGCGCCAGTTCCATCGGCATTTCCGCATGGCACAAGCCATACAAAAGAGACTACGGCAAAGACACAAAGAAGCAGGCTCCCAATAAAGCAGCATCGCCTTACCGGGGACATGGGGGTCCGCTTGGACTCCTCTAGTCCCTGAGAGCCGCCTAGTATGGCTACATTGTCGGCGTTGGAATCGAATTCGCTATTAAAATTGGACAATTCGGATCCAACCCCACCATTATCGCTTAGCATGACGGACCGAAAAGTATTCTGCATGTTGGTGGCGTAGCTACTGCCCTCCAGTTGAAATTTCTGTGGGTTTCTGCTTGGAAAGGTTCCGTTTGCTGAAGTCCTGGGGACTATCCTTGTGGTCGTTGCGGCCCGTGTATGTGGTGACTTCAAAGGTAAACTGTTTGGCGGAATGCGGCTTCTTTGGGCTTGCAGCTGGAGAGGATTTGTCGACGGCTGGTGATGCAGGCTTTCTAGTTTGCGGCTGTATTTGCTGGCGTTGTGTATCTCGATCTCTTCGTCGGATTCGGAGTCGCTCATCGCCTGTCTTAACGGTGCATAGATGCCACCCGGGTGGCCGTTATTTTGCAACGCTTCCGTGTGCAGCATTTTAGCTGAAAAATCAATAAAATTCCGTTGGAGCACCCGCAGTGAAACCAATGAAAAAAAATGTTAACTTACCTCCGGTAGATAACAAACACACTCAATGGCCGCTGGCATCCACATAGCTACTGCTTTTGATCTTTATTGGATTAGGCGAAGCATTAATTTACGAAAAAAAAACACCCTTCGATTTGAAAGCTTTTTTTAAATTCAAATGACACTTTCGCAGGGGATGGCACTTATGCGATACTGAATAGTGTTGGTCAACGGGAGTGGCTGATCGATATATGTATATCGATAGATGCATTTGCCCATCGCTAAGAAAAACAACAACAACAACGTCTGTGGTTTACGTGCGTGAAAATTAGTTAAGTTTTGCTAAAAAACCACATTTAACGCTGTTCTAAGTACTCCATATGCTGCAGGGCAGACTAGGGAAAGCGGCGACCATCAGGAGGACGGGATTCATTGGTCGAAAGTAGCCGTAAAGCGTGAAATAGCGAAAGTGAAAACGGGTCAGTGCTGCGAGGAAAAGTGAACAAAACCCACTATACGCCACAGAACGGGTGCCAAAATTGCGATAAACGAGAAAAACATATTAGAAATCTAGCCCAACCAGTTACTAAACAAAATCCACACCATTTAACTTAGTTTAGGGCGATTTCCTTCGAAAAACAAGGTGGCCAAATCAAACAAACTGAACCAAACACCCACACACTTTCTCGGACAAATTGTGTATATTGCGTTGCGAGGAGGGGAGAGCTCGGTGGGTCAGCGCAAGGAAAGCGAGGAAAAGCCACCAAACACATGTCCTACATGATGGCCAAGACGCTGGAGGAGCAGAGTCTGCGGGAGTGCGAACACTATATCCAGACGCACGGTATCCAGCGTGTCCTGAAGGACTGCATCGTCCAGCTATGTGTTCGCCGCCCCGAGAATCCAGTGCAGTTCCTGCGCCAGTACTTCCAGAAGCTAGAGCGGGTAAGTCTAAGCATGAGGTAGTTTTATTTTAATTCTAGTTTTTTTTTTCGAATTTTTAAGCCTTTAAAAAGCCTTTGTATGGATGAGATTACCATCGAAGGAGCAGTCTATGAAAGGAGAAATCATTGAAACACAGTTTTTGGTCAGACAGATTTTTTTTAATCATTTTTGAAGGGGTAGCTGGTCCTAATTGTAAGCCGGAATATAAAAATGGATAAATTATGAAAGTTCCCTTTCCCTGAAGCTTTGAATCTATTCTTGGGATTGGTTTCTTTTGAAGGATGGCGCTGCTCTTCCCATCCAGTTCACTGAAGGCCGCATCTTGATTTCCCAGCAGCTTTCCGAAATTCCTAATTTTGATTTAACTTTTGGAATCTGTCTGATTTTTTAGATTTTTTTTTTTAGACCGAAATATGTTTGGGGGGACGTGAGGCTGTCGATCTACCGATCAGCATGGTCTTGGGCAAGCTGGCTTCGGCTTTTGGCACTTGGGTTTGGGCTTGGGGCACCTGGGCTTCCGCTTGGGACACGCCGGGGCCCTACGGCAAGCGTTCTTGCGTTTGGGCTTTCGGCACTTGGGTTTCGGCTTGGCGCACCTGGGTTTCGGCTTGGCGCACTTGGGCTTCCTGGCGCAAACCTTCTTCTTCTGCTTGGGTTTGCACATCCTAGGCTTCTTCTTCTTCATGCAGCACTCTCCATCGTCAACGCTGCCGATGGAGACGTCCTTGCTGCTGGCTGGCCCAGACTCGATGTCGATACCAGCAAAGGAGAATGCTGCCCCATGATTGTCCGATGACTTGGCGTTAAGAGCATTCGGAACTCCGCTCTGTCGGAGGAAAGCACTCATTCCAGGTTGGATTTGGAAATCCAGAAATTGTAACTTACCCTAAAGAAGTTCTTAGGAGGTTCACTATGCCTGGTAGCTATACCAATCCAGTGTTTCTTCGCCGCCGCGGTTACCTGATCGCGTTGGTAGTAGTTGCCATAGCGCTCCCTGAACTCCATCAGGAAGCGCGTGTAAGGCGTTTCTTCGGAACGCGACCGGAAACGATCCTGCGCGGCCTGGGACTGCCGGCCGTGCGACCCTCTCGACGACCCTGCCGCCTGAGAATCTCGACGAGACCTAGAACCAAACATGGTCCCTTGATCCTTATAGCCTCTGGCTTCTCTCATCGACTTGGAATTCTGCGGCTGGGATGGGGTCCTCTTCTGGGATGTGCCCCTCTTCTTGGTGGAAGGGGACCTCTTTTGGCGGCTGCACGGCTCAACACAGCTGTCATGGTCACTCGACAGGTCACTTGATGAATAGTTGCTCATGTTGACTTTTATTATTTTTTTTTCACTATTTAATAACCGAAAGTTAAATTTCTAATTCACTTGAAAATTTCTTTAGAAAATTACAAAAAAAAAATATTTAAATTTACTGAAAAATATATAAAAATCACTTGTAAGATTTGAATTATATATTTTTTTTTGGCTAGTACGTGTGTTCGGGACGACGATTTGCTTTGGAATGATTCTGTTAGGGCCTGGTCGGGACCTGCTCGACTTTTGGATCAAATATTTCAAAATCATAGACTACTGAGTTTGCTTGGTTTTCGATTGTTGGATAAAACATCACATGTTTCAATAACTACAAGTATAAACCATACATTATATGTATTTTATGAATTTTCGAAGGGAATTCCCTAGAAAAATTGGCAAAAACAACAAATTTGAAAAACAAGAAAGAAAAGCTGACTGAAGTTGATATACCCCTGCAGTTAAGATATGATATATTGCATAATTTTAAAAAAGTTTCAAGCTTTTATCTTAGAAAAAAAATAGAAAAGTTGGGTCATTTCCGATCGTTTAACTATATAGTAGCTATGGGATATAGTCGTCCGATCCCGGCCGTTGCGACTTTTATACTGCATGGAAGGAAAAGAAGGGTGGGTGTTTTCAAGCATTCAAGTATAGATTGTTTCAAGTATGGATAGGTTTAAAATTGTAGACTAGTTTGCCTAGAAAGAGTCAAACGGACAGACAGACGGATAGGCGGATATGCTTATATGTACTCAGGAGGTGATCCTGATCAAGAACATACTCCATTGAAAACTTGTGTCCTATCATAATACCTTCTGCAAGAAAATAATTAAATAATAGAAGCATATGTAGAACAATTATAGAGAACAATGTTTGTTTTTATGGTAGGAGGTGAAAATAACTCAAAGTCTTTGTTTAAACTGGACCTGTTAACCTGGACCACCTTTTATTTTGTTAAAGGTCCACATTTCTCGACAAAACTACCTTATAGTTATAGTTATTGGTTATCTGTTATAGCCCGTTAACAACTTTGAAATAAAATGTTAACAAAGTGTAGTAGCTATATTAATAAGTCAGGATGACATTAAAAACTTCAATTGGCGAAAATAATTGGCAAAAATATTGTTTTACTAACTATAAAAAATTTAATAAATTTATTTCGTGCTAAGGAAGTTATTTCCTTAAATCCAAAATCCAAAAAGCCTACTGATTTCAATGAAAAAAATAATTCTTCCAAAGGAAAATGTTTAAGGAAAAATCATAGAAGCAGAAAAATAAAGATTTCAACTTTGGATGATTATTCCGAAGATATGGTAACTGCTAGATACCACTTTTTAATTCCAGTTGGTACACATACATTTCAAAAATAATATTTAATAAAAACAATGATGGTTAACGCAATTACACGGCCTATACATGGTAATTAAAAATATGGCAAAATTTTAACAATTTCTTCTCTTGTCCAAAACGAAGGTGTACTGCAGAAACTGTGGGTGATGGAACTTGGACCTTGTTGTGCTCTTTGGTTCAGTGGAGCCTAAAGGTAATGGAGCAGTTCGAATTATGCGTGGAGAATAACAAAAAATTGGAAATTGACATCCTCTATTACTTGCCTTATAGCAAGAAAGTGAACAACTTTCAGATCTTTGAAATAAGTAGGCTTGGTTATATTTACAACTGATTGTAGGGCGGAGATACTTTATACAGATTCAGTATTCCAACGGCATTCATATGCTAAACATCTATATTTGTCGAAATAGTTTTCAAAAAATTTTTCCAACCGGAATTTATACTCAAATTTGATAAATTTCACAACAATAATTGAAATTTCTGTTAGCGACCATGCCGCCTAAAGCCAAAAAGATGGACGACCGTCCAGCTAATCCCGTTTTCATCACAACTTGTCCTGAGTACAATTTTTTGCGGGAATATCGCCAGGCGTGCAAGCAGAAGGACAGCGATCCGTTGACCATCCTAAGAGAGGCCTCGAACGCCTGGAACGCTCTCTCGGACGACGAGAGGAACATGTTTGAGGAGGATCGCTATCTGCGTGTCACCTTCGATCGCTCCAGCCTGGATGCCATGGGACTAGCCGTCGATGTGGTGGCCGCCGAGCAGATGCTCGTGCACCGCACAGCCAGTGAGCCATCCAGTGTCAGCCAGAGTACGCCAAGACGCCGGGCAGCTAGAGGTGGAATGAGGGCTCCCTCTTTGAAGATGCCCCCTTCTACACCAAGAAGGGGTCGTAAACGTCCTGCAAGCAGCCCGGGCACACCGCGTCGTTCCAAACGGCGCCGAGAGCAATGACTTCATCGTAGTTTCAAATTTTTGTTGCAGTTACATTAATGGGGATTCCAAATAATAATATAACCCCCTTTGACTTCGGCCAATAAATAGCCACAAGCTAAAAATCAATATAGCCTCAGAGGTCTATTTTTAAGTGGAGTTCTAAAAATAAATACAAAAGTATCCATGGGGGGAACTCTACTGGGAGAGCTGTGAAGTTGACATGGCTGTCGCTGAGGCAATTAATTGCATCCTGCATCCTGTCCAGGAAGTGCAACTACGCCGAAGGAAACCAGGCTGCAGCCAAAGCTTGCAACGCTGCAATGCTACTGTAACAGAGAGCACCTGTGGAGGCAGTGCCCACCCACTCACCCATTCCACTGCCCCCGTCGGGCTTCTCTCGGGCGTGTGTGATGGCAGGACCTGCTGCCTGTTGAATGCTGGACCCTCCAGTCAGTCGGATTAGCAGACTGGCGCCGTGCAGAAGCGTCCTTCTGCCACAGATATTATTTTGTTGTGCCGCTGTCCGGTGTTTATTTTTTTTGTGAAATGGGCAACCAGTTGAGCGTGAACAGCATCCAGGATGCGGTCATCGATCGCTTCCGCTCCGTGGCACTGACAACCGATGCCAATGGAGCGATGCGCATCCGTTCCTTCTCGGAGGGTGGCGTCTCCACAGCCACCCACCACCATCATCTGCCTGGCCACCAGCATCATCATAACGAACAGCACCCGCAGTACAGTGGGCGTGGCGGTCGCCTCCTACGCGAAAGCAGCATCGACGGCGGAGTGGCCGTCTTTGATGCCCTGCTCCGGGACGATCACGAGCACCGTCTCAGCCTGGATGCAGTGCATCGGATGCGGCACGTTCGCACTTCCTGCACCACGATACCCGAGGAGGATGCCGTCAGCGATCGCAGCCTGCAAATGCATCTGACATCAATTGCTCGGGAGCATCAAGTAAGTGGCAGTGTGGGTTATGGTCTGCCAGAGCTTTCGTCTTTTGGGGGCCTAGTACTAGGGAGTAAGGGAGTGTGCGCGTGGGAAAAGCTTTGATTTCCCAACGTTTGGGGGAGGGTTTGGAGCTGCAAATGACGGCGTCGTTGGTTGTGTGGCAGAAATAAATGAAAACAAGTTGGTTTTGGTTAAGGATTATAGACTACTAGCAGTACCCTGCCACGTTTCGCTGTGGCATATTGTTGTTGCACGCATAAAAAATAAGTCAAAGAAAAAAGAATAATTTTCAAATTAATTAAATTCTGTAATACTTGTGGGTATACAATATTCTTTGTTTCTCCTCCTTAATCATTCATTATTATTTCTGTATTTTAGTATATAGGTTGCTCTTCACTCAAGCACCTTGTGATACACGACATTTTTTTTTTTATTATCAGGCGCAAAAACAAACAACGCAGATGGTTTTCCGACCCGTGAACATGCCACGTATAATTGACCATGGGAAAAACATGAATGTTCTAGATTTAAACCACAAACTTTTAAGGATTGGGCTTGTGATTTGTTGATTGTCATGGCAAATGCAAGACGTATCGGAAATTGAAGTCTTTTAAATTCAAACGGCATATCGGTTGGGATCATCGGGATCCTCGGAATTAGAACTTCCTCACCTTTGAATTTTCCTATCATTATCGTAGCGTAAATTACATTGTTCATCAATTTACTAACCACCAAACGCGTACCGTTGCACAGTTTTGGTTGGTTTATGTTTCGAAGCATGATTACTACGGAGCCAACCTTTAGGCGTAAATTGTGCGGTGGTAAGCCAGGCACGTCCAAAGAGTTTAAAAATTCAATTGGATAGTTGGTGGCTTCATCTTCATTTGTGACGCAGTCAATAGATTTGAATGAATGCATTGTTCCAATGATCTTATTTTGAATTATGTAGTTCAGGTCATCTACATCTTTATTCTTAGCCGCTAAAATTGCTCGCTCACTCAACCATTCATTATTTTTGTAGTTAGAAATAATATTTGGAAATACATTGTTGATAAGTTCGTCTTTTGATGAGACAAAATTACAAAAATTATTTGGAAATGATATTAATCCGCTCGATTCATCGACAGGTACTTGACCATTACCGATAGTCAGAAATTGCTCCGAGAAATCTTCAGCAGATGTATCATTAAGCAATGTAACTCTCATGTTTGTTATCAGCTGCAGTTTCTTCACATAGCGCCATAGATTTGACGATTTGAGGCAAGCGTTTATTTCGTCGGCAGCCGCAGATCTTGGAATTACTGGCAACTTCACTTTATCATTAACGCAGCATAATCCAGGCGTTTCTCCGGAAAACTTTAATGCACCACAATACTCGCAAACAACGTCCATTTGCCCAATGCAAACGCTAGGATGCAAGCTGTAATCATTGCTGCAATCGTATCGAAACGCAGCTCGATTCAAATCAGCTAAAATTTTTCGTCGCAAATTAAAATCTATTTGAGAAGCACGAAGTCGAGCCTTACTATTGCGGCTCTGTTCACGTGCAATTTTTCGTTCTTCTTCAGTCCTTTCATATGCAGTATTTTGTATTCTTCTTGCATTACGGCTTTGTCGGGAAAGATTCGATCGTCTTGGTCGCGGCATTATTAATTAAACTTCACTTCACTTCAATCCACTTGTTAATTATTTATTTAATAGAAATAGTTTTAATATTGATTTCTTACAAATATCAATAGAGAGTGCAGAGGCTCTAGTGGTGCTTCAAGTTGAGGCAATTTCACTTTCCCGGAAGCGCAACACAATCTTTTTGGTTCGTTGTTAAATTTGAGAGCCTGACTATGAATTTGACTTCGTTTGTAACTGACATTTTGACATTTTCTTCTTAGCTGTCTGCCTAAATAAAAAAGTATGGGCCAGGGAGGAACGCTGTCGAACGGGACAAAAAGTATCCTATGTCCTTCTCCTGGCTCTAAGCTACCTCCCTACCAATTTTCACTCAAATCTGTTTTTCCGTTCTTGATTTATAAGTGTTGTAACATAAAACACGTTGTTCTTTTATATATATAGATTTAATATTCTTTAAGGTCTAAATAGCTTTAAAAAGGTCCATTTGACAGATAACCAACTAGTTACTACCTTTAAAAGAAATATTAGTTATCCTTTACATCCTTTTGTCCTTAAACTCTAAGAAAGTAGAGCTACCTTTCTTAAAATCCACCTTTAAACCAATGTACGATAAAGCATCTTAACCTCTCTGACTTATGGTCTTAATTTAATATATCAGAAGGATAATAAACCCCAATAGTTAATATACCCTTTGGAAAGGCTATATCCTTCCACACCGACACAGACCCTATCGGAGCCATAGCTTTTTGCGAGTTTATGTCGATTTTGCACTTGAAACTCTCAGGAAAGGCAAACAAAATCAAAGCCCTGCCATTGCCTTTGCTTTTCTGTTAGTCCTTTGGCTGGTCCTTAGTCCTGCGAAAGCTTTTCCCGCCACTGGCTGCGTCATAGCTTGTTTTGTTGCGAAAACTTGTCTTTTTTTTTTCCATTTACTGTGCGTGTTGCTGAAGGTCATCCTGTCGTATTCGGATTCTGATTCGGATTCGGATTCGGTTCTGGGTTTCGTTGGTGTTGGTGCTGTCTCTGTTTTGGGGGCGATGAGAGTACGCTTTCATCCTCGGCTGCCACAGTAACTCAGTCACCTTTTGGCCACCGACAGCACCATTTCGCATTTCGCACTTGGCCAAGTTGAATAAACAGCTCCAATTGGTAGAATATTTATTGTTTTCGGTCGTTAGCCCGACGATTCCGGCTGATTGATTGCCACGCGAATTCCGCCATCGAATTGTCCACTTTTACGGCCATTTGAATGCCTCTTTTACGGCTGTCATCGTTCTGTCCACCAGCTGATAACCATCGTGCCAACACTAAGCCATTATTTAGGCCATAAAATAAACATAATTGTAGGTGCAAGGAGGCCAGGATCAGGAACCGGAAATAACACAAAATGGTGGGTAAACTGTCATGAGTTAAATATGTCTTGGACCTTAATCCTTGATGGTTAAACCTTTGGAATGTGAAGAATTTTTGTGAAAGTGTCTTGAATTTCAAAGGACAAACAGTTTATTACTCATACGCCTTGTTGCTTCTTAAAAAGATATCTTTCTTGTGCAATTTATGTTCATATTTCGTCGCAAAATAATTTGCCATTATAACCTTAAGTGGCTGTTAAATGGTAAACAAATAGGTTACTAATATTAGCCCCTCAAATCTGACCTCGGCTCGTCTTTTATTGGGAATTATTTCCATTTGATGCTTTTGCATCCGAAGCTTACAATTTTCGTGATATTTTTAAGTGGCTATTCCGAATGAAAGTGATTTATGAATGAATCCCCTGCGGGATTATGGTTAATACTTTGAATATTGAATTTTAGACAGGGCTTTGGTTTTGGCAGGGCTATTTTTGTGAATAATTGAGATGGTGCCATCCTTGATGGAAACCTTATCCTTGGGGTCCTTTCCGGACTATGCATACATAAATTATCGTTTATTTAACGGCCAGGTTCGGAGCTCTGAGCTCCTGAGCCTTTTATCGAAAGGACCGAAATCAATGCGAAAATTTTATGTAAATAATATACACAAATATACAGAGAGTCCTGCTCCCGCAAAGGTATTCTTTTCTGTTGTGTATCCTGTCGGATGCGGTGACCTTTTGTGTGCCGATCCATTAAGCGGCTTAGAAACTCTCCTCACCGTCGAGGGTTCATGAATAATTTGGCCAATAATTAAGGACCCGACCGTGGAGATGGGAATCTCATGGAAATCGCTAATGAAAATGTGATAACTATTATTATCCTTTTCTCAGCATTCACACCTTAAACTGATTATCCTTTTCCAGTCCCACTGACGTCATTTGGGACTTGAGCTGGCAAACTCTTCAGGCTTCAGCTGTCAATTTGCTGCCTGGCTGCTCCTGGCTGACAGCTGTGACGACGATTGTGGCGTGTCCCTTTTTCGCAGGACATTCAGTGACCACTTGCAGAATCAATAGGGAGGTCCCTCCCATCCCGCCTTTTGTGTGTCCATTCCCCCCAAAAATAATGTTTATGCAGGCAACACAAAGGGTCTCCTGGATGCCATAACTGATGGCATCCTTTTCCACAGGA